TAAAACTTTTTCATTTCTTCGACTTTTATCAGTTTTTCATTCCGGTTTTTTATTTCTACAAGTTTTCAATTTGCAATTTTTCAATTCAATTTTTTTGTTACTCAATTTTGCGATTTTTCAAGTTTTCATTTTTAAACTTCCAAACACTGATTCTAAGCTATCTTCCTCTAAATCCCAAACTTTCTGTTTTTTAATTTTCCAATCTGAGTTGATTCCAAGCCACAGCGTTTAAATAAAAAAAAGCTCTTCAAATTTTAAATTTCCGAATCTCGAGCTTGAAAGTCTCAGCTCAAAATTTGGACTTTTTAAATCTTAGTATTACATCTCAAAGTTGTCTCATGGTGAGTTTAAGTTCTGATTTTCTCAATTTTAAAATATCGTTTTTCAAAATCTTAAAGCTTTGTTTTATAAATCTCAAATTTCCCATTTTAGATGTCAAAAATTTTGTTTATTTTTGTGCAAAGTTTTTACTTTTTCAGTTTTCATTCTAAAAAATTTTAGTGTCGATCTTCAGTCTAGCCAGGTTTTTAATTTTTGCTTAGATTTTAAGAACAACACCTGAAACCTGAAAATTGTCATTTTGCAACTTTTAGATTTTTCAAATTTTTCTTTTCTTCAACTTTTGAGTGGCAATTTTTCAAGTTTCCATTTTAAGTATGTAATAATAACAATTTTTAAAATCTTCCACCTTTTCAATTTTACGGTTTTAGAATTTTTTTAATTTTCAGATATTGGATTTTAAAAACTTTCATTTATTCGATTTTTCAATTTTTCGATTCTTCAATTATTCGTTTCTTCAAATTTTCGATTTGCAATTTTTCGTTTCGGTTTTCCATTTTCCTTACTGTTACGAATTTTTCAATTTTCGATGATCCGATTTTATTATTTTTTATTGTTTCAATTTCAAATTTTTCAGTTTTTTCAAATATTCGATTTGGAATTTTTCGTTTCGGCTTTTTATTTCCTTTATTTTTTCAATTTTTCGGTTTTCAGTGTTCCGGTTTTATCATTCTTTTTTTTTCAATACGAAATTTTTCAATTTTTCGATTTAAAATTTTTCGGTTTTCAATTTTCAATGGTTTTTAAAATTTTCCGCTTTGTCAATTTTAAGATTTTAGAATTTTTCAGTTATTGGATTTTTGGAACTTGCATTTATTCGATTTTTCATTTTTCAATTCTTCAGTCTTTCATTTGGTCAAATTTTCAATTTCCGATTTTTCTTTATGTTTGTTATTTTCTTTATTATTACAATTTTTCGATTTTCCAATATAACGATTGTATAATTTTTTGTTTTTTCAATTTTAATTTTTCAAGTTTTCGTTTCTTCAAATTTTCGATTTGAAATTTCTCGATTCGGTCTTTTATTTTCAATGTTTTTCCAATTTCTCGGTTTTTTAGTGTTCTGATTTCATTTTTTTTTTTTTCAATGTACAATTTTTAAATTTTTGGATATTTTAATATTTCGATTTGCATTTGCTCGGTTTTCAATTTTCAGATGTTTCAACTGTTAGATTTTTGGATTTTTTCTTTTTTCAATTTCTAGATTTTTAAATTTTTCGTTTTACCAGTTGACGAATTTAGAACTTTTCCCATTTCTCAATTATTGAATTTTAAAATTTTTTTATTTATTCAATTTTTCAGTTTTTTGATTTTCTATTCATGACCTCTAGAGTTCTAAAACTTTTTCATTTATTCCACTTTTTTCGATTTCTAATTTTTCAGATTTTCGTTCCGGTTTTTTTTCTTCTTTATTTCTACAATTTTTCAGTTTGCAATTTTTCAATAAATTTTTTTTGTTTCTTCAGTTTTGCGATTTTTCGAGTTTTCATTTTTTAACTTCTCAATTTTTCGACTTTTCAACTTTTGGTTGTTCCAAATACTGGTTCTAAATCCCATTTGTTTTTTTAATTTTTCAGTCCGAGTTGATTCCAAACCACAGCTTTTAAAATATAAAAGCTCTTCTAATTTTAAATTTCAGAATATTGGGCTTGAAAATTCTGAAACGTTTTACCTCAAAATTTCGACTTTTTAAACCTCAGGACTAAATCTCAGATCTGTCTTATAGTGATTTAGGAGCCCCAACTTTAAATATTGCAAAGATTTGTTTATGCATAAATCGAAACAAAATTGTGATTTTCGAAGATCATGCTTTATGAGCTTCAATTATTTTTTAATGCCAAATTCACATTTTATTTTATTTTTTTATAATTCCCATTTTCGCAAAACGAATCTCTGATTTTTGAAATTTTCAATTTTTTAAATTTCAAATCCTTTTTCAATTTTATACCAGAGTTTCGTTATTTTCTAATCTAATATCGTCGACATGTAAATTAACTTCCCACTTTTTTAAACTCAAGATTTCCAAGATAAAATTTAATTCTTCAACTTTTTAAATTCAAAAACTCCAATTTATATTTAAAATTTTGCAAAGGTTTGAAAAATTCAAAGCTTATAAAAATCATTTTTCTGATGTATGAAGTTCTGACTCTCTAAACCTCAAAATTTCGACTTTTAAACCGTGGAAATGAATCTCTACGATGACAAAATTTTTTATTATACCAACCAAACTAAATTGTCGCTCTCGAATATTCAATTTTGTGAAACTCGCTTGAAATTTCAAACTTTCATCTTTCCCGTCTGGTAAACCTGAAAAATTCAACGCCAGTTTTAAAGAGCCGACTTTTTAATGTTAAGAAAACGTTTTGTTTTTAAATAATAAGACTTTTTTTAATTTCTATTGAGCTTTTAAATAATTTTTTTTCAAACCCCAAATTTTCAGCACGGATATTAAAATTTTGACATCTGAATTTTAAAATCTCAGAGATTTGTTATTTTGAACCTTAAAATAAGCTCATTTTTTAGATCCAATCTTTTCAAGAGAAAATTTCATTCTTCAACTTCTTAAGTGGCGGAGGTCAAAGTTTCCGAAAATCATCTTTCAAAAACTTCAGCGCCAATTATTTAAACTTAGTTTCAAACTAAATTAATTTTTTTGATAATCCAGCAAAAATTTCATGTGATTTTGAATTTTCATAATTTAGTAAATTTATGAAATTTTTGACCTCCTTTTAGAAAATACTAGCCCCACCCACCCACCTTCTCTTCTCTTAGAGAGTATTTCATTTGCCAAAATCAGTCTTATCTTGGCAAGGGCTAGCCCCGCCCACCCGCCCTCTATTTTTCTAGAGAATATGTCATTTGCCAAAATAGTAAGCGACATTCAAAGGGGTGAAAAATCGCGGTAGAAAGAAATAAAAAAGGTAAAAAATGCCGACAAAAAAAAGAAATTTGGAAAAACCACTGGAAATCCTACTCATTTCTTTAAGAATTTTGAATTTTAAAAGAATTTAAAGAAATCTCCCTACCGATTTTTTAAATAATTTAAAAGAATGACCCCTGACATTTCGCGTTTTTTTTTTTTAACTTAAAAAAATCTTGAGGGACATCGGTGGCTATTTTTTCAATATAAAGAATCTCGGGGCAACTTCTTTTTCATTTGCAGAATTTAAAAGAATCTCGGGGGACCCTTGTGTTTTTTTTTTTTAATTTAGAGGAATCTCGGGGGTTCCTAGTGGTTTTTTTTGAAGAATTTAAATAATTTCAGGACTCCATAATATTTTTTTTTGAGTAGCCTATCCCGACCTGACTTAACTTGACCTGATCTGACTTGACTTAATTGAGTACTACAAATTTTTACCATTTTAGAAAGTTTCTTGTTGAGAAAAGATGGCTACGTATATTAAGAAAAAAAAAGAAAAATATAAGCCCCGCCCACCCACCCTGTCTCAATTCTGATGATTTTTTTATTCGTCGTGAGCCAAGGGGGCGGAGCTTAACTGCAAAATCCATATTTGTTATCAAGAATTTACCATTCAAAGTTTTAAGAGTCTTGTTCTGAAAAGACGACTACGTATATCAAGAAAAATGCTAAATTATATTTTAATCTTCATATACGTAGATAAATAAGGATTTTGCAGTTAAGCTCCACCCCCTTGACTCACGACGAATAAAAAAAATCATCACAATTAAGACAAGGCGGGTGGGCGGGGCTATATTTAGCTTTTGTTTTTCTTAATATGTGTAGACTTATATTTCGGCAACAAGGAACTTAAAACATGCCTAAAATCATCAAAAATTACCATGAGAATTTTTTTTGTTGATTGGACTTCCACAAATTGTTGGGGGCTCCATTTCTTTACAAATTGTGATTTTTGTTAATTAAGGATTCAAAATATTGTCTTCAACAATTACTTATAACTAACCACAAGTCAATTTTTAATTTGATAGTAATCACCAAACATAATTAATTATTCGCGAGGTTAAAGATCAATTTGCCTAATATTAATTAAATTTCACCTAAACGATCCTTCCTGACACTTCCATCGCCAGAAAAACTAGAAAAACATTCACACATTTCCTTAAAAAAAAAAATGTCGTACTTATCAGCAGTACTGTTCGACATTGTACTTCCTGATGAAAAACGAACGCGTTCACCGCCATCAATTTCACTAAATAAATACAAAATCGTCAATGTTTAGCTTTTCATTTTACACAGAAATCCCCGAAGGCTTTCTCTTCCGCGTCTTTTTCTGCACCTATTACGCACACTAATCCAAACAGCCAACTTATCGAATGATTTAATTGCACAAAAATTCCGGAGAAATGCTAACTCGTCTAAAATTCCCACGCCGCCTCCGGCCACCCGACCATAAACAAACCCATAATTGCATCTCCGAAACGACCATCTAACCCAGAAAAATCTCGCTCGAGATAAAAGTGCGCTGACCGCTTATCCCAAACGGGTTCCAGCGTGAAAGTCCGGAGCTTTTCACTGCGCCCTTGCCCAAATGGGCTCCGGAGCCACGGCTCCATAAGGCAGCCGCTTTCCTCCCAACCTTGTGCCTTGGCCTTGCCTAACACCAGGGGAAAGTGAACCCCACCTGCATCCGAATCTATAAAACAAACTCGACTTTGGCGTCGGTAATGAGTTAAGAGTTTTTCTTCGGCGAAGAACGAGTCCCCCTGTGGCTCCCAGACCATGAGGGTCCACCGGAATACAGTGGTTGGTGAAATTGTGTGTGGCAGTGCGTTCTGGTTCATAAACGGGAAACAATCGGCGATTTTTTTCGTTTAGAAATTTTTTCGAAGGTCGCATTGTTGATTCAGAGATTATAGCGGCCTGAATCGGGTTGTTTCTCTTCGGTGAAAGCACCGAGAGTGTTTGCTGGAACGTTATCAAGTCACCATGCGCCCACGGCTGGTACAGTTCTGATTCTGTTTTGTTGTTGCAGATTGCCCTTGGGGTAATTCTACACATTTCTTGGGCTGCCAGCAAGCCGGTAGAGTCGAAGGATAAGCCCGAGGACCAAGAGGCTGTCGAGAGTCAAGGGTAAGGAATTTAGGGTCTTCTGAGTAAATTACGTCTATGTCAATCAATTTCTGTTCTTCTATGTATTCTTTCTTCTGATTTATGATAATTCTTTATTTTACCGCTGCTCTTCTGATTGTTTTTATACTTGCAGTTTTTTGTTCTTCTATGTGACTTTTGATTGTTATTCTACTTCTGATTCTTAATTTTTGCAAACTCTCTGCCTCTGTTCAAAGTGTTCATCACCTAAGAAGGGTTGTACATTGCAGCTCCTTTAACACTTTTAACTTCTTGATCGTTTTAATCCCTTAGACTTTATTATTTTTCTTCTAATTTTTCTATTCTTATAGAAATTTACATAATTTTCTTCTTGTTCCTCGTCCTCCACGTCTATAAAGATTCTCCTGTTATTCTCCATTCAGTACCCCTGCTCTTTAATTTTCAATCTTCATCCAATCTAAATCTATCTTCATTTCTTCTACACTCTTGATTTTTTATTCTTCTTGGTCTTTTCAGAATCCAAAAACATGTCCACCACAACTTCCACTTCTGATCTATGTTTAGCTGTTTAGTTCACTGTTGTTCTTTTGTTTGTTTTTACACTTGAACAGTTTTCTTTTCCTTCTATGTGACTTTTGATTCTTAATCTACTTCTGATTCTTCATTTTACAAGGTATTTGAATCTGCTCAGATCGGTTTTAAACTATTCATCAATTTTTACAAGAAAGGTGATTATTTACCTTCTATTATTTTCTTGATCATGTAATTTCTGTATTCTGCATTCTATATTCTATGTAGATTTTTTCCTATCCCTAATCTTCTTTTCACAATTTTACTTTCTTGAACTGAATTTTTCTTCTTGGTCTTTCTTGAATCCAAAAACGAATAGACTACGAGAACCAAGACTTCTCTTTCTAATCTATATTTAGTTCTTTATTTTACTTTATTTTAATGTTGTTCTTCTGATTCTGTTTACACTTACACACCTTTCTTATTCTTCTATTTTCTCTTTATTTCTTTCTTCACTACTCCCTGTCTCCTTCAACTAACTCAAAAAAAAAATTGAAGCTCCAAATAAACTTCTAGATTTTTCTAATCTCTCCCTGTCCTCCAAATCCTATATTGAACCTTTATTTTTTAGTCTTCTTGGTCTTTTCAGAATCCAAAAACACGCCCACAGGGATTTCACTTCTAATCATCTTTAGTTCTTTATTTCACTATTGTTTTTTGTTTGTTTTTACACTTGCACTGTTTCCTTTTCTTCTATGTGACTTTTGATTCTTAATCTACTTCTGGTTCTTCATTTTTACAAGGTATTCGAATCTGCTCAGATCGATTTTAAAGTGTTCATCAATTTTTACACGAAAATTGATTGTAAACTTTTTATTTTTATTGATCATGTAATTTTTGTATTCTGTATCCTGTGTAGACTTTTTCTTGCACCACACATTCTTTGTTCATTCTTCTATCGTACACTGTACAAATTAATCTTTCATATTGCACATTTTTTATTCTTTTTGGTCTTTCTAGAATCAAAAAACGCGTAGGCTACAGTCACCAAGACTTCTCTTTCTAATCTATATTTAGTTCTTTATTTTACTTTATTTTAATGTTCTTCTGATTCTTTTTACATTTGCACACTTTTCATATTCTTCTATTTTCTTTTTATTTCTTTGTTCACTTCTCCCTTTCTCCTTCAACTAACTCAAAAAAAAATTGAAGCTCAAATAAACTTCTAGATTTTTCTATTCTCTCCCTGTCCTTTACATCCTATATTAAACCTTTATTTTTTAGTCTTCTTGGTCTTTTCAGAATCCAAAAACACGCCCACCAGGTTTTCACTTTTAATCATCTTTAGTTCTTTATTTCACTACTGTTTTTTGTTTGTTGTTACACTTGCACAATTTTCTTATTCTTCTATGTGACTTTTGATTCTTAATCTACTTCTGGTTCTTCATCTTTAGAAGGTATTCGAATCTGCTCAGATCGATTTTAAAGTACTCATCAATGTTTACACGAAAATTGATTGTAAACTTTTTATTTTTATTGATCATGTAATTTTTGTATTCTGTATCCTGTGTAGACTTTTTCTTGCACCACACATTCTTTGTTCATTCTTCTATCGTACACTGTACAAATTAATCTTTCATATTGCACATTTTTTATTCTTTTTGGTCTTTCTAGAATCAAAAAACGCGTAGGCTACGATCACCAAGATTTTTCTTTCTAATCTATATTTAGTTCTTTATTTTACTTTATTTTAATGTTCTTCTGATTCTTTTTACACTTGCACACTTTTCATATTCTTCTATTTTCTTTTTATTTCTTTGTTCACTTCTCCCTTTCTCCTTCAACTAACTCAAAAAAAAATTGAAGCTCAAATAAACTTCTAGATTTTTCTATTCTCTCCCTGTCCTTTACATCCTATATTAAACCTTTATTTTTTAGTCTTCTTGGTCTTTTCAGAATCCAAAAACACGCCCATCAGGATTTCACTTCTAATCATCTTTAGTTCTTTATTTCACTATTGTTTTTTGTTTGTTTTTACACTTGCACTGTTTTCTTATTCTTCTATGTGACTTTTGATTCTTAATCTACTTCTGGTTCTTCATTTTTACAAGGTATTCGAATCTGCTCAGATCGATTTTAAAGTATTCATCAATTTTTACACGAAAATTGATTGTAAACTTTTTATTTTTATTGATCATGTAATTTTTGTATTCTGTATTCTGTGTAGACTTTTTCTTTCACCACATATTCTTTGTCCATTCTTGTATCGTGCACTGTAACCCTTTTAAGACTTTCCCTAATCTTCTTTCCCAAATTAATCTTTCATATTGCATATTTTTTATTCTTCTTGGTCTTTCTAGAATCAAAAAACGCGTAGACTACGATCGCCAAGACTTCTCTTTCTAATTTATATTTTACTTTATTTTAATGTTCTTCTGATTCTTTTTACACTTGCAAACTTTTCTTATTCTTCTATTTTCTTTTTATTTCTTTCTTCACTACTCCCTGTCTTCTTCAACTAAATCAAAAAAAAAAATTGAAGCTCAAATAAACTTCTAGATTTTTCTAATCTCTCCCTGTCCTCTAAATCTTATATTGAACCTTTATTTTTTAGTCTTCTTGTTTTTTCAGAATCCAAAAACACGCCCACCAGAATTTCACTTCTAATCATCTTTAGTTCTTTATTTCACTATTGTTTTTTGTTTGTTTTTACACTTGCACAGTTTTCTTATTCTTCTATGTGACTTTTGGTTCTTAATCTAATTCTGGTTCTTCATTTCTACAAGGTATTCGAATCTGCTCAGATCGAATTTAAAGTATTCATCAATTTTTAGACAAAAATTGATTGTAAACTTTTTATTTTTATTAATCATGCAATTTTTGTAATCTGTATTCTGTGTAGACTTTTTCTTTTACCACACATTCTTTGTTCATTCTTCTATCGTACACTGTAACCCTTTTAAGACTTTCCCTAATCTTCTTTCCCAAATTAATCTTTCATATTGCATATTTTTTATTCTTCTTGGTCTTTCTAGAATCAAAAAACGTGTAGACTACGATCACCAAGACTTCTCTTTCTAATCTATATCTAGTTCTTTATTTTATTTTATTTTAAAGTTGTTCTTCTGGTTCTTTTTACACTTACACACCTTTCTTATTCTTCTATTTTCTTTTTATTTCTTTCTTCACTACTCCCTGTCTCCTTCAACTAACTCAAAAAAAAAATGACGCTCAAATAAACTTCTAGATTTTTCTAATCTCTCCCTGTCCCCTAAATCTTATATTGAACCTTTATTTTTTAGTCTTCTTGTTTTTTCAGAATCCAAAAACACGCCCACCAGGATTTCATTTTTAATCGTCTTTAGTTCTTTATTTCACTATTGTTTTTTATTTGCTTTTTCACTTGCACAGTTTTCTTATTCTTCTATGTAACTTTTGATTCTTAATCTACTTCTGGTTGTTCATCTTTACAAGGTATTCGAATCTGCTCAGATCGATTTTAAAGTACTCATCAATTTTTAGACAAAAATTGATTGTAAACTTTTTATTTTTATTGATCATGTAATTTTTGTATTCTGTATTCTATGTAGACTTTTTCTTTCACCGTACGTTCTTTATTCATTCTTCTATCGTACACTGTAACCCTTTTAAGACTTTCCCTAATCTTCTTTCCCAAATTAATCTTTCATATTGCATATTTTTTATTCTTTTTGGTCTTTCTAGAATCAAAAAACGCGTAAGCTACGATCACCAAGACTTCTCTTTCTACTCTATATTTAGTTCTTTATTTTACTTTATTTTAAAGTTGTTCTTCTGATTCTGTTTACACTTTCACACTTTTCTACTGTTTTCTTTTTATTTCTTTCATCACTACTCCCTGTCTCCTTTAACTAACTAAAAAAAATTGAAGCTAAAATAAACTTCTAGATTTTTCTAATCTCTCCCTGTCCTCTAAATCTTATATCGAACCTTTATTTTTTAGTCTTCTTGGTCTTTTGAGAATCCAAAAACACACCCAGTGGGATTTCACTTGTAATCATCTTTAGTTCTTTATTTCACTATTATTTTTCGTTTGTTTTTACACTTGCACAGTTTTTTTATTCTTCTATGTGACTTTTGATTCTTAATCTACTTCTGGTTCTTCATTTTTACAAGGTATTCGAATCTGTTTGATCGATTTTAAAGTATTCATCAATTTTTACACGAAAATTGATTGTAAACTTTTTATTTTTATTGATCATGTAATTTTTGTATTCTGTATTCTGTGTAGACTTTTTCTTTCACCACACACTCTTTGTTCATTCTTCTATCGTGCACTGTAACCCTTTTAAGACTTTCCCTAATCTTCTTTTCCAAATTAATCTTTCATATTGCATATTTTTTATTCTTCTTGGTCTTTCTAGAATCAAAAAACGCGTAGGCTACAGTCACCAAGACTTCTATTTGTAATCTATATTTAGTTCTTTATTTTACTTTATTTTAATGTTCTTCTGATTCTTTTTACACTTGCACACTTTTCTTTTTCTTCTATTTTCTTTTTATTTATTTCTTCACTACTCCGTCTCCTTCAACTAACTCAAAAAAAAATTGAAGCTCAAATAAACTTCTAGATTTTTCTAATCTCTCCCTGTTCTCTACATTTTATATTGAACCTTTATCTTTTAGTCTTCTTGGTCTTTTCAGAATCCAAAAACACACCCACCGGGATTTCACTTCTAATCATCTTTAGTTCTTTATTTCACTATTGTTTTTTGTTTGTTTTTACACTTGCACAGTTTTCTTATTCTTCTATGTGACTTCTCTCTTTCTTCTGTCACTTCTTCATTTTTATAAGGTATTCGAATCTGTTCAGATCGATTCTAAAGAATTCATCAATTTTTACACAAAAATTAAATTAATCTTTCATATTGCATATTTTTTATTCTTCTTGGTCTTTCTAGAATCAAAAAACGCGTAGGGTACGACAATCCCGACTACCAGCCCCAGCACACCGAAGAACACGTCTACGAAAACAACCACGAGTATGGGGGCTACGACCACCACCAAGACCACCACGAAGACCACCACCAAGTTCACCACGAAGACCACCACGAAGACCACCACGGAGACCACCATGAAGACCACCACGTCGAGCACCACGACGACCACCACGCCCACCACGACCACCACGACCCCGGCTACTGGAAGAAGAAAGTAATCTGGAAGAAAGGCTGGAAGAAGATCTGGAAGCCCGGCAAGAAACAAATCTGGAAGCCGGCGTGGAAAAAAATCTGGAAACCCATTTGGGTCCCCACCAAGAAGCCCGCCTGGAAGGAAATCCAAGTCCCCGACTGGAAAAAAATCTGGAAACCCATTTGGGTCCCCACGAAAAAGCCCGCCTGGAAAGAAATCCAAGTCCCCGACTGGAAAAAAGTGTGGAAGCCGGTGTGGAAACCCATAAAGGTGCCGGCTTGGAAGGAGATACAAGTGCCAGACTGGAAGAAGATTTGGAAGCCGGTGTGGAAGGAGATTCAAATTCCGGCGTGGAAGGAGATTCAAGTACCGGCTTGGAAGAAGTTGTGGGAGCCCGTGTGGGTGAAGGAGGGTATTCACGGGGACCACTACCTCGGGAAGGACCATGATGGGGCGGAGTACACGGCGCACGACATCTGGAAGAAGAAGCTCGTGTGGAAGCCCGTGTGGAAGAAGTACTGGAAGCCGGCGAAGAAGCAGATCTGGGTTCCGGATAAGAAACTAGAGTGGAAGGAGGCGTGGAAGCAGATTTGGAGGACGGAGAAGAAGCAGATTTGGGTGGAGGATAAGAAGTTGGTGTGGAAAGAGGCGTGGAAGCAGATTTGGAGGACTGAGAAGAAGCAGATTTGGGTGGCGGACAAGAAATTAGAGTGGAAGGAGGCATGGAAGCAGATTTGGAGGACGGAGAAGAAGCAGATTTGGGTCGAGGATAAGAAACTGGAGTGGAAGGAGGCCTGGAAGCAGATTTGGGTGCCGGCGTGGAAGGAGATTTGGGTTCCCGGGTGGAAGCAAATCTGGAGGCCGGTCATCATCCAGGAGTGGTTCCCCTCGCCCGACCATCACGATCACCATCACAAGGGATGGGATCGCAGTGATACGAAGGCGGGGGATGGCGGCGCGGCGCCCTACGTCACGGCGCCGACCACCCAAGCCCAAAGTCAAGCTCAAGGTAAAAGCTGGGCGTTCCCCTCCTCCTAACAGTACCTAACGTCGCAAGTACCTTTGTACATACTTAGTTTTAGTTGCATGTTCACTCTCGACTGACTATTTTATTATTATTTAACGTATTGTTGTTTGTTATTTTAATAAAAACTCGAAACTGACGCTGGATTTACTGACCTCAACCCCAGTGAAAGTCGTCGGCGGTACTGCACTAATCAGACTTTTGGTTATCGTCGCACTATGGAATTCCGATTACTTTCACTTGTTGTTTACTCTGGGAAAAAACCCGTCTGATTAGCATTCAAATTCACCTTCGTGGTAGAAAAAAGCGCATACATTTGCATATAAAGTACCCGGCTCTTTCAAACCGGTTAATTAGATGCACTTTTCGCAGATACCACGCGCCCACTAAATTAATGGTTTCATTGTCCCGCGAAGAAAGTAAGCATTTTCTATTAGCGGAACGCGACTTTCGTGCCAAAAAATCTAGCGTGTTAACATATTCCGTACTGCACTTTTCACTGCGTCGTTGCTCATTCACGACGAGCCCGAAATTTTCGCATCGAGCAACATAGGTCCCGAAGAAGCTCCCTGAGTGACACCTTTTCCAAAAAAAGCAGACCTCTCTCGAATAAATTATTTATTTCTAAAGGTGTACAGCAGCGCGTACAGGGTGCAGTTATAGACGGAGATGTCGTGGAAGATGGCAGTGTTCAGCGAGGCGGTGGCGTCCAGGCGGGCGGCGGCGGCGTCGGGGGCGGCGTCTTTGGGAACGGGATCCACTCCTTGACTTGCAGCGGCCCCCACACTTTTCGCCACATGGGGATCCAGATCTGGAACGAGAGTGTCACAGGGTGTTCGAACGCGGGCGGGTCATACTTTTCGCGCCTCCCAGTGCTTGACCCAGTGCGCCTTCCACTGGACCCTGGTCTGCCATAGCCCGCCGGGCCCCGGTTCCTCCTTCACCTTGACGACACTGAGTCTGTGTGAGTTGTTGGGGTTCGGGGGCACTTACCTGTCTTCGTGGTGGAGCACTTCGCAGACGCGTTCGCTAACCAGGGCCAGCAGGACGAGGACGTGGTGGATGTTCATTTTTCGGGAACGGCCATGTGTGGCGGCGGAGCGGTCGTTTGCAAATAATGTGCGCGTGGGGAAGGTCGGCGGTTTTATATTCGAGGGACGCTTTTTGAATTCTGATGGCCGAAAGTGTGACGCTGCGAATTGGGTTATTGGTTGGAAAATCTCATCAAAATTGTTGGTGGACTTTCGGTGGCATTTGATGAGGAGCGTCTGGAATAACAAGAAGGCGCGAAGGAGGGCACGGGTTTTCATTTCGATGCTAGTGTAGCGTGCAAATTGTAGTACGAAGAAAGGCGAATTTGCGAGAGAAAGGAATTTCGGAAGAAAACGTTGGGTGGTTGTGGTCTAGAACGAAAATCGTCTACACAGATGGAATGATAACTTACCAAAAAGTAAACATTGAAATTCTTGCGGTTTTAACATCTCATGTGTCATTAAACTTTTATTGATCTTCCAAAAGAACTAAGATTATTATATAACACAGTAATGAGTGCTAATGACCTACATTCTACATTAGAAGAATAAATCAAGACTGTACTGTTTGTGCGTACTTAATTAAAATGCACGAATATTGTCAGTCTAGATAGTGTAATCCACTTATTCCAGTAGATATATTCTACAAAAAAAATGAGGATATAAATTTTGTTCATCTTGGGTTCATTTTTTTTATGTGTGTAAAAATACATATGTATTTGTGTACTAAAAATCATAATGTCATCGTGCTATTGGATATTTTTTCCCAAACACGTATTTTATTTATTAGAAGCGTTATTATTATTTTTAACAATTTATGTAGGCTAATATAATTGGTTGCCTATCCGAGAGTTACCGACGTTGCCAAATCGTACACTACATATTAAACTAAAGCATATGCAACCAGCAATATCAAGTATAATCGAAAATGATTTTTTGAATTTTGTTGGATTTAAGAGGAGGTTCTAAACTACGCCCTATGTCTTTCATATCTTTTGTTTCCAGCTTCCTCTTATGTCAAATTAGAAAAAATCATACGGTACAAATCAATACCACTTTGAAAGGAATTTTCTTGCTGAAATACAGTCAAAAACTATAAGGAAACACTTACTAAAATATTTTTTATTTTGACTTAATTATTCACATATTTCTATAACTCGTATCTTTTTTGCCTTGAACAAAAAATAAATAAAATGCTAACGTCTTCGATATACAGAATGTCTCAAAACTCCACGACCTAATGTCTTGAGAACGAATAGACATTTTGAAATTTTGTAAATGCCACTGTTTTTAGCCTGAAGGGGGAATCTTCATTTAGTACATTGCAAACATTTTTTTTAAATTACGACAAGAAATTGGGTTTAGTTAAATTTTTAAGTGTCTCAAGGGTAACTGATGTTTTATTTTGAAAAACTTTAAACAATCTCAGAGACACGAAAGTTTTGATTTTAAAAGAAAATGAAGAATCTCAGGGGCCCCGAGATTTTTTTTTTTTTTTTCAAATATACACTTAAGCAATCTCTACAGACCTGGGAATTTTGTTTATGAAAAAAATTAAAAGAATCTCAAGGTCTCAAATGTTTTATTTCTCGAAGGATTTGAAAGAATTGAAAGAATCTTAGAAGTCCTGATGTTTTCTTTGTTAAAGAATTTTTGAGAATCTTAAGGGTCTCTGGTTTTAATTTTAGAATAATTTGAAAGATTCTTAGAGCCCTGGTGTATTTCTGAATTAATCTAAAGAATCTCAGGGGCTCCGAGTGTTTTAATTTTGCAAGAATTTAAAGAATCTCAAAAGCCCCCAAAGTTTTGATTTTAAAGGAATATAAAGAATCTCAGGACCTCTAGTGTTCTATTTCTGAAAGAATTTAGAAGAGTTTTGGTGACCCTTGGTGTTTTATTTTTGGAAGAGTTTAAGGAATCTCAGAAATCTTGATATTTTCTTTGTTGAACAATTTTTAAGAATGTCAAGGACCTCTGGTGTTTTATTTTTAAAAGAATTTCAAACAATTTTGAAACCTCTAGTGTTTTATTTCTCGAAGATTTTGAAAGAATCTTAGGGATCCCTGGTGTTTCATTTTTGAAAGAATTTAAAGAATCTCAGAAGTCCTAATGTTGTACTTTCAGAAGAATTTGAGAGATTCTTAGGAGTCCCTGGTGCTTTATTTTTAATAAACTTTTAAATATTGTTAAGAGGCCCCTGGTGTTTTCTTCTGAGTTAATTTAAAGAATCTCGGAGCTCCCAGTGTTTTAATTAAAAAAAAAAATAAATAAATAAAGAACCTCAGAAAGCCGAAAATTTTGATTTTAGAGGAATATAAAGAATCTCAAGGCCTCTAGTGTTGTATTTCTGAAAGAATTTAGAAGAATCTCGGAAGCCCCTGATGTTTTATTTTTGGAAGAATTTAAATAATCTCAGAAATCTTGATATTTTCTTTGTTAAACAATTTTTAAGATGTCAAGGGCCTCTTGTCGTTTATTTTTACTAGAGTTTGAAACTTATTGGATTCTCTAGTGTTTTAGTTCCCGAAGATTTTGAAAAAATCTTAGCGGTCCCTAGTGTTTTATTTTTGAAAGAATTTAAAGTATCTCAAAAGTCCTAATGTTGTACTTTCAGAAGAATTTGGAAGATTTTTAGGAGCCCCTTGTGCTTTATTTTTAATAAACTTTCAAAGAGTTTTAAGAGGCCTTTAGTGTTTTCTTCTGATTTAATCTATAGAATCTCAGAGCTCCGAGTGTTTTAATTTTGCAAGAATTTAAAGAACCTCAGAAGAAATTTTGATTTTAGAAGAATATAAAGCATCTCAGGGCCTCTAGTATTGTATTTCTAAAAGAATTTAGAAGAATCTCGGAGGCCCCTAATGTTTTATTTTTGAAAGAATTTAAATAATTTCAGAAATCTTGATATTTTCTTTGTTAAACAATTTTTAAGAATACCAGGGCCTCTGGTGTTTTATTTTTAGAAAAATTTGAAACAATCTTGGATCCTCTTGGTTTTTATTTGTCGAAGGTTTTGAAAAAATCTTAGGGACCTCTGGTGTTTTATTTTTGAAAAAATTTAAAGAATCTCAGAAGTCCTAATGTTGTACTTTCAGAAGAATTTAAAAGATTCTTAGGAGCCCCCTGGTGCTTTATTTTTAATAAACTTCTAAAGAATTTTAAGAAGTCTCTAGTGTTTTAATTCTGCAAGAATTTGAACAATCTCAGAAGGCCGGAAATTTTGATTTTAGAAGAATATAAAGAATCTCAGGGCCTCTAGTGTTGCATTTCTGAAAGAATTTAGAAAAATCTCAGAAATCTTGATATTTTCTTTGTTAAACAATTTTTAAGAATGTCAGGGCCTCTGGTGTTTTAATTTTAGAAGAATTTGAAAAATTCTTAGGAACCCCAGGTGCCTTATTTTTGATAAACTTTTCAAAAATCTTAGAGGCCTCTGGTGTTTTTTCTGAATTAATTTAAAGAATCTCAGAAGCCCGGAAGTTTTTATTTTAAATGAATACAAAGAATCTCAGGGGCTGGAATTTTCTTTTTGAAAGATATAAGCAACTTCTAAAGTCCTGGGAATTTATATTCTGAAAGAATTTTCAAGAATCTCATGGGTCTAATGTTTTGTTCTAGAATTTTAAAGAATCTAAGGGGCCCCCAGTGTTTCATTTCTGGAAGGCTTTTAAAGAATCTCTGAGGCCTCCGATATTTTGTTTCTCATTTTTTTAAATAATCTCAACGGCTCCAAGAGTTTCAATTTTGCAATCACTTAAAGCTCAAAAGTCTGGGAAGTTTAATTTTAAAAGAATATAAAGAATTTCACGGGCTCCAAGTACTTTCTTTTGGAAAAATAGGAACAATATTTAGAGTCCTGGGAAAAAATTTAAACGATCTCAGAAATCCTGGTAGTTTTGATTTTGAGAGAAAGTAAATTTTGAAGAATCTCAGTGACCTCGAGTGTTTAATTTTTTGGAGAATTTGAAAGAAAGTTGGGGGCTTTTAGTGTTTTATTTTTGAAAGAGTTTAAAGTAATTGGAGGAATTATGATGAATCTTAGGGATTACAATTTTTTTTTTCTGAAAAGAATTCCTCCTTTTGTAGTCATTCTGTGAAAAAAAAGGAGGTCAAATTTGACACGAGCACTCACGACAGAACCTACTGTGACAGAACTATCATGTATGCCAATCTGGCAAAAAAAATCGCATACATTCAGTCACTCGGTATTTTTTAACGGATTCTGGTAGACCGTTAAATTGCGACTACAATGATATATGTACACCACTTATTATTAGAATACTTAGTTTAACATTTATACAATTTTATGCTGCAGTTGTCAGCATAAAATTGGTAATATTATTCATTTAAGTAATGTATAAAAATTCCTTGTGTCTCTAAATTGTAGTTTGTGTGTAAAAATCAGCCACACCAGGATTGAACAGTAAAATAAGTAAAATTTTTGGTGATATGTTGGCAGACGAGTACTTGACAATTGACAGTGACAATGATCTCATGGAGAGAAGACAACCTGCGACGCGATAGGTCAGTTTACAAAGCGGAATTTTTAAACTTTCGATAATAACGATTCCCAATTTTTGCGAAAAATTCTCTTTTTTTGGTATAAAAATTCCCGAAGAAAGAAAAATTCCCTCATATTGGCAACACTGCTCGTCCAACTACCTTGAAAAATCACGCGCCCCAATAAAAACAATCTCAAACCCACCAATCACAACCGTACATTCGCGCAAGCGCAAACGTCAATCTCCTCACCATTCAATTTTCAAAGTGAAAAACGGTTGACTCGCACAGATAACTAGTGCACAAAAAAGTAACGCAGACCACAGATGCCCCAACTTCTTAAAAACCCACAAAAATGACCGAAGAATTCAACTACAACGCCAACCAATACGTCGATTTTAACCAAGCGGACGACGTCCACGACGACTCCTTTTTCGGTGAGTAGCCACCGCTTCCGACTTTCGCTACATGAACATTTATCAGAGAACAACACCGAGGAAAATGGCCCCCATTACAAGCAACGCACCCAAACCGTGTACGAAGACGTCGTTGAAAGCTGCGACCCCCAGGAACTTTCAGACACCGAAAGCGACTGCTTTTTCTCACCGATGGACACAGGCCCCTCCAACTCCACAGTGTACCTTAAGAGCAAGCTGCGAAGGTCGCTGAGTATGGGTAACTTGCCCACGAAGAGCCCCCCAAAGCACAAAGCGGAGCTGAGGTGAGTAGCTGTCGGAGATAAACTGGGCTACAAAGGTGTTTTAGTGAGGATTTGAACGGGTTGCACCTGCATGGGGTACAGGAAAGGCCGAGTTCCGCGAACGCGTTTCATCCAAAGGGGAAAGCCCCGTCGCAAGTAAGCCCCAATTTTGAAGTTTGACAAATTGTTTGAATTTTGAATTTAAGGAGTGCATTAATCGGCTAGCGCAGCCTAAGCGGTTCACGTCGCACGAAAACTTAACTCTAGCAGAGGCTGTGATCAAGTTCCAAGCAGGGACTCCCAAGAGGTTTCGTTCTAAACCCTCGCCAAAAATCAACAAAGGGCTGCCAATGCCGTGGGGGGGCACTCAAGCTCATTCTCCCAAACTGAAGACTACAGCAAGGTCTCGACCCGTTGTAGCGGTATCAAAGGATGAGCAAGAAAGACTGGAGATGGAGGAGGCCAAAAAGTAACAATAGAACAAAAATAGTGGCTTTATTTAATTAATTAATTGTCAACAGGTTCAAAATTAAAGCCCTCCCTGTTAGCAAGAAGGTACTCCGAGGTCCGCTGAAGCCCCAACTCGATAAAAAACCCCCCACCAATCCCGAGCCCTTCCATTTAACGGAAATAAAGAAAAAAACGGTCCCCGTCCAAGAACTCAAAATCCCACCCTTCAAGGCTCAACCCCTACCCAAAAGCTTGCACCAGCCGCACAAAATCCACCCCAATCAACAACCGCCCACCAAAGGACAGACCCCCAGTTTCGTCAAACGCATGTCCAGAAGTACCCCAAATAAGGTCGACCAATCGACACGAAAAAATGGGACCCCGCCGCCCTTCAGACCCTCACGCACCCAACCCAAACCCTTCAGTTTCGAAAAGAGGGACCAGGCGCTGTTCAGGAAGAAAGAGGAGCAGATCAACAAGGTTTGCCGTTTACCCGTACATGCTCGAAACTGTAGTCGCGTTTGTAGATTTTGGAAGAGGAGAAGAAGGCCCGCGAATTCCATGCCAAGCCGCCGCCGAAGGCCATCCTACGTTCCAGGAACGCTAGTCAAGAGCGCATGAGTGAAGCGGGGTCGGTTAAGTCATTTGTGAGTATATGTCGCGCGTGAAACTAGTCTTAACTGGTTTTAATCCAGAAGAGAAGCACTGAAGACCTGGATACGACGGTGTTCAAAGCTAGACCTGCGTCGGTGCTGATGATGAAGCCGTTCGAGCCCAAGAGGGACGAAACTCATGCTGTTAGAGTGGAGGCGTTCCAGTTTTCGACGGACCAGAGACTGGAAGCCAGGCACAAGTTTGAAGAGAGACTTAAGGAGAAGGAGGCGCTCATGGAAGCGCAGAAGAAGCAGAAGGATGACATGTTGAAGAGATTGGCTGAGGAGGAGGTGGCCAAGCTTAGGAAACAGATGGAGTATAAAGCGCAACCCATTAAGAAGTACAAGGAGTTGAAAATTGAACACAACATTAAAGTCACGGAGCCGATTAGTCCGAAGTTTCATACTGACAGGATTAGAAATAAGGAAAATATTCAGTAGAGAAGCTTTTTTATTATAATTACTTGGATCTACAATTTTATGTGTTTTAAGAATTTTTGATATTGTCATATTACATATTATTTCTAACTGGTGTATATGTTATGCCCTGTCACTCGTTTGGATTGGTCGATATTTGGTTCCGCCCACTTGACCAATCACGATACAGTTTATGCATGCTTAAGGTGAGACGCTGGACGACAGGCAAGTACTCACTTATGTATTTATTTATTTGTATTTAAGAAATTTAATATTATCTTGTTGAAAAATGACGTACCGAAGCCACGCCCCCTCCAACCCGACCACGTTTCAAATTAAACAACCTCCAGTTATTATAAAAACCTTTAATCCATGCAGATACATCAATTAATACATCAAGATTCATAACCTATAAACGCATGCAATCTTACCTACATATTCATAATACTTAACCTTAAATATCAGATCTACTTTTTGGTAATTCTTTGTCTCGATTCTCAAATCGCGTCAGATCTCACGAGATTCACACAGGACGGAATATCTCCGAAAATCTTGTTTACTTTAAATCGTAGCAGAAGTGATAATGTGGGGGCTCTGGCGGAATCGGGGGCGGATCTTGCGGCACCGTCACCCCCTCGGCGTCCAGAAGCCTCAACTTAATCTCCATCGAGAGCAACGTATCCAAATCCCTGTCAGTCTCCTTGCTCACCATCCTCTGCCCCAACAGCGCGTTGATTCCGTCCGTCCAATAGGCGAACGTCATTTCGTCGGGGGCTACGCAATCCAGGGACTGCAAGTCCACGCTTTCTAGAGCTAGAGAGAAGGCGAGTTGGTGGGAAGCCTTGCGGGCGCGCATGTGGGGGCAGTCTCTGCCCACGAGTAAAGCGCGGATGTCCGCCACCGCCAGTTTCGACGGGAGCTCTTCGGTCGTGGGGGCGCTCTTTTCGTCGCAGTCGCCGTAGTGGAGCACTTTGTGATTGGGGCTTAAGCGGATGTACCAGAATTTGTCTTTGATGCGTTGTCCACGGGCTGAATATTTGGTGAAGCGGGTGCCGTCGACAAGGAAGGCTAGACGCTGCTGTTTGATTAGGTTTAGGATGTCGGGGGTGATTTGCTCGCGGAGTTCGACGATGGGGCGGGCGTGGGACTCCCATTCTTCGCGGGAGGTGCGCTCGAGTTGCCATAATTGGGTGATGTCGCTGTAGGTGAGGGTCTGGAGCTTCACCTACAAGTTCACATTAGTATTAGAAACAATAACCTTGGTTAAAATCATTGATTAATGTTAAGTTATAGCCATCAGTCTAAATATACAGGGTGTCCAATATGGTACGCAATGGCGTCTACCGTTTGAGTTTTCGAGAAATAAAACATCAAAAGCATTTCATGCAGCGACAAACTGGCAACACAAAAATGGCATTTTATAGCACAGAATTTTGGATAGAGTTTCTCGAAAGTCTGGCGTCGTTGGATCAAACATTTGTTGTAACATCCTGTATATTATTATTTATTTATAAGAAGCCTTTATTCGTCCCCAATTTATAAAGATCTAGCTTATTTAGAGGCAAATTCGACACTTATAAAAATGCAGATTATGCCAATTCCCAAATTTAATCCCTGTATACAAAATATTGAGTAAAGAAAAAATAATAAAAAAGAACCTGGGGCTCAAATGTAGGAGTCATCAGCTTCCAAGATTTTTTTTTCGTTTTATTATTCAAAATTATAGGAGTATCCATCGTTTCTTTAGTTTATAACATTACAAAAGACTTAAAAATTGTTCAGGTTCAATCTGACGACAACGGCCAATTTTTCGTCCTTTTTAATCTGTTTAAACCTTTTTTTGGTCTTTCTCTTTCTCGTTTTTGTTTGCGGTTTTAGTCTCGTTCTCCGTCTTCCATTCTCTCATTTTCATACCCATTTTCATTCTCATTCTCGTGGCTTTAGAATTATTTTTTTATTTAATATTCTAAATATAGTTTTTTTGTTTTACCTACTTGTTCTACATATAAGCAAGCGCATTTTTTTATACACCGAAGGTTCGCCCCCCATTTTTGGTAAAATAAATAGGTACCTGCTGTCCTTATAATTTTTACCCTCATTCTCCTAATTTTTTGTCCTTTTTCTCTTTCTAATTCACACTCTCACTTCCATTCTCGTTCGCATATTTATGATTCTCATCATTTTCCTTGTCATTAGTACTCTCATTCCCATGCTCGATATGGTAGTCGTTCCTATGGTCATTCTCATTTCATTTTGGTTCTCGTTCTCATTCTCAGTATTTCCATTAATCTCATCATTATCATTCTCACTTCAATTTCTATTAGCATTTCCAATCCCATTCTCAACATTATCATTGACATACTCACCCATTCCCATTTTCGTTTCCACTACTATTTCCGTCCTCATTTTCATTCCCATTGTCAATTTGATCATTCTCATTCCCATTTCCTTTTTTATCCCATTCTCATTTTCACCCTTATTCTCATCATTCTCACTCCCATTCCTACTCTCGTTCTCATAACAATGATTTTCATCATTCTCATTGCTATTCTCATTCCCATTTTCATCCTCATTCTCATTTTCGTTATAATTCTCAATCTTCTTCTTGTTCTCTTTCTGGTTCTCATTCTCATCATTTTCCGTCTCACCTTTCTCATTCTCAAACCTATTCCCATTCTCATTTTCATCATTCAGATTCACGTCATTCTCATTCTCATTATTCTCATTCCTACTTTAATGCCCATTCTTCTTATCATTCTTATAATTTTTATCAATCTTATCTATATCATTTTTATCCACATCATTCTCATTCTGCTTGCGATTCTCATTTTCATTATAATTCTCACTCTCCTTCTCGTTCTCTTTCTAGTTCTCATTCTCATCATTTTCCCTCTTACCTTTCTCATTTCCATCATTCAGATTCACGTCATTCTCATTCCCATTCTTCTCAACATTCTCGATCTGGTATTCTGGCATTCTCATTGTCATTATTTTATCAATCTCATCTAGATCATTCTCATTTCCATTCCTATTTGCATTTCTAACCCCATTCTCATCATTATCATTGTCATACTATACAGTCTTATTGCAATCAAGCAGTAGCCCCGCCCACTCGCCCCCTATATTCTTAGAGGATATATCATTTGCCAAAATCCGTTTTATCTTAGCAAGTACTAGCCCCGCCCACCCGCCCTCTATTTTCTTACAAAATATGTCATTCGCCAAAATCAGTCTCATTTTAGTAAGTAATAGCCCCGCCCACCCGTCGTGTATTTTCTTAAAGGGTATGTCATTCGCCAAAATCACTCTTATCTTAGCAAGTACTAGCCCCGCCCACTCGCCCTCTACATATTTCTTAGAGGATATGTCATTCGCCAAAGTCAGTCTCATCTTAGAAATACTTGTACTACCATCATTCCCACTTCCGTTCTCATTTCCGCTACCATTTCCGTTCCCATTCTCATTTTCGTTTTCTTTCTCATCATTCTCATCCCCATTTTCTTTTTTATTCCCATTCTCATTTTCATTTTTATTCTCATTCTCTTGGCTTTAGATTTACAATATTTTTTTAATTAGTATTCTAAATATTTTTTTTCCTTCTCTTTCTAATTCTCACTCCCATTCCTACTCTCTTTCTCATAATTAGGATTCTCATCATTCTCATTCTTATTTTCATTCTCATTTTCATCCTCATTCTCATCATTTTTATCAATCTCGTCTATATTATTTTTATCCATCTCTCTTATTCTCATTCTGCTTGCTATTCTTATTTTCATCCTCATTCTTAGTTTCATTTTCATTGTCGATCTCATTTTCATTATAATTCTCAATCTTCTTCTCGTTCTCTTTCTGGTTCTCATTCTCATCATTTCCCTTCTCACCTTTCTCATTCTCAAACCTATTCTCATTCATACTCTAATGCCCATTCTTCTTATCATTCTCATCATTTTTATCAATCTCATCTAGATCATTCTTATCCACATCATTCTCATTCTACTTGCTATTCTCATTCTCATTTTCATCCTCATTCTTAGTTTCATTTTCATTCTCGTTATCATTCTCCTTTTCTTTCTAATCCTCACTCCCATTCCTACTCTGGTTCTCATATTTTTCATTCTCATCAATCTCATTGCTATTCTCATTCTTGTTTTCATTCTCATTCTCACTTTCATTCTCATTTTCATTATAATTCTCAATCTCCTTCTCGTTTTCATTCTTGTTCTCTTTCTGGTTCTCATTCTCATCATTTTCCCTCTTACCTTTCTCAATTTCATCATTCAGATTCACGTTATTCTCATTCTAATTCTCGATCTGGTATTCGTTCTCGTTCTTGTGGTCATTCACGTTTTGTTTTGGTTCTTACTCTCATTCTCATTGTCATTATTTTATCAATCTCATCTAGATCATTCTTATCCACATCATTCTCATTCTGCTTGCTATTCTCATTCTCATTTTCATCCTCATTTTTTTTTATTTTCATTCTCGTTCTCATTCTCCTTTTCTTTCTAATTCCCACCCCCATTCCTACTCTGGTTTTCATAATTTTGATTCTCGTCATTCTCATTCTTATTTTCGTTTTCATTCTCACTTTCATTCTCATTTTCATTATAATTTTCAAGGTCGCACCCCATTCTTGATAGAATGAATAGCAACCCGCTATCCTTATAATTTTTACTCTCATTCTCCTATTTTTTTCTCCTTCTCTTTCTTAATTCGCACTCTCATTCCTACTCTCGTTCTCACAATTACGATTATCATTCTCATTGCTATTCTCATTCTTGTTTTCATCCTCATTCTCATTTTTATTATAGTTCTCAATCTCCTTCTCGTTTTCATTCTCGTTCTCTTTCTGGTTCTCATTCTTGTCATTTTCCTTCTCACCTTTATCATTCCCATTCTTGTCATCATTCTCATTCTAATTCTCGATCTGGTATTCGTTCTCGTTCTTGTGGTCATTCACGTTTCGTTTTGAATCTCGTTTTCATTCTCATCATTTTTATCAATCTTACCTAGATCATTCTCATCCACATCATTCTGATTCTCATCATTCTCATTTCCATTCCTATTTGCATTTCCAACCCCACTCTCATCATTGTCATTGTCATACTTAAATGCTAAAATCAGTCTTATCTTAACAAGTACCAACCCCGCCCACCAGCCCTCTATTTTCTTAGAGGATGTCATTCGTCAAAATGAGTCTTATTTTAGAAGTACTAGCCCCGCCCACCCGCCCTCTGTTTTCTTAGAGGATATGTCATTCGCCAAAATCAGTCTTATCTTAGAAGTACTAGTATTACCAGGTATTACCATCGTTCCCACTTCCGTTCTCATTTCCATTCCTATTCTCATTTTCGTTTTCTTTCTCATCATTCTCATTCCCACTTTGTTTTTTATTTCCATTCTCATTTTCATCCTTATTCTCATTCTCGACGATCCCGTTTTAGATTTACTTTTTTATTTAGGATTCTAATTTAAATATATTTTTTTGTTTTACCTACTTGTTCTTGATAGAATACTACTTTTTCTCCTTCTCCTTCTTTTTCTAACTCTCACTCCTATTCATATTCTCGTTCTCATAATAATGATTCTCATCATTCTCATTGCTATTCTCATTCTTATTTTTATTTTCATCCTCATTTTCATTTTCATTCTCACTCTCATTCTCATTTTCATTCTAATTCTCAATCTCTCTTTTTTATTATTAAATTGTACGCACCTTTAATTGTTCTAGGGACGCCGGCGACACGTCCAACGCTCTCACGATTTGCTCCCTCACCACACTGGCGACCTTCCCGAAATCTTCAGACGTCGCCCTCATTTCCTTCCACGTCTTGTTCAGCAGAACTATGCAAATGCAAAAGCACTCCTCAAAGGGGCTGTCATGGGTGAAAAACAACGGTTGGAAGGAAGCCCCCTGCTCCGACGGCGCCTCCCCGATCTTCAACAACTCGCACAAAATCCTGACCAACTCCACGCTGGCCCTTCCAAAGGGACACTCGTGCTCGTCGGCCCTGCAACTATTTTCCAGCACCAGCTTGGTGTAGCTATCCGGGTGATTCCGGGCGAAGTACACCATGCAATCCAGCGCCAACAGACCCGGGGGCGTCTCGGTGAAGTCCAAAGCCGGGTTAATGTCGTTCTTGAAGCCGAGTTTTTTGTAGTCTCGGGTGAAACCCCCGGGCCCTCTCGCTCCGCCGGCCCCCTCACTATCGAACGCTATCCGCCGCAATTCTTTAATCTTGTCATGGCCATCTTGGTCTTGAGGGTCCATCTTCGTGACCATTCTCTGCTCCAGAAGCCCCAACATCAACGTCTGCAACACGTAGAGTTGGTGCGCCATTTCGGCCCCCTTCGCCGCCCCCGTTTGTAAAATGTGGTTCTGAATGACGCTCCTGACTTGCTTGGAGGCCAGAGTTTGTGCCAATTGACGGCGCTTGGCGGAGTCCGCCCTCAGAAGCAACGCGTTGATTAAAGCCACCGCGTTTTGTTGCACGACGGGGGTTTCCTGCAAGTGTCCCACGAGCGACCCGATCGGGACCTCGCGCTCCACTTGCCCGTACCCCTCGCTACTATTCAAGACGATGTTCTCCAAAATCGACAGTGCGGCTTGCGTCACCTCGGGCTCTTGTTGCGTGTTGACAAAGCTAGCCACCCGGTTGATGAAGTCGCCGTTCAGGATGTCCCACGAGACGATCCCGTGCTCCATCAACTCCACGAAACTCTGCAACGTGTGCGCTAACACAGCCCCCTTGAACTTGCCGCTCTCGATTTGTTTGATAATCAACGTCAAGCCTTGTTTGTTGATGAAGTCTAGAGCGAATGTCATGTCGGCGCTCAAGTTTGACAGACGCGCCATCGCGTGCGTCTTTTCTTCCCCCGAACCGGCTTGAAGCTTCTGGAGGATGTCCTGGGCGGTCTTCGAGGGGGAGTACTGCAGCCGCAGCACCGACCCGTTTTTGATTTCGTTGCGGTTTTTCTCGGTGATGTAGTTGCGGTTGTTGCTGTCGTTGAACTGGAGGGCGTACTGCTCGGGGTCGGACAGGTGCCACCCGTTGCACAGTTCTTGGATTATTCCGGCGAGGGGCTGCTTCTGGTTGAACTCGATGAGTTGGGGCACTTGGTCGGTCATTTCGACCGCGATTTTCACGATGTAGGAGTCCTTCATGGCGGGCATCTTCGGGGGTTTAGAGCATCATCAAGGGGGCCACTGCCAGGAAATGGTTTATTATTCAAGTGGGAGTAAACAACATTTTGACAAGTTTGACAGGAAGCGGGGTGACCACGTCGGCACGCCCATTTACGAGGCGCCAATCGAAGAACGACAAAGTTACAAGGGTGAATTGTAGTAAAAATCTCATCATTAATCACCCAGATTGAGTAAAACAATTAATACAAACGAAAATATAAAAACAACTCCACTTGCATCTAAAATTTGCGTCTAAACGACACTCAATTTGTTTTACGTTGGCACCACTGATTTCGCGATTGTCAGTCATAACAAAACTACAGATTTTTGGCAAAAATAGCTAATACGTTACGATGTTAACAACAGCAAGGACGTTAGGAACATGTCTGGTACGTACTCAAGCCCTTACAGCCCTATTTGGTTTTTCTTGGCGATGACATTACATAACATAACCTAACTTTCCAGAGACGGGCTTTGGGGGTTCGCTGTCTGCAGACAGCCCCCGCTCTGCAACACGAAGCCGTGTTCAACCACAGGGACACCCCCGAAGACAACCCCGATATCCCCTTCGATTTCACTCCCGAAAACCACAAGGTAACTTTCCCTTCAGTGACTGAATGACTGTCTTGATTCATATTTTGTGGCATCCCAGAGGGCTGAAGCCATCCTCGCCATCTACCCCGAGGGGCACAAAAGAGCCGCCATGATCCCTTTGTTGGATTTGGCGCAAAGACAACACGGGTGGCTTCCCATTTCGGCCATGCACAAGGTGGCCGAAATTTTGGATTTGCCCAGAATGAGGGTATACGAAGTGGCCACTTTTTATACGATGTTTATGAGGAAACCGACGGGGAAGTACCACCTGCAAGTTTGTACCACGACGCCGTGTTGGTTGAGGGGTTCCGACGAGATTTTGGAAACGTGCAAGGCTAAATTGAATTTGGAGGTGGGGGAGACATCCAGTGACGGGATGTTTACTATTTCAGAGGTGGAGTGTCTGGGGGCGTGTGTGAACGCCCCCATGATACAGGTTAACGACGATTATTACGTAAGTTGAACCGAGGGTTTGAATTTTCGTCGCAGCTACGCTGTCGTTTTCTAAATCGGTTTAATTTCGCCTGAATCAACTAACTCGAAAGAGATCACAATTTTGGTACAAAAACGTGGAAATGTTTGCTTGGCTTGCGCAGTTTTAGCAGCCTTCACGGGATTGTAAACAACAAATCGAAATCGTAACAAGCGTATACAATCACCTTAAGAAGAAGGGTAAGTTAGACGTAACGACCAATGGAAAATGCGCGCTCAGTCACGTGACATAGTTAGTCACTATTATTGGTCGCTGGAAACGAGTACGCCCTACATTTGTCCTTGACTATTTCGTGACTTACTAATAAATACAAGTGAAACTAAAAGCTTTCAGAAAATAATAATAAAAATAAGAACTCGGATATTTTTTTTGTTATAGGAGGATTTGACGGTCCAAGACACCGAACAGATCCTCAACGACTTGAAAAACAACAAGAAACCAAAACCAGGCCCTAGGTATTTTATTTTTTCAAGATTCGAATCGCGTAACTAATTTGACATTCCAGGAACGGCCGTTTCGCCGCAGAGCCCATCGGCGAGCCCACCAGCCTCGCAGGGGAGCCCCCCGGCCCCGGCTTCGGGGTCCGCGCAGATCTATAACTTAAAACCCACTAAATTGTGATTTTCAATAAATAATAATTAGTCCCACCGTTGTTTGGTTGTATTCCGCTCCAATTTTCCCTCGTTAGGTTGGCAACGCGGTTGGCATCATTGCGTTAGTGTGTCGATCTTCCCGTGGCGTCCTTAAATATAAACAACTTTTCCAAGTGCGAATTTAAATAATCTCGTGTTCGAAGATGAAGCGCAAAGGAAGGAAAAGTAAAACCGCCGACGACTCGTCGAACGGCGTGGGGGATCGGGAGGAACAAAATGGAGAGGCCTCCGAACGCGACGAGCAGGAGTCAGAGGAGCCCGAGGAGAAGAAGAGGAAATCCGGGAAGCGAAAAAGCTCCTCGAAGAAGGCGGACGACAGCGTCGAGGAGGAGCCCCAGTATGAGGTGAGTGGCGTGGAAAAAAATTGGCGCCTTTTTGCTGGAGCTCTGCGTTGCATCCACCATATTGTTGTTTGGTAACCGTCAAAGAAGGAAGAGGCGAAGGGGCTTCGAGAGGAACGGGCCGGAGGTGGTGCGGGATTTTTCAGTGCAGGATTGGCAGCTGGGGCGAATTGGGGCACGTGGGGGAAATTTCGCGCCTCTAACCTAAGTTTGAGTGGGGGCGAAGTCACGAGGTTGGGGCTGGTTGAGCGTGAAACGACCGAATTGTCTTGTCCTCGTGCCTCAAGTGCCCCAGGTGAGTGCCTCGAGCCAGTGGCGTAATTGGGAATTTTGCCGCCCATGCCGAGAAGCGGCGTTTTTGTAGCGCCCTCTGAAGGCGCAGCGGGCATGATTTGGCGGTTGGTCTGGAAAATCATAAATCGACACCTTGTATTTTACGACGTGGCTTATTTGGAGCAATAAAGAAATGAGATTAAATGACAATTACCGTTAATTATTTTGCCGATAATTACCCAAAAGTCCCCCCCCCAGTCAATAAATATGCACTACTATTATGTAGAAACCGTTGGAAGTTAGTTTTAGTTTAATTTCAGGTTTTTTGTCAATTTACAGGTCATAATTTCGAAGTACAATTTTACCATATTTAAATTTCAAGAGCCTCTGTATTTTTTGGTTTTTAAGAATCTCAATTTTTTTTATTTCGAAATATCGATTTTCCAATATCAAACTGAAAGCTCAACATTTCAGTTGTCACATCTTGAAATGTTAAAATTTCACTATTTCGCTAAATCTCAGGTTTTTCTTTAACATTTTGATTTATTAAATTCCAAACAATTTATTAAGGTTTCTAAATTCTCTGAAGTGATTTAGGTTTTCACGTCAAGATCTGCCAACCATATTTCGATTTTGTTAGGTGGAGCAGGTGCTTGATGAAAAATACATCAGAGGCGTGCGTCACTTCCTTATCAGATGGAAGGGCTACGAGCCCGAATCGGACACCTGGGAACCGGAATCGACCCTAAACTGCGCAGAATTGATCGCCGACTTCAAAACCAAACAGAAGAAAAAAGGGAAGAATAAGACCAAGCCAGTCAAGGCTAAAAAAGGAAGAGAGCGGGAAGATTCTTCTGACCAGGCCACATGGGACGAGAACGAGGATTTCGAGGTAATTATAAACCCAAACATAACCCACAAATTCTTCGCAGCCGAGGTACAGCTCCCCGTTAATTGCAACTGTCGGTTTTGTCGAATTTGTGGTTGAAGTTGTACTGAATACACGCTTTTCATGATTGTGTGAACGCAGGTTGAACGCATTTTGGACGTGTATTTCAAAAGGAACGGCAACCGGGAATTCCTGGTTTCCTGGAAGGGATATCCAGCGTCTCAGAATAGTTGGGAGCCTGAAGAGAACATGGATTGCAAGGATCTGATCAAGAAATTCATGGATAAGGTGGAGAAAGCGAAAGAATCTGATCAAAGGGAGCTGCGAGTGAAGCGAACGCACACAGACAGATTTACGCTTCTTTCAGATGGCCATCGCGGACGTAGATTAAGCAGAAGAAACCTAGGAAGGCAGAGGTGATTTTTTAAATGCTTAACCGTCCCGCCAAATAAATTCCTACGTCATATTATTTATTTGTTTATTTATTTATTTAATTTTCGTAGCGCTTGCCCATTTATCCGTAACTTCATAGCGTTTTTTATTTTCAGGGTTCACTACCATGATGCCGAATAAGAAACCAGTAGTACAATACTTTCAGAGGAATATCAATATGTGTATTTAAGATTATATTTTGAACTTACATAACCCTGAGTTATTGATATTTTTACTGGTTTAACCTTGAAAAACACAGAAAATGTCTTTTTTTTATATATTATTACTACATAGGGTAGCTCTATATGGTAAAAACGTGCAAACACATTAAATTGAGTTATTCAGTTATTCATTACTTCTACATTTGTTTATGAAAATAAAAATTATAAAATTTATTAGTATAATGTATTTATGTACTCCGTGTTTGTGTAAAATAAATTTTTACAAAGAACTGTCTTTTGATTTTTGTGGTGACATTTCACCATATACGAGAAAAATTCTAGAAGTTGCTGCAATACCAACTCGAGAAACGAAAATCCCGACCGTGAATCTTCGAATTTAAATCGAAAGGTGCTCAATTTTCGCGCTTTCGTAAACTTCCATGCCGCTTTCGCCAAAATGGGGTTACCGCAACGCAGACCCTGGACCCCATTTTATCGACTTCCCATAACCCCGTCCTGTCAAACGCGGCCAGGTTGGCGTCCCTGCTCTCGTCCGCAGTCGTGTAATCATGTGAATTTCGTCGAGTTTCTCCTCAAAAAATGCGCTTTTGAGGCCCCAACATGTGCGAGTTGCCGTGGTACGCATTGGCCGAAATCCACCTGAAGAACCGCGACAAGTCCCTCGAAGTCTACTGTCTCTGCAGCAGGGTTTTTCTAAGGTAGGTTATTATTCTGTCATCTGTCAACCGGACGCCGCCATTCATATTTAAATATCCCTCAAAAACGGTTTCCGCGATTTTTCCCACGTAATTCGGCAAAAATGCGGTGAAGTGCGATGACAAGCAGCGAAAATGGGGCGAAGGCCCCCGTCATTCACGACTTCTGCATTATCAAGCCCATCAGCCGGGGGGCCTTCGGCAAGGTGTTCCTGGGTTGCAAGAAGACCAACACGGACGTGATGTACGCGATCAAGGTGATGAAGAAGACGGAGATGGTGAACAAGAACATGGTGTCGCAGGTGGTGAACGAGCGGAATGCGTTGGCTTTGACGAAGAGCCCGTTTTGTGTGCAGTTGTTCTACACGTTGCAGACGACGTCGTCGGTTTACCTGGTGATGGACTATATGGTTGGGGGCGACTTGAAGAGCTTGTTGAGTGTGTATGGGTTCTTCGACGAGGGGATGGCGGCGTTTTATGTGGCGGAGGTGTGTCTGGCGTTGCAGTATCTCCACAGTCACAGCATCATTCATCGGGATATCAAGCCGGATAACATGCTGCTGTCGAAGGAGGGGCACGTGAAGCTGACGGATTTTGGGTTGTCGTGCGTGCAGATACACAGGGATTTGGAGATTTCGGACTTCGAGAACGCGACGCCGAATTTGTGCACGAGGACGCCAGGGCAGCTGCTGAGTTTGACGTCGCATTTGAGCTTCGGCTCTGGGAACTCAAGGTAGGGTAAGGGTGGTGTGCCCCATGTCCCAACGAGCACCCAGCAGGCATGGGCTAAAACTTACGAGCGAGGGAGTATATTGTACCGATTAAACCAACTGAAAATTTGCAAAAACAGTACCATTGTCCTTGCAAAAATATTGATCACGTCCAAAAAAAAAAACTCACGTATTATTTTTAGTGAAATCAACCCACATTTTAGAAAATTCTTTAAAAGATATGTTAAAAGGGTTTCGTTTTTTAACATCTCTGAATCCTCTGTGTTTAGAATTTTTAAAAATTAGAGAAGCTTCGTCATTTTAGAAAATCATTACACTTTTATAAAATTATTGAAGAATTTGAACCTCTAAAAAATTTATAACTCCTAAATATAATAAAAGTTAAGAACAAATTTTTATTTAAATGAGGTACAAACAGAAGAACAATATTTGGACGTTCTAAAATATCTAATACTTCAGAATTTTTGGATTTCTTCGGTTTTTTTTTTAATTTTTTGCTTTGTTGGATTTTTTTTTTTGAGTTATTCCACTTTTGGTATATTTTCGACTTTTTGGATTTTTGAAATTATTGGAGGTCTTTAATTGTTTAAGTTTCTTGGGTTTGTTGGATTTTTTAAATTCTTTGAATTTCTGGATGTTTGGATATTTTTGATTTTTTGGATTGTTGGATTTATTAAGTTTCTTGGATTTCGAGCACTTCTTGTTTTTTTTTTTAAGGTTTTTAGAATTTTTTGTTTTTTAGAGTTTTTTTTTTTTTCATTTTTTGATTCACTGGATTTCTTGAGTTTCTTCGGTTTTTCCATTCCTCGTGTGTTTTTTTTTTTTAATTTATTGATTTATTCAATTTTTTGGATTTTTGAAATTATTGGAGTTCTTGAGTTTTCTTTTTAGATTCTTGGGTTTCTCGCTTTTAGATTATTTGAAAATTTCAAATTCTATGATTTTTTTGGTTTATTGGATTTCTTAAGTTTCTTGGGATCCTTGCATTTCCTGGAATTTTTTTGAATTTTTTGCTTTTTGGATTTTTGAAACTATTGAATTTCTCTGGTTTTTTTGGAGTTTTTTGGATTTTTTCTTAGGTTCTTTGGATTTTTTTATTCTTTGAATTTTTTAGATTTTTACGTTTGTTTTTTCGATTTTTTTTATCCATTCCATTTTTTGGATTATGTGGATAATTTTTATTTTTCTGCTTTTTTTGGCTTTTTAAGATATTTTCGATTTTTTGGATTATTGGATTTATTAAGTTTCTTGGGTTTCATGCATTTCAAGTATATACTTATATTTTTTTAATTTCTTGGATTCCTTGAACTTTTTTAGATTAGTTGAAATTTTCAAATTCTATGACTTTTTGGATTGTTGGATTTCTTGTGTTTTTGGGGTTCCTTACACTTCTTGTTTTTTTTTTTTTTAGAATTTATTAGAATTTTTTGCTTTTTTGTGATGTTGGATTTTTTGGGATTTTTGGAATTATTGGATTTCTTGAGTTCTTAAATTGTTTTTTTTTTTAATTTCTTGGATTTTTTTAGATTATTTGACATTCTCAAATTCTATGATTTTTTTGAGTTTCTCGGGTTTCTTGCATTTTTTGGAATTTTTTAGAATTTTTTGCTTTTTGGATTTGTTGGATTTTTGTATTTTTGGAGTTATTGAATATCTTGAGCTTTTTTGGGTTTTTTGGATTCCTTCTTAGATTCTTTCGATTTTTTGATGGCTTGGATTTTTTAGGTTTTTGAGTTTGTTTTTTGGATTTATTTTTTCTTTATTCCATTTTTTCGATTATTGGGATAATATTAAATTTTCTGCTTTTTTGGATTTTGAAACATTTTCAATTTTTTTAGATTTTTGGAATTAAGTTTCTTGGTTTTCATGTAATTTTTTGGATTTTTTTAGAATTTTATTGCCTTTTCGATTTTTTTTGTTTTTTTTTATAATTATTGGATTTTTTGAGTTTCTTCAGGTTTTTTTTTGGATTTTTTACGTTTGTTTTTTTGGATTTATTGATTTAAAAACAAAATTATGCAAATTATCCAAAAAATTTAATTATTTGCATAATTTTGGTTTTTTTTTCTAATTCTTTCGATTTTTGGCATATTTTGAATTCGGATTTTTTTAATTATTAGAGTTCTTGAATTGTTTTTTAGTTTCTTGGATTTTTTAGATTATTTGAAATTTTCAAATTCTATGATTTTTTGGATTATGTATTGGCTGTCTTGAGTTTCTTGGGTTCCTTGCATTTCTTGCATTTTTTGGAATTTAAAAAAAAAATTTGCTTTCTGGATTAGTCAGATTTTTTTGGATTTTGGGAGTTATATAATATCTTGAGTTTTTTTGGGGGGTCCTTTTGATTATTTGGATAATTTTTAATTTTCTACTCTTGGATTTTGAGATATTTTCGATTTTTTTTTTAATTTTTTGGAATGATTAAGTTTCTTGTGTTTTTTTTTTTTAGATTTTTTTAGAATTTTTTACTTCTTCGTTTTTTTTTTTAATTTTAAAATTATTGGATTTCTTGGGTTTTTTCAGTTTTTTGCATTATTTTTTTGAGTCTTGGATTTTTTATGTTTTTTGGGTTTTTTTTTTTGGATTTATTGATTTATTCTATTTCTTGGATTATTTGGATAATTTTTGTTTTGTTTTTTATTTCGATTTAGATTTTTGAAAATTCTATGGTTTTTTTTGATATTTTCGATTTTTTGGATTATTAGATTTCGTGAGTTTCTTGAGTTCCTTGCATTTCATGGGTTTTTTTTGGATTCTTTCTTGGGGTCTTTGGACTGCTTAGATTTTTTAGATTTTTGAGTTTGTTTTTTGGATTTTTTTAAATGTATTCAATTTTTTTGGATTATTTGAATAGTATTAAATTTTCTGCTTTTTTGGATTTTGAGATATTTTCGATATTTTTAGATTTTTGGAATTAAGTTTCTTGGGTTTCATGTATTTCTTGTGTTTTTTAGATTTTTTGATTTTTTTTAGAATTTTGTTACTTTTTCGATTTTTTTTTTTTTATTTTTAGAATCATTGGACTTCTGCGAGTTTCTTCAGTTTTTGGATTTTTTAAAATAATTTTTGCGTTTGTTTTTTTGGATTTATTGATTTTTTGGATTTTTTTAATTATTTGCATAATTTTGTCCTTTTTTTTCTTTTCGTATTCTGATTCTTTGGATTTTTGGCATATTTTGGATTCAGATTTTTTAAATTATTGTAGTTCTTGAATTTTTTGGGATTTTCTGGATTCCTTCTGGGGTTCTTTGGATTTTTTTTGGATTTATTCCATTTTTTGTTTATTTGGATAATTTTTTATTTTACACTTTTTTGAATTTTGAGAATTATTAAGTTTCTTGGATTTTTTAAAATTATTGGATTTCTTGAGTTTTTTCAATTTTTTGGATTTCTCGGTTTTTTTTGATAATTTTTTGAATTTTGGATTTTTTATGTTTTTTGGGTTTGTTTTTTTGGATTTATTGATTTATTCTATTTCTTGGATTGTTTGCATAATTTAATTTTTTTTGTTTTTTATTTCGATTTGGATTTTTGAAATTATTGGTTCTTTTCAGTTTCTTGGATTATTTGAAAATTTCAAATTTTATAATTTTTTGGATATTTTCGATTTTTTGGATTATTGGATTTCGTGAGTTTCTTGGCTTCCTTGCATTTCTGGGATTTTTGTAATTACATATTGGATTTCTTGAATTTTTTGGGGTTTTTTTGAATTCCTTCTTGGATTCTCTGGATTTTTTAGTTTTGCGTTTGTTTTTTGGATTTATTCTAGATTTTTGGATTATTTGGAAAATATTCATTTTTCTGCTTTTTTGAATTTTTGGGATATTTTCGATTTTTTGAATTTGTCGAACTGTACCTAAGGGGCAAGGAAAGTCTTGTTGAAATAATCTTCCATCTTTTTTTTTTTTTTTTTTGTAGAGGTGTGGATCAGTTACATGTTTTACAATTAACTGTTCTCAAAAAATAAAATTTCATCAGAATTATGCAAACTTGTACAAATTCGAGTCAGAAATCAGTGTTTTTTTTTGTCACATTTTGGCGATTATTAAATTTTTCGTATTATTTGGCTGTAACTGTCAGACTGAACAAGGAAGTTGTTGGTGTTGCCAACATAAATATTTTAAAAATAAATTTCACGGCCTACTAGATCTTTTTTTTTTTCGATAATTGTGTATTGAGAAGTTCGACAAATAAAATTTTATTCAATTCGCTCGTTGGGAACATCCACTTTCCTTGAATACTTCCCCCAAATCTCACCGTCCGTCCCCTGCAGGTTCTGCAGCAAACACGACACCTCCGCCACCAACTTCGAAAAGAAACTCGACAGCGGCTCGGTCCTCTCCGGCGTGGCCTACCTCTCCGCCGAGGAGGCGTCCCTCCAGGTCACCGACACCAGCTCCTACCACACGTGCACCAGCACCCAGACCGCCGACTCGCACACCTCCCCCGTGAGCCGAAGATGCTCCAAGTTCCGCGCCGGCGACCGCAAGCGCAAGCAGCGCTCCCCCTCCACGGACAACCCCCCCAAGTCCTTCCTCAAGACCGGGCTCACCGGCGAAATGGAGATCCTCCGCGTCGACTCGACCAGTCCCCCCAAGGGGGTGACCTTCTCCACCCCCGTGTCCAGCCAGAAGCCCAACAAAGCCCCGAAGACCACCCGCTTCGAGCTGCCCGCCGGCAACAAAACCGAGGAGAACGTCGTCAGCCCCATCACCCCCAAGACGCCGCGGACGCCGTACAGGACGCCGAAGTCGGTGCGGCGCGGCCAGTGGAGCTCCGACCAGAGGATCCTAGGGACGCCGGACTACTTGGCGCCGGAGCTGCTGCTGAGGAAGGGGCACGACTGCGCGGTGGACTGGTGGGCGCTGGGGGTGTGCTTCTACGAGTTCGTCACGGGGATTCCGCCCTTCAACGACGAGACGCCGCAGCTGGTGTTCAGGAATATCCTGGAGAGGAATATCGAGTGGCCGACGGACGATGAGGCGCTGTCGGAGGAGACGGTGGGGGCGATCGAGAGCTTGCTGACGTCGGAGCCCGAGAAGAGGCCGAGGGCGCCCGAGGTGATGAAGATGGCGGTTTTTAGCAATACGGATTGGGAGAATTTGTTGCAGGCGCAGCCGCCGTTCGTGCCTGACCCTTACGATTTGACTGACACAGGTTATTTCCAAGCGAGGAACGAATTGCTCAATTTTAATATTTCGAATTTCGAGCTGTAGATTTGTAAGTGGGGTTGTTGTAATTATTTTTCTACGTTTATGTATGTAGTACAGTTTATGCAGACCAGTGGGGTGTTTTATTTGACAATCTGAGCGTTGAAAGTAGTCAGTTTTGACATGAATATACCTAACAAACGTGTTTGGTAAAGATGATGACAGCTGTCATACATGTCACTTTGACAATCAGGTGTGCCATAAAATTAAAAAAAAATCGCAAGCATTAATAGGCAATCAGTATATATGCAATGTGTTGCTTTAAACTCGTTGAAGTAAAGTGCCGTTTTTGACGACTTGTGGCCGTTCATTGTTGCCTTAAATATGTAATGGCCGTTCTGGTAAATCCGGTGTATTTTTTTTTCGACTCCATATGAATCTATTTTTCGTTTTAGAAGCCGAGATGACAATCTTAAACGTTCCGTCTTTTCGGCCGAATTCAGCGCTTCCGAAGAAGAACTGTTGCTAGACGAAGAGGTTTCGAGTGAATGTAGTTCTTTGCCTCAAATTTTGAAAAACAAAATTAAGCAAGATGTAAGTATAGTAGATTTCAGATGAACCTGCATCGCGGGTGCCTTGACAAGTTGGAGTTTACGTTGGTATGAAAGAAATATCCCTCCTCGTCTGTCAGATTTAGGTTGCTACACCTTGCTGTCATTTTGAAAGAGTTGCAACATCTGAATGTTTTGTGACCCGAATATTTGTCACAGAACATCGTATTGATGCGAAGAGTTTGACAGCAACTGTCAAAATCGTATTTTAACTGATCAGGATGTTTTTAGACAAAAGTGAGCCATGAAATTTTTTCTTGGATTCTCCCGCTTATCAGATCAGAATTCAATTTCTATTCTACCGTTAATAAATATTAAGCTAGCGAAATGGAATATTTGTCACAGAACAACGTATTGATACTTGACCTTAACGCGAAGAGTTTGACAGCAACTGTCAAAATCGTGTATAAACCGATCAGGATGTTTTCAGACAAAAGTGAGCCAATGAAATTTTTTCTTAGATTCTACCGCTTATGGAGGTGGGCGGAGCTAAGTTTGCCTTTTTTCTACAGAGTATAAGCAAGCAATTGCGCCGCCCACCCGCCCCACTCTTGAATCTAGTGACTACGCTTAATATTGTTCATTATAGACAAGGTTATTATCTTATTAGGATCTTAGATAAATCTGTTGAAACTGCTAAAAACGTAGATAAATTGTAAACAAATTTTGCGGAAAATATTAAGCGGGTGTTAAGTAAGCATATCAGACGTGAGAATTATATTTAAAAAGTATTATTATCGACGCTCCTCCTACTAGTAGAAGCTCCACCTTATTAAATCATTTTATTGGTTCCGAGAAGAGGGGTGGCGTTTACACTTGCACTTCATATGATACGGTAAAGTAGTTTTTCGATTAAAAATTAAAAATTTTATTTAAAAAAAAAAAGTTGCCCTAGATTCTATTATTTATCAATGTAAAATCCAACTTCCGTCTTAGTGCCAATAAAATGAGTCGTCAAAACGGAGTAGGGGTGGGTGGGCGGGGCTAGTTTTGGCTGTGTTTTAAATCTTAGATTTTACCGCTTATCAGTTCAGAATTCAATTTCTATTTTACAGTTAATAAAATATTAAGCTAGCGAAATGAATAAATGATGTGGGCGGAGCTAACTTTTTCTTTGTTTTACAGTCTTTGAGCAAGCGACTGCCCCACCCACCCACCCCACTCTTGATTCTGAGGACCACTCTTAATATTGTTAATTATTGTCAACGTTATTATCTTATTAAAATCTTGGGCAAATCTTGCGACCCTTTGCTGGAAAAGTAGATGAAGTGTAAAAAAAATTGTGGAAAATATTAAGCGGGTGTCAAATAAGTATAAGTATATCAGACGTAAGAATTATATTTAAAAAGTATTATCGATGCTCCTCCCACTAGTGGAGGCCCCACCTTGTTAAATCATTTCATTGGTTCGGAGACGAGGAATAGCGTTGACAGTTGCACATCATATGATACGGTAAAGTCGTTTTTCGGTTAAAAAATAAAATTTTATTAAAAAAAAATCTAGTTCTAGATTCTATTATTTATCAATATAAAATCCAACTTCTGTATCAGAGCCAATAAAATGAGTCATTAAAACGGAGTTAGAGTGGGTGGGTGGGGCTAGTTTTTCTTTGGTTTAAATCTAACATTCTACCGCTTAGTGGTGTTAAATAAGCATATCAGACGTGAGAATTATATTTAAAAAGTATTATTATCGATGCCCCTCCCACTAGTAGAAGCTCCGCCTTATTAAATCATTTCATTGGTCCGAGACAAGAAGTAGCGTTTAATTTGCACCTCATATGATATGGTAAAGCCGTTTTTCGATTAAAAATTACAATTTTATAAAAAAAAATATTTCTAGATTCTATTATTTGTCAATATAAAATCTAACTCCCTTTCAAGATCCAATAAAATGGGTCATCAGAAGCAAGTAAGGGCGGGTGGGTGGGGCTAGTTTTGACTTTGTTTGAAATCTTAGATTTTATTGCTTGTCTATTCAGAATTCAACTCCTCTTTTACACTAAATAAAATATAAAGTTAATAATATAAAGGAAGGAACTGGGCGGGGCTAATTTTACCTTTTTTCTACAATCTTGAAGTAAGCGATTTCTACAATCTTGAAGTAAGCGATTTCTACAATCTTGAAGTAAGCGATTGCCCCGCCCACCCACCCCACTCTTGATTCTGGTGACCACTCTTATTATTGTTAATTATAGACAACGTTATTATCTTATTCAAATCTTTGGCGAATCTTTTGAACTTTTGCTGCAAAAGTAGATGCATTATAAACAAACTTTGTGGAAAATATTAAGCAGGTGTTATAAACAAGCATTTCAGACGTGAAAACTATATTTAAAAAGTATTATTATCGATGCCCCTCCCACTAGTAGAAGCTCCGCCTTATTAAATCATTTCATTGGTTCCGAGACAATAAGTAGCGTTTACATTTGCACCTCATATGATATGGTAAAGCCGTTTTTCGATTAAAAATTACAATTTTATTTAAAAAAAATATTTCTAGATTCTATTATTTGTCAATATAAAATCCAACTCCGTTTCAAGAGCCAATAAAATGGGTTATCAGAACCAAGTAAGGGCGGGTGGGTGGGGCTAGTTTTGACTTTGTTTTAAATCTTAGATTTTATCGCTTATCTATTCAGAATTCAACTCCTCTTTTACACTAAATAAAATATAAAGTTAATAATATAAAGGAAGGAACTGGGCGGGGATAATTTTAGCTTTTTTCTACAATCTTGAAGTAAGCGATTGCCCCGCCCACCCACCCCACTCTTGATTCTGGTGACCACTCTTATTATTGTTAATTATAGACAACGTTATTATCTTATTAAAATCTTTGGCGAATCTTTTGAACTTTTGCTGCAAAAGTAGATGAATTATAAACAAACTTTGTGGAAAATATTAACCAGGTGTTAAACAAGCATTTCAGACGTGAGAACTATATTTAAAAAGTATTATTATCGATGCCCCTCCCATTAGTAGAAGCTCCGCCTTATTAAATCATTTCATTGGTTCCGAGACAAGAAGTAGCGTTTACATTTGCACATCATATGATATGGTAAAGCCGTTTTTAGAATAAAAATTACAATTTTATAAAAAAAAAATATTTCTAGATCCTATTGTTTGTCAATATAAAATCCAACTCCGTTGCAAGAGCCAATAAAATGGGTCATCAGAACCAAGTAAGGGCGGGTGGGTGGGGCTAGTTTTGACTTTGTTTTAAATCTTAGATTTTAGCGCTTGTCTATTCAGAATTCAACTCCTCTTTTACACTAAATAAAATATAAAGTTAATAATATAAAGGAAGGAACTGGGCGGGGATAATTTTAGCTTTTTTCTACAATCTTGAAGTAAGCGATTGCCCCGCCCACCCACCCCACTCTTGATTCTGGTGACCACTCTTATTATTGTTAATTATAGACAACGTTATTATCGTATTAAAATCTTTGTCGAATCTTTTGAACTTTTGCTGCAAAAGTAGATGAATTATAAACAAACTTTGTAAAAAATATTAAGCAGGTGTTAAATAAGCATTTCAGACGTGAAAACTATATTTAAAAAGTATTATTATCGATGCCCCTCCCACTAATAGAAGCTCCACCTTATTAAATCATTTCATTGGTTCCAAGAAAAGAAGTAGCGTTTACACTTGTACCTCATATGATATGGTAAAGCCGTTTTTCGATTAAAAATTACAATTTTATTTAAAAAAATTATTTCTAAATTCTATTATTTGTCAATATAAAATCCAACTCCGTTTCAAGAGCCAATAGAATGGGTCATCAGAACCAAGTAAGGGCGGGTGGGTGGGGCTAGTTTTGACTTTGTTTTGAATCTTAGATTTTACCATTTGTCTATTTAGAATTCAACTCCTCTTTTACACTAAATAAAATATAAAGTTAATAATATAAAGGAAGGAACTGGGCGGGGCTAATTTAACCTTTTTTTCTACAGTCTTGGAAGTAAGCGATTGCTCCGCCCACCCACCCCACTCTTGATTCTGGTGACGACTCTTATTATTGTTAATTATAGACAACGTTATTATCTTATTAAAATCTTTGGCGAATCTTTTGAACTTTTGCTGCAAAAGTAGATGAATTATAAACAAACTTTGTGAAAAATATTAAGCAGGTGTTAAATAAACATTTCAGACGTGAAAACTATATTTAAAAAGTATTACTATCGATGCCCCTCCCACTAGTAGAAGCTCCACCTTATTAAATCATTTCATTGGTTCCGAGACAAGAAGTAGCGTTTACATTTGCATCTCATATGATATGGGAAAGCCGTTTTTCGATTAAAAATTACAATTTTATTTTAAAAAAATATTTCTGAATTCTATTATTTGTCAATATAAAATCCAACTCCGATTCAAGAGCCAATAAAATGGGTCATCAGAACCAAGTAAGGGCGGGTGGGTGGGGCTAGTTTTGACTTTGTTTTGAATCTTAGATTTTACCGCTTGTCTATTCAAAATTCAACTCCTCTTTTACACTAAATAAAATATAAAGCTAGTAATATAATGGAAGGAACTGGGCGGGGCTAATTTTACCTTTTTTCTACAATCTTGAAGTAAGCGATTGCCCCGCCCACCCACCTTACTCTTGATTCTGGTGACCACTCTTATTATTGTTAATTATAGACAACGTTATTATCTTATTAAAATCTTTGGCGAATCTTTTCAACCTTTGCTGCAAAAGTAGATGAATTATAAACAACCTTTGTGGAAAATATTAAGCAGGTATTGAGCAAGCATTTCAGACGTGAGAACTATATTTAAAAAGTATTATTATCGATGCTCCTCCCACTAGTAGAAGCTCCGCCTTATTAAATCATTTCATTGGTTCCGAGACTAGAAGTAGCGTTTACATTTGCTACTCATGTGATATGGTAAAGCCGTTTTTCGATTAAAAATTACAATTTTATTTAAAAAAAATATTTCTAAATTCTATTATTTGTCAATATAAAATCCAACTCCGTTTCAAGAGCCAATAAAATGGGTCATCAGATGCAAGTAAGGGCGGGTGGGTGGGGCTAGTTTTGACATTGTTTTAAATCTTAGATTTTACCACTTGACTATTCAGAATTCAACTCTTCTTTTACACTAAATAAAATATGAAGTTAGTAATATAAATGAAGGAACTGGGCGGGGCTAATTTTACCTTTTTTCTACAATCTTGAAGTAGGCAATTCCTACAATCTTGAAGTAAGCGATTGCCCCGCCCGCCCACCCTACTCTTGATTCTGGTGACCACTCTTATTATTGTTAATTATAGACAACGTTATTATCTTATTAAAATCGTTGGCGAATCTTTTGAACTTTTGCTGCAAAAGTAGATGAATTATAAACAAACTTTGTAAAAAATATTAAGCAGGTGTTAAATAAGCATTTCAGACGTGAAAACTATATTTAAAAAGTATTATTATCGATGCCCCTCCCACTAATAGAAGCTCCACCTTATTAAATCATTTCATTGGTTCCAAGAAAAGAAGTAGCGTTTACACTTGTACCTCATATGATATGGTAAAGCCGTTTTTCGATTAAAAATTACAATTTTATTTAAAAAAATTATTTCTAAATTCTATTATTTGTCAATATAAAATCCTACTCCGTTTCAAGAGCCAATAAAATGGGTCATCAGAACCAAGTAAGGGCGGGTGGGTGGGGCTAGTGTTGACTTTGTTTTAAATCTTTGATTTCACAGCTTGTCCTATTTTACACTAAATAAAATATAAAGTTAATAAAATGCAAAACGGAAGTGGGCGGAGCTAACTTTTCTACAGTCAGTAAGCCGTTGCCCCGCCCACCCGTCCCACTCTTGATTCAGGTGACCACTCTTAATATTATTAATTATATACAACACTATTATCTTATTAGATTCTTCAGCATCTCTGTTGAAACTTTGCTGAAAAAGAAAACAAATTTTGTGGAAAATATTGAGCGGGTGAGAATTATATTTAAAAAGCATTATTATCAATGCTCCTCCCATTCGTAGAAGTTCCAACTTATTAAATCATTTCATTGTTATGTTATTCAATTCCCTTTCAGATTTTTGGAAAATTTGCTGATCCGAACAAAGCGCTAATCCGAACACACCTTTCCCCAAGTAATTCGGATTATCGAGTATACTGTATACAGAATTTGTTATTTAGTCTTTAATTAGTACTCTTTACTACAGTTCATTCTTTTTTCATTAGGGATCTTTGCATATACGAAAGTGGTTGTCAACCGAATTACTAGATTTACATGGCCTACCTTTGCCTAAAAACATCCTGAACGGTATATTTTGTATTGTCAACTTTCACTTTTGCCATCATGGAATTGGTCTTCCTCTAGGGTCACTAATATACCATGATGATGTCCGACTGTGAAGGATATAAACATCTCTCTATCTCTTGCCACCTGTACTGTATATTCGTGACCTTACCCCATTTTAGAAGACTCGCCTCAATAGACCCCCACCTCTAACCCCACCCAGTGTCACCCGACACTGCCAATCGCCTCTCATACGTCTCCCCCTCCAGGCCGAACCCGAGACCGTCAGTTGCTACTGCAGCGCCTCCCACACCGACAACCTCTCCACCGACGAGCACGACAGCCTCCGCGACTCCCACGACGGCCGCCCCCCGCACCGCGGCCTCCAGTCCAGCGACAGCGGCGCCGACCTGACCGAGTGCGTCCGCCAGGACATCGACGGCGACTGGCACAAGTACTGGTCGCTGAACGGCGAGAAGCTCATCTGGGAGTCGTGGATCGCCAAGTACAGCGCGTACATCAACCCGGACTACCTGCAGTTCGCGCAGGACCAGGCCGACACCGAGCAGAAGGAGCGGCGCGAGCAGCTGTCGCTCGACGTGGCCGAGGGCCGGCGCGGCGACCGGGACGTGAAGAACCGCATCCTGGTGCGCAACCTGTCGGGCAGCGACGACAAGCTCAACACGGAGGTGTCGGACGGGTGGAACCCGCTGTCGCCGGTGAGCGTCGACTGCGAGACGGAGGTCGAGCAGCTGCTGAGCTCAAGGTGCGGCAGCCACGCCAGCTCGCTGCGGACGGTCGACTCGATGACGAACGTCACGCGGATGACGATCTCGTCGCTGGATCTGAGCCAGAGCTCGCACAGCTCAGAGAGTTTCTCGTCGGTGAGCTCGGTGCAGAGCTCGCTGAGCTCGACGAGCTCGGAGGAGAACGAGGAGGATTATCAGCACCAGTGGCACGTGCTGTGGAAGAGGCACTACGAGGAGGAGTTCATGCGGCAGTATGAGCTGTTCGTGGTCACGTGGAAGGACCACAATGTCTCGGGTGAGCCGGAGGATTGGTTATGAATTTAACATGATAAAGTAATGCACAAAATTCGTAAAAAGCGCAGCATTTGTTTTCGTTTTACTCTCCATCTGTTGACATATGTCAAAAAAAAATTACGTCAAATTTGTGAAAGTTATGACGTTATCAATGATTTTTTAAATGAGACGTTATAATTTTGATCGAATTATCTGATAAAGCTTATTTTTCTACATATGAGAATGTAGCTTGATGTAGGGGTTGCATAACAAAAAAAATGGAGAAAAATAATAACAAACGAAATAAACGTGATATGAACAATAAAAAATCATCACAATTGGGATGGGGTGGGTGGGCGGGGTTTATATTTTTCCTTTTTTTTCTTAAAATACATAGTATTCTTTGAACAACACGATGCTCAAAAACACGTTTTTAATTTCTTGCAAAGAAATAAAACCAATAAAAAAAATCATCACAATCGAGATAGGGCGGGTGGGTGGGCTTACAAGGCTTACAAGGAAATATCAATTTTGCAATTAGGCTCCACCCCACAATTGCAAAATCCATATTTTCTTCCAAAAATGTACTATTTTAACCATGTTTTAAGTTTCTTGTTGTAAAAAGATGGCTATGTATATTAAGAAAAAAAAAGACAAAATATAAGCCCCGCCCACCCACCCTAGCTCAATTCTGATGATTTTTTTATTCGTCGTGAGCCGAGGGGTGAAACTTAATTGTAAAATCCTTATTTTCCAGATCCAGATAAGCCCCAAAATTTAGATGGCAGGATTTGTGTAAATGTAATGGTGTTTTTTTATGGAGATATTTAAAAAGTCATGTTTACAATATGAACAAACCCGATAATTTAGACGACTGGAAAGCACGAATCCGGCATGAACTGACTCTTATAAGTTCCCAGAGTATTGAAAATTCCGTCAATCACGTCAACCGTCGTTCGGGTTTGTGACAAATAGTGAATGGGGAACAGTTTGAACAATTTCTATATCATACATTTTTACTCCAATGTATTGTTCTGTTTATTTAACATTTATCATTAAAATCAAATTTATTTTGTTTGTTATTAATTTTCTCAATTTTTTGTTATGCAACCTCTATATCAAACTACATTTTCGTATACAGAAAAATAAGCTTTATCAAATAATACACTCAAAATTATACCTTCCGATTTAAAAAAAATCATTGATGATGGATGTCATAACCTTTGCAAATTTGACGTCACAATTTTTATGACGTGTCAAAAGATGAAGAATAAAACAAAAAGTTTGGCATGTTTTTGCATTACTTTATCATAACCCTGTATATTTTTACATAAAGCATAAATACGCTATAACTACACTTTTTTGTGTTGTTACAATTAGCAATCAGATCTTTTTCCAAATTTCTACTTCGAGTCCATGGAACTAATAGCCACTTTTATGTTTTCTCGATGTTTCATGACCCGTAGAGTACGAAAAATATAGTCTCGTTTCCGTCCGTCTGTCTGTCTATTTGTCTGGTGTCTGTATCCATTTTTATTAGACACGTAATCTCCGGAAGTGCTGACCCGATTGTCGTTGGAAATATCATGCCAACCAAAATTTTGCTAATCATCCCCACCAACAATTTGATGACGTCATTTCGAAGAATTCTATGTTTATTTGATTTAACTGTTATACAACAATATAGTTCTATAAGTGTGGTGTATAAATCCGCTTTAAGTTTTTCCCTAACCGTCCAAATTTTTATATTTAATATATAGAATTTTCTTTCGACAACAGGATAGTTAAACATATTTTCAGTTGGGAAAATAAGACTTCGTATGTTAAGAAAAAATGGACAAAATATAAGCCCCGCCCACCCACCCCTTCTCAATTGTGATGAATGCTTGCTTTATTCATCGTGAGCTGAAAGGCGAAGTTTAGTTGCAAAATTCTCGTTTCTCTACAAGAAATTACCATATGAAATATGTTTTTACAAGGGTAGAATTTTTTAGAGAAATATTGATGTGACGATTAAACTTCGCCCTTCGATTTGATTAGGAATAAAAAACTCATCACAATTGAGAACGGGGCGAGTGGGTGGGGCTTATTATTTTTTTTTTTTTTTTTTTAATATACAAAGTTTTCTTTCAACAACAGGATAGTTAAATATATTGTCAGATTCTTGTTGAGAAAACAAGACTTCGCATGTTAAGAAAAAATGGACCAAATAAAAGCCCCGCCCACCCACCTCTTCTCGTTTGTTATGAACGCTTGCTTTATTCATCGTGAGCTGCAGGGCGAAGTTTAGTTGCAAAATCCTCATTTCTCTACAATAAATTACCATATGAAATATGTTTTTAGGGTAGAATTTTGTAAAGAAATTATATGTTACAATTAAACTCCGCCCTGTCGGTCTGATTAGGAATGAAAAACTCACAACTCATATCGGGGCGGGTGGGTGGGGCTTAATGTTTGTTTGTTTTTTGTTTTTTTTTTTTTTTTGTTCTTTATATACATAGTTTTCTTTCAACAAAAGCAAAGCGCAAGAGATATTATAATAAAAATCATAAAATTAATCTACTATTCAATAACTTTGGATTATACTCCTAATATAAGTCACGTAGAATAACTTGTATTTTCTCATTTTCTCGAAAAACTGAAGAAATGAAAAACTGAAAAATCTAAAAATTGAAAACTCCTGAAATTTCAAATCGAAAAATTGCAAAATCTAATAATTGAAACGTCTAGAAGTTGGAAAATCGGAAAACTGGAAAATTTAAAAATGAAACTCGAAAAATTGAAGAAAAAATTCAAGTCAAATAGGCTGCTGTTGTAAGTATTTACGCCACTGGTTTTTACTTTATAGAGGTTATAAGAAAATAAAAATCTCAAAAAAAAAAAGATAATTTTTCAGAGAAGTGGGATTTATTTGGCTGCATTTCAGGGACGAGGGAAGTTCTGTTGAAATAACCTTCGACCAATTTTTTAAAAATGTAAAACCTCCGGAGCTCCAGATGTTTTTTTTTTAATGAAACCTCAGGATCCCAATTCTCTTTTTTGAAAAATGTAAAACCTTCTCAGGAGCTCCAAATGTTTTTTTTTTTTTTTTTTGTGAAACCTCGGGAGCCCCAAATGTCTTGTTTTTTTTTATGTGAGACCTTCTCCAGGATCACAATTCTCTTTTTTGAAAAATGTAAAACCTTCTCAGGAGCTCCAAATATATATATATTTTTTTTTGTGAAACCTCGGGAGCCCCAAATGTCTTGTTTTTTTTTTTTAATGTGAAACCTTCTCCGGGGTCCCAATTCTCTTTTTTGAAAAATGTAAACCTTCTCAGGAGCTCCAAATGTTTTTTTTTTATTGTGAAACCTCGGGGATCCCAAGTGTGGTTTTTAAAAATGTAAAACCTTCTCAGGAGCTCCAAATGTTTTTTTTTTTTTTGGTGAAACCTTCTCAAGGGTCCCAAGTGTGATTTTTAAAAATGTATAACCTTCTCGGGAGTCCCAAATAAATGTCTTGTTTTTTTTAATGTCAAACCTTCTCGGAGGTCCCAATTCTCTTTTTTAAAAATATAAAGCCTTCTCAGGAGCCCCAAATGTCTTGTTTTTTTTTTTTTTGGTGAAACCTTCTCAAGGGTCCCAAGTGTGATTTTTAAAAATGTATAACCTTCTCGGGAGTCCCAAATAAATGTCTTGTTTTTTTTAATGTCAAACCTTCTCGGAGGTCCCAATTCTCTTTTTTAAAAATATAAAGCCTTCTCAGGAGCCCCAAATGTCTTGTTTTTTTTTTTTAATGTGAAACCTCGGAGGTCCCAATTCTATTTTTTTTTTTAATGTGAAACCTTCTCAGGAGCTCCAAATGTTTTTTTTTATTGTGAAACCTTCTCGGGGGTCCCAACTGTTGTTTTTAAAAATGTATAACCTTCTCGGGAGCCCCAAATAAATGTCTTTTTTTTAATGTCAAACCTTCTCAGGAGCTGCGAATGGTTTTTTTTTTTGTGAAACCTCAGGAGCCCCAAATGGCTTGTTTTTACTTCCCGAGCGTAAGCAAAGGAAGTATTGTAATCGAGTCCGTCGGCCGACTCTCTACTTTTACATTTTCTCGATCTTTCATGACCCCTAGAAGACGAAGAAATAGGTCTCCCATTTCCGTCTGTCTGTCCGTCTGTCCGTCCGTCTGTCCGTCTGTCCGTCTGTTGTCCCGGATTTTTATTAGACAGATAATCTCCGAAAGTACTCGACCGATTGTTGTGAAATTTTGTACTTATATTAAGAATATCATGTAGATGGTAAAACGCTAACCAAAATTTGTCTAGTCATCCCCACCACTAATGCGATGACGTCACTTCAAAATTGTACATAGTAAATGGGTTTTCAATTGTATAAAATAACATAGTCCTACACATGTAGTTTACAACTCTGAATCGACTTTTCACCCGAAACGTCCAGATTTTTGGAAAAAAAATCAAAATTATAAAACAACATTTTGAAATTTAATTTTTAATCTGCTAACCAGAATGCTTTGAAACGTTACAGATGTTTTAAGGCTATAAAGAGCATCATAAATCTTTAGTCAAAAAATATTTGCTTATCCCCTCCAAAAACTTGATGACGTCAGCTCAAAAGTTTGTGGAATAAATCATATCTAAAATGTACAAAATATGATGAGTCTGTACTTGTGATCTATCACTCCATTCATATTTTTTGGATTTGCATATACAGGGTGACTCAAAAAAATTAATGAATGCGTAAATATATTTTATTGATTTAATCAGGAACTACAAAACCGAATGCTCTGAAATCTTGCAGATGTTTTAAGGTCATAAAGAGCATAATAAATTTTTAGTCAAAATATATTTGGTTATCTTCTACAAAAAACTGATGACATCAGCTCAAAAGTTTGCCGAATAAATCGTATCTAAAATGTACAAAATATGATGAGTCTGTATTTGTGATTTATCATTCCATTCATATTTTTGGATTTGCATATGCAGGGTGACTCAAAAAAATTAATGAAGGCTTGAATTTATTTTATCGATTTAATCAGGAATTACAAAACCGAATGCTTTGAAATCTTGGGAATATTTTAAAGTTATTATAAGCATGGTAAACTTTTGTTCAAAATGTATTTGTTCATCCCTCCTAAAAAAATTGATGACGTCATCCTTAAATTTTGCTGAATAAATCCTATCTAAAATGCAAAAAATATGATGAGTTTGTACTTGTGATTTATCATTCCATTCATATTTTTTAGATTTTCTTAAGAGGTGGTTCAAAAAAATTAATGAAGTCAATTTATTTTATTGATTAAATTAAAGGCAACACTTATTATTAGTATTACACCCCAACCAACCCAATTTGGTAGACACAAAATTTGTTAAAGGAAAAACTCGGTTGAAACATAAGGGTAGCACGCTTATTTACATCGACTTTAACATTACAGACCTGCATTTGTTTTATGCGCTCACTTGGTTCCGCGAATTTGAAATAGACATGTTTATAATCAACCAATTGTGAATTTCACCGTCAAGAATTAAAATAAAACCCAATGTTTTATATAATAAGCGGAAGTCGAAGCAATAAAACCGATGGTCGTTTTGTTTACAGTTTCTCTGTTTGACTCTCACGTATGCTGTTACGCCTGTCATCTTAAATTAAGAATGTTTATACATGCACGATTTTCAGTTGCCTCTGATACGTATACGTGAGTAAATTGTTTCGTTATTTTATTGATTATTACAAATCAATATTCAAAACGACCCAATTCATTTTCCCGAAAATTTGAGAATATAATAATTTTATTCTTAGTATTACACTACATCTATCCCAACTCATATACGTGTCCTTGCAAAAATGTTGATGACGTCATCGCATTTTTTTTTAAATTCCCACTACAAAAATGTAATGAGAAAAAAAACACAATAGGCATGCAGTCGTCAAGTTTCCGACAGCGAGGGAAGTACTGTCTAAACTCTTTAGACCAATTTTTTTTTTAATGTGAAACCTTCTCCGGGATCCCAATTCTCTTTTTTGAAAAATGTAAAACCTTCTCAGGAGCTCCAAATATATATATATTTTTTTTTGTGAAACCTCGGGAGCCCCAAATGTCTTGTTTTTTTTTTTTTAATGTGAAACCTTCTCCGGGGTCCCAATTCTCTTTTTTGAAAAATGTAAAACCTTCTCAGGAGCTCCAAATGTTTTTTTTTTTTGTGAAACCTTCTCAAGGGTCCCAACTGTGGTTTTAAAAATGTATAACCTTCTCGGGAGCCCCAAATAAATGTCTTTTTTTTTAATGTCAAACCTTCTCAGGAGCTCCAAATGTTTTTTTTTTTTTTTTGTGAAACCTCGGGAGCCCCAAATGACTTGTTTTTTTTTTTAATGTCAAACCTCCGGGGTCCCAATTCTCTTTTTTGAAAAATGTAAAACCTTCTCAGGAGCTCCAAATGTTTTTTTTTTTTTTATTGTGAAACCTTCTCGGGGGTCCCAACTGTGGTTTTTAAAAGTGTAAAACCTTCTCAGGAGCTCCAAATGTTTTTTTTTTTTTTTTGAAACCTTCTCAAGGGTCCCAACTGTGGTTTTTAAAAATGTATAACCTTCTCGGGAGCCCCAAATAAATGTCTTGTTTTTTTTAATGTCAAACCTTCTCGGAGGTCCCAATTCTCTTTTTTAAAAATATAAAGCCTTCTCAGGAGCCCCAAATGTCTTGTTTTTTTTTTTAATGTGAAACCTCGGAGGTCCCAATTCTCTTTTTTTTTAATGTGATACCTTCTCAGAAGCTCCAAATGTTTTTTTTTATTGTGAAACCTTCTCGGGGGTCCCAACTGTTGTTTTTAAAAATGTATAACCTTCTCGGGAGCCCCAAATAAATGTCTTGTTTTTTTAATGTCAAACCTTCTCGGAGGTCCCAATTCTCTTTTTTTTTAATGTAAAACCTCAGAAGCTCCAAATGTTTTTTTAAACCTAGGGGGTCCCAACTCTGGTTTTTAAAAATGTAAAACCTTCTCGGGAGCCCCAAATGTCTTGTTTTTTTTTTTTTAATATGAAATTTTCTCGGGGGTCACAATTCTCTTTTTTTTTATGTAAAACCTCAGGAGCTCCAAATGTTTTTTTTTAACCTTCTAGGGGGTCCCAACTGTGGTTTTTAAAAATATAAAACCTTCTCGGGAGCCCCAAATGTCTTGTTTTTTTTTTAATGTGAAACCTCGGAGGTCCCAATTCTCTTTTTTTTTTAATGTGAAACCTTCTCAGGAGCTCCAAATGTTTTTTTTTATTGTGAAACCTTCTCGGGGGTCCCAACTGTTGTTTTTAAAAATGTACATATAACCTTCTCGGGAGCCCCAAATAAATATCTTGTTTTTTTAATGTCAAACCTTCTCGGAGGTCCCAATTCTCTTTTTTTTTTTAATGTAAAACCTCAGAAGCTCCAAATGTTTTTTTTAAACCTAGGGGGTCCCAACTGTGGTTTTTAAAAATGTAAAACCTTCTCGGGAGCCCCAAATGTCTTGTTTTTTTTTTTTAATGTGAAACCTCGGAGGTCCCAATTCTCTTTTTTTTTAATGTGAAACCTTCACAGGAGCTCCAAATGTTTTTTTTTATTGTGAAACCTTCTCGGGGGTCCCAACTGTTGTTTTTAAAAATGTACATACAACCTTCTCGGGAGCCCCAAATAAATATCTTGTTTTTTTAATGTCAAACCTTCTCAGAGGTCCCAATTCTCTTTTTTTTTTTAATGTAAAACCTCAGAAGCTCCAAATGTTTTTTTTAAACCTAGAGGGTCCCAACTGTCGTTTTTAAAAATGTAAAACCTTCTCGGGAGCCCCAAATGTCTTGTTTTTTTTTTTTTTTAATATGAAATCTTCTCGGGGGTCACAATTCTCTTTTTTTTATGTAAAACCTCAGGAGCTCCAAATGTTTTTTTTTAACCTTCTAGGGGGTCCCAACTGTGGTTTTTAAAAATATAAAACCTTCTCGGGAGCCCCAAATGTCTTGTTTTTTAAAATGTAAAACCTTCTCGGGGGTCCCAACTGTGGTTTTAAAAATGTAAAACCTTCTCGGGAGCCCCAAATGTCTTGTTTTTTTTTTTAATGTGAAACCTCGGGGGTGCAAATTCTCTTTTTTAAAAATACAAAACCTTCTCAGAGGTCCCAACTGTCTTTTTTAAAAATGTAAAACCTCGGGGCCGCCGAACGTATTTTTTTAATGTGAAACCTCGGGGCTTCTTTCTACATCAGCAGATGTAATAAGTATGTAGCTAAACGCACTAATAATGTCCAGACCTAATTCTACCTTAATAGCTAGCGATTCGCCACTTAACATTAAACTGATGTTTTCTATTCTTATAAATTACCTTTTACTTTTTTCTATATTTTCCGCACTTGTGTGGACCGCGTCCCCTTAGAATTTGCGCCCCCATGGCGCAGAGGCTGCGGGAGTGTTGCTTACTTATAAACTTCCACAAACAAATCATACAATCCGCTTTCTAGTTCTAATTGTAACAATATTCACTCATTTAACTTTTTGTCAACGCTGTAGATGTGAGCGACCGGATCGAGAGCAACATTCCTGGTACAGCCAATGCGTATTTAAGCAGCCCCTCGCACGTTAGTAAACAAACCAAAAAAAATATCCACAAAGTATTTCAAGGCAAAGTCGAGAAGAACGACGTCAAGTGTCCTATCCAAGTCAATAGCAACGTAGCCAAGTCTTTAGGTTTTTTGTTGAGTAGTTTAAAAGTGTCTAGCGAAGAGAATAGCAGGATGGAGGAAGCCATAGAAGTGGAAAGCGAGTACGACAGCGCGGAAGAAGAGAAAACCCAGATGGCCGCCATGGGTTTGCCCACGTCTTTCGTACCAAAACACAAAAGGGAGAGAGTCGACGAGTCGGAAACCACAGAGAGGTAACACCGATTTTAGTAAGCGAAAACGTTTCTAGATTTCTGCGTTGTAGCGGTAGCTTGCCAGGCGACTTCGAGTCATGCCGCAAGAGAATCAAAGCAGCCTTTAATCTCATGGGCATTGAGTACCATGACACCAACACGAGCCCGCTTTCTGGGCAAGTGCACTACAAAATGAAACACATTCGGCTACAAAACAGACACCTGAAGTTGCGGAACGACAACAAGAGACCGAGACATATACATTTCGATGAGGACGGTAACGTGATTAGCGAAACTGGACCTTCTGAAGAAGTACGTTACGGTTCAATGTGTTCAATTTTTAATTCGTCGGGTTCTAGGGTGGTTTCCAGAGTGTTCTACCTGACAGTTCCGACGATAAACATAGTTCTGCAGACGAGGACATCAGCAGCGAGGTGGTGACAACTCCACCGAAACTCGAGGAACAAGCCGAGGAAGTGATACCCAAGCGCAAGAAACGCAAGAAGAAGATCGCCGTTCCTCCGGAAATCAAGGAGAACGCCTATTTGAGAAAATACTGGCACAGGAGGTTCAACCTCTTCAGCAAGTTCGACGAAGGAATCAAACTGGATGAAGGTAAGTTCGTGAATTTAAAACTAGGGTTATTGGAATTGTGGTTTTAGAAAGTTGGTACTCCGTCACACCTGAACAAATCGCCAAACACATCGCCAAAAGGTGCACCTGCGACGTCATAATTGACAGTTTCTGCGGGGCCGGGGGCAACTCCATCCAATTCGCGTTTACATGCAAACGAGGTAAACATAACCTCATTTATTTTTTTTTTTCAAACGCATTAATTCGTTTTTCCAGTCATAGCAATAGACATTGACCCTAGGAAAATCGAGCTGGCGCGCAACAATGCCGAGATTTACGGGGTAGCGGACCGCATCGAGTTCATCGTGGGGGACTTCTTCCAGTTGGCGGGCGGTTTGAAGGCGGACGTGGTGTTCTTCAGCCCCCCGTGGGGCGGCCCGTCGTACCTGCGAGAGCCAGTTTACGATTTAGAGTCGATGTTGCAGCCATTTCCAATTTCAAAACTGTTGGAAGTTGGGAGGGCCATCACTAGCAATATAGCCGTGTTCTTACCGAAGAATAGCAACGCTTTTTTAGTAAGTATGGACGAACAATTGGTGCGTTTAATCACGGTTGTTTTGCAGCTGATCGACGAATCCAAGCCCGGAGGCGGAGTCGAAATCGAGCAGAATTTCCTCAAGAAGAATCTTGTTTCAATTACTGCCTATTACAGTGATCTCATTAAGAAAATCTGAGTTACGTTAGGTTAAGTTCAAAATTAGTGTTTGTTTTTTAACGAAGTGACGTATGTAATTCTGTTTTTGTATTTTATTTTATTAAAAAGATACTCTTTAGCGGTGATTTGAATTTGGCGCGTTGTCACGAAGTGACAGTTTGGGGATTTTCAAATGTCACCAGATGTGACAGTTGTGCGAAAAACACCAAAAGCAGCCACAATGGTAAACTAAAACAAAATTTTCACTGGTTTCCATCGAAATTCACACAGGATGGTCGTTTTATTGGTGAGTGGAGACTTTTTTGTTGATTTTAATGCATATATTGCACGATTGCCAGTGTTGTTTACTTTGCAAGTTTCTGTCATTAGTCATCTGTTTGTAAACTATTGCATAAATATTTATGGTATTTTTATACCATTTCTTCGATGGAGCTGTACGTGGATGCTGCGGAAGATCGGGCCGCTCGAGGAGGAGTATGTCAATGTGGGATTCGAAGTTTTTTCAAAGGAGAACTTTTACTTGCAACGTTCGTATTTTTAGTTTTTTAAAGTTAAATGGGTTAAGTGGTGCACAAAGCATGATGTCGATATTTTCCGTAAATTTTTACTGCTGGTAAGTGAAAACGTAGTGTGCGTGGTGAGGTTGTAACTCCGCCCACAGCAGGTGTTGTGGGCGGTCCTTCGTATTTTAAGCTCCGCCCATTTATATTCAACAACCGGCATCTTGAGTATTTATCAAAGGTTATTAAAAAACTGTTGAAATGTAGTGTGTACAAGAAAAAGTCATGGAAATAAAGTTGATGACGTTACTTCAAAAATTTAAGTAAATATTAACCAAGTTACAGTAGCTTTGTGAGGCAGGATAAAGGAAATCATCCGGGTTTAGAGCGGCCTTTAATTTTGCTATAGATTTTTGAGTGTAGCAACCAAAGAGGATGAACTATTAATAAAAGAGGGGTGGCTTCCATGGCGACGTTATGGTGACATTATTTATAAGTGGCGCCTACACCGTTGGATGGCAGAACTAATCAGGTCTAAAAGTTTAAGAATAAATTTTTATTTAAATGAAGTCCAAAAAGAGGAACAATATATCAACCATATCTAACATTTATTAAAAACCTACAAGTTACAAAATGAATAAAATTACATATAAATAAAAAATCCTAAAATAATTCTTCTATTTAGTTTTGCTGTTCAGTCTTTTCTAAAGATCTCAGAATAAATAATTCATTCTCAAAATTTTATAAATTAGATATTATAGGTACTAAAATTATACTTGGTGAAATAAGACTGATTTTGGCAAATGATATATCGTCTAAGAATACAGAGGGCGGGTGGGCGGGGCTAGAACCTGCTTAAGATAAAACTGATTTTGGCAAATGGCATACCTTCTAAGAAAATAAAGAGCGGGTGGGTGGGGCTAGCACTTGGTAAAATAAGACTGATTCTGGCAAATAATGTATCGCTAAGAATACAGAGGGCGGGTGGGCGGGGCTAGAACCTGCTTAAGATAAAACGGTCTTTGGCAGATGACATATCTTCTAAGAAAATAAAGGGCGGGTGGGCGGCTCTAGAACCTGCTTAAGATAAAACTGATTTTGGCAAATGATATATCCTCTACGTAACCAGGTCTAAAAATTTAAGAATGATTTTTTATTTGAATGAGGTACAGAAACAAGAACAATGTTTGGACGTTTTTAAATATCTAATAATATAGATATTTCGACAAAACGTCATGACCTAACATGAAAACCTACAAGTTACAAAAAGAATAAAATTACATATAGATAAAAAATTCTAAAATAATACTCCCACTTAATTCTGATATTAAAAATATTTCAGTTTTTTCAAAAGATCTCAGAAACTAAAAATGGTAAAACTATTGTGAAATCCTTATTTTCTAAAACCTGAGACTTCGATAAAAATAAATAATTCATTCTCAAAATTTTATAAATTAGATATTATAGGTACTAAAATTATACTTGGTGAAATAAGACTGATTTTGGCAAATCATATATCGTCTAAGAATACAGAGGGCGGGTGGGCGGGGCTAAAACCTGCTTAAGATAAAACGGACTTTGGCAGGTGACATACCTTCTAAGAAAATAAAGGGCGGGTGGGCGGGGCTAATACTTGGTAAAATAAGACTGATTCTGGCAAATAATGTATTTCTAAGAATACAGAGGGTGGGTGGGCGGGGCTAGAACCTGCTTAAGATAAAACTGATTTTGGCATACCTTCTAAGAAAATAAAGGGCGGGTAGGTGGGGCTAGTACTTGGTAAAATAAGACTGATTCTGGCAGATAATGTATCTCTAAGAATACAGAGGGCGGGTGGGCGGGGCTAGAACCTGCTTGAGATAAAACTGATTTTGGAAAATACTATATCCTCTACCTAACCAGGTCTAAAAATTTAAGAATAATTTTTTTTTTGAATGAGGTAGAAAAAGAAGAACAATATTTGGATGTTTTTAAATATCCAATCATATGGGTATTTCGACAAAACGTCATGACCTGACATTAAAACCTACACAAGTTACAAAAAGAATAAAATTACATATAAATAAAAAATTCTAAAATAATACTCCCATTTAATTTTGATAATAAAAATATTTCAATTTTTTCTAAAGATCTCAGAAACTAAAAATGGTAAAACTATTTCGTGAATGCTAAAATATGGTGAAATCCTTATTTTCGAAAACCTGCGACTTCAATCAAAATAAATCATTCATTCTCAAAATTTTATAAATTAGATATTATAAGTACTAAAATTATACTTGGGAAAATAAGACTGATTCTGGCAGACAATAATGTATCTCTAAAAATACAGAGGGCGGGTGGGCGGGGCTAGAAGCTGCTTAAGAAAAAACTGATTTTGGCAGATGACATACCTTCTAAGAAAATAAAGGGCGGGTGGGTGGGGCTAGTACTTGGTAAAATAAGACTGATTCTGGCAGATAATGTATCTCTAAAAATACAGAGGGTGGGTGGGCGGGGCTAGAAGCTTCTTAAGATAAAACTGATTTTTGGCAGATGACATACCTTCTAAGAAAATAAAGGGCGGGTGGTTTTATTTTACCAAATACTAGCCCCGCCCACCCGCCCTTTATTTTCTTGGAAGGTATATCATTTGCCAAAATTAGTCTTATCTTAAGCAAGTTCTAGCCCCGCCCACGCGCTCTTTATTTTCTTAGAATGTATGTTATTTGCCAAAATCAGTCTTATCTTAATCTTAAGCAGGTTCTATGTTCTTGGAAGTTTTTTAGCTTTCTGTATTTTTTTAGATTATTTGAAATTTTCAAATTTTATGAATTTTTGGATTATTCGATTTTTTGAGTTTTTTAGGATTTTTTGGATTCCTTCTTGGGTTCTTTGGATTTTCATTTGGATTTATTCCATTTTTTGGATGATGTGGATAATTTTTAATTTGCCACTTTTTTTTTGGATTTTGAGATATTTTCGATTCTTTTAGATTTTTGGAATTATTACGTTTCTTGTGTTTTTTTAGATGTTTTGGATTTTTTAGAATTTATGGGCTTTTCGATTTTTTTTTTTTTGTTTTGTTTTTTGGATTAATAGAATTTTTGGATTTCTTGAACTTTTTCAGTTTTTTGGATTCCTCCGGTTTTTTTTGTATTAATTTATTGTTTGGATTTCTTATATTTTTTGTTTTTTTTTTGGTTTTATTGATTTATTCAATTTTTTAGATTATTTACATAATTTTGTTTTTGTTTTTTTCATTTTATTTTCTGATTCTTTGGATTTTTGGAATTATTGGAGTTCTTGAGTAATTTTTTTAGTTTGATGGATTTTTTTAGATTATTCGAAATTTTCACTGATTTTTTGGATTATTCGATTTTTTGAGTTTTTTGCGATTTTTTGGATTCCTTCTTCGGTTCTTTGGATTTTCATTTGGATTTATTCCATTTTTTGGATGATGTGGATAATTTTTAATTTGCCACTTTTTTGGATTTTGAAATATTTTCGATTCTTTTAGATTTTTGGAATTATTAAGTTTCTTCTGTTTTTTAGATGTTTTGGATTTTTTTAGAATTTTTCGGCTTTTCGATTTTTTTTTTTTTTTTTGTATTAATTTATTGTTTGGATTTTTGGAATTATTGGAGTTCTTGAGTAATTTTTTTAGTTTGATGGGTTTTTTTAGATTATTCGAAATTTTCACTATGATTTTTTGGATTATTGGATTTTTGAGTTTCTTGGGTTCCTTGCATTTCTTGCATTTTTTGGAATTCTTTCGAATTTTTTGCTTTTTGGATTTGTTGAGTTTTTTTGGATTTTTGGAATTATTCAATATCTTAAGTTTTTGTTTTTTTTATTAATTTTTTGATTTCTTTGGATTTTTGCGTTTATTTTTTCTTTTTTTTTTTGGATTTATTCCAATTTTTTGATTATTTGGATAATATTAAATTTTCTGCTTTATTTAGATTTTGGAATTTTGGGATATTTTCGATTTTTTAGACTTCTGAAATCATAAAGTTTCTTATGTTTCATGTATTTCTTAATTCTTTAAGAATGTGAAACTTTCTCAGTGGTGCCAACTGTCTTTTTTAAAAACGTAAAACCTTCTTGGGTTCCCCAAATGTAATTTTTTAAGAATGTGAAACCCTCTCTGTGGCCCCAAACGTCTTTTTTTTTAATGTGAGCCCTTCTCGGGGGTCCCAACTGTCTTTTATAAAAATGTGAAACCTTATCGAGTTTTTTTTTGCTTTTTGGTTTCCTTGGATTTTTTAGTTTATTTGAAATTTTCAAATTTATAATTTTTTTGGATTATTGGAGATCTCGAGTTTCTTGGGTTCCTTGCATTTTTTGTTTTTTTTTTTTCGAATTTTTTGCTGTTTTGATTTGTTGCCAAAAGCAGTCTTATTTTACCAAGTACTAACCCCGCCTTTCTCTTTATTATCTGAGAAATTATGTCATTTTCCAAAATCAGTCTAGCTCCCCCATCCGCCTTCTATATTCTTAGAGGAAATATCATTTCCCAAAATCAGTCTTACTTTACTAAGTACTAGCCCCGCCCACCCGCCCTTTATGTTCTTAGAAGGTATGTCATTTGCTAAAATCAGTTTTATCTTAAGCACGTTATACCCACCCCCGCACTCTTTTCATTCTAACAATTTTATTTCTGTTTCATTTAGACCAGACAAAATGAATCACTGAAATGAAGGCGGGGTGGGTGGGCGGGGTTAATTATGTGTTCTTTAGTAGATTGGAAAGAAAAATAAAAAACATGTTTTGTTTGTCATTTATTTTGACTATCTATTATCTTCCTTTATAATAAACATAAATATTTTTTTCATGACTTTTTTTATGTCGAAATTCAGTTTTCAAATGTGGGTGGCGTTCTCTGTTTTTATCTGTGAAAACTTTAGTTCTGCCACCCAACTACGCAGCGCTGTATTGTCATAGCCTACTAACGCGTCTCTTTAATTATTAGTTCATCGTCTTTGGTGGTAACTTTGTAATGACATAGTAGAGGTATAACACACTCACAGTATTCTTCTCCCATTAATGATTTTTCCATTTCTGTACTTTTCTTGTACATCATTAACCCATCTGTCGATCATTAAGATGATTTGACTTTAGCACTAAGTTTTAACCTTCCGGGTTCATCTCCTACTCTTCCTGTCGCCTCTAACATCACTTCTTCCTCTCAAACGTCTCGAGGCACTGCACTCTCCTAATCTAACCCTCTGAATCAGTTCCGCAGCTGTCCTCCTCCCCCCGATAACAGTAGTCGAGTCGGTTCACTCGATCCTTCTTGCAGGTGAGGTGATGGTTCGTTTTTTCCCGACACGGCGATGGAGCCTCCTCTTTAGATCACACTACTAATCTTTCTTTGGTGGTTGGGGGAAAAACTGTACGCACAGGGTGCAGGGTTGCATGTTAACACATTCTAGTCACAAAGCCATCAAACACAAATGACTAACGCGCAAGCCAAAGAGAAGGTGCGCAAACACGAGTGCACGGTATGCCAAAAGAAATTCCTCACAAAGCACGACCTCAAGAAGCACCTACGGGTGCACACGGACGAGCGGCCGTACGTGTGCAAGGAGTGCAACCAGGGCTTCCGGCAGGCCGGCTCGCTCAAGAACCACGTGGCGGCCAAGCACCAGATCGGCCTGCCGACCCTCCAGACCTACGTCTGCCACTACTGCAACAAAGAGTTCCCGGTGAAGGAGCGCCTGCGTCTCCACATCCGCATCCACACTGGGGTCAAACCCTACCAGTGCCGGGTGTGCCCGAAGACCTTCGCCCGCGGCGGGCAGCTGGTGCAGCACATGCGCACGCACACGGGGGTCAAGCCCTACACGTGCAGCATCTGCAAAGCGGCCTTCACGTGCTCGGCCAACCTCAAGCTGCACATCAAGGGCCACCTGGAGATCAGGGACTACGTGTGCGACATTTGCGGGAAGAAGTTCTACCGGAGGGACGCGCTGAAGAAGCACCTCACGTGCTACCACGGCAACCTGAAGGCCTTCCACTGCAAGATATGCAACAAGCAGCTGAAGGGTCACCTGCCGCAGCACATGAGGGTGCACAAGAAAGACAAACCGCACGGGTGTGGCCACTGCGGCGCCAGGTTCGCGCAGCGGTCGCAGCTGACGGTGCACCAGAGGATACACTCGGGGGAGAAGCCGTACAGGTGTCAGGTGAAGGCGGTTGTAGGCGGCGGTCGGGCGTCTGGGAACTGGTTTGTCGCGTAAACCAGACGCTGACCGCAGGATTTTCGCCTCTAGTGTTACACAAACCAGTTCTCAGGCGACGATCGACTAGTAACTAACGCTTCACAAGCTACTCCGTTAGTGTAGTAGCCAGAATCGACACCAAAATTTGGTCTGTCCCGGGGTCGTAGAAACAGAGGTCTGGAAACTACACGTAAACTAGAATAAATCTACTCCCCTACTACTAATTTAATCTCACTTTAATTTTTAACCTACCTGTGTTCATTATTCCGTATTTTGTAAGTCCTGAATTTTCCAAAGTTTCTGGTTAAAACCCTTGCATGTATACTTCGAGCAGATGGAGTTGTAAAAGTGCAATATTGTATTTTTAAGGATTCTTCTGGCAAAATAACCTTCGACCAATTTTTTTTATTGTAAAAAACCTAATAAAGCAAAATAAAGTTTTTTTACTTCCCGAGCGTAAGCTAAGGAAGTATTGTAATCGAGTCCATCGGACGAATGGCCACTTTTATATTTTTTCGATGTTTCATGACCCCTAGAGTACGAGAAAAGTAGTAACCTCCGAAACTGCTAGACCGATTGTTGTCAAATTTTGTACGTATAGTAGAAATATCATGTAGATGATTAAATGCTAACCAAAATTTTGCTGATCATCCCCACAACAATTTGATCACATCATTTAAAAAAATTCTATGTTTATTTGATTTAACTATTATAGAACAATATATAGTATTATAAGTGTGGTGTACGAATCTGCTTTGAGTTTTTCCCTAACCGTCTAAATTTTTGCAAAAATATAATGCACCGTATAGTAACAATTTACCATTAGCGTAAGGTATCCCGGTCGTGGTTTAGTGGTTACAAGTCAGGAATGTGGACAGGACATCGCACGCTCGATTCCAAACTTGGCCTATCTTTTTTTTTGTCTCTCACATTGTGTATTATCTATATTTATGACGTCCTAACAATTTTTTTATTGATGAAATTACCCCACTTTCTCGAAAAGGTGAGAATACTCCCTTCTTTATTTAAAAGTGTAAAATTTTCTCGGGGGGCCCAAATGTCTTTGTTTAGTGTTAAACCTTCCGAGTTTTTTTTTTTTTAGTTTCTTGGATTTTTTAGTTTATTTGAAATTTTCAAATTTATTTATTTATTTTTTTTTATTATTGGATATCTCGAGTTTCTTGGGTTCCTTGCATTTCTTGTTTTATCTTTTGTGGAATTGTTTAAAACTTTTTGCTTTTTGGATTTGTTGGATTTTTTGGGATTACTGGAATTATTAGATTTCTGGAGTTTTTGGGGTGTTTTGAATTCCTTCTTGGGTTCTTTGGATTTTTTAGATGTGTACGTTCTTTTGTTTTTCCCCATTCCATTTTTAGGATTATTTGGATAATTTTTATTTTTGTGCCTTTTTTGGGTTTTTGAGTATTTTTGATTGTTTGGATTTTTGGAATAAAGTTTTTTGGGTTTCGTGCATTTCTTGTGTTTTTTTAGATTTTTTTCGATTCGGATTTTTTAAGTCATTGGCATTCTGAAGTTGTTTTTTTAGTTTCTTGGACTTTTTTAAGTTATTTGAACTTTCCAAATTCTATGATTTTTTGGATTATTGGATTTCTTGAATTTCTTGGGTTCCATGCATCTCTTGCATTTTTTTAATTTTTTTAGAATTTAGTGGATTTTTTTGGATTTTTGGAATTATTGAATATCTTGAGTTTTTTGGAGTTTTTGGATTCATTTTTGGGTTCTTTGGATTTTTTTTTTTTTGATTTTTAGAATTATTGGAATTCTTGAGTTTCTTCAGTTTTTTGGATTCCTCCGGTGTTTTTTTTTTTTATTTTTTTGTTTGGATTGTTGGATTTTTTGTTGATTTTTTCAATTTTTTGGATTATTTGCATTTTTTTTAATTTTCTGATTCTTAGGCAGGATTTATTGGATTTCTTGAGTCTTTTGGGGTTTTTTGAATTCCTTCTTGGGTTCTTTGAATTTTTTGATAGTTTGGATTTTTTAAATTTTTTGGTTTTTTGTTTCATTCCATTTTTGGATTATTTGGATAATTTTTATTTTTCTGCTTTTTTGGGTATTTGAGATATTTTTGGATTTTTGGAATTATCAAGTTTTTTGGGTTTGGTGCATTTCTGGTGTTTTTTAGATTTTTGTTTTGTTTTGAATTTATGCACTTTCCGATTTTTTTGGATTTTTTTTGGATTCTTCCGTTTTTTTATTGTCTAAATTTTTTATATATATATATATTGGTTTATTGATTTATTCTTTATTTTTATTATTTGCATAATTTTGTTTTTTTTTTTGCTTTTTATTTTCTGATTTTTTGGATTTTTGGGATATTTTCGATTCGGATTTTTAAGTCATTGGAATTCTTGGGTTATTTTTTTAGTTTATTGGATTTTTTTTAGGTCATTTGAATTTTCAAATTCAATGATTTTTTGGATTATTGGATTTCGTGAGTTTCTTGGGTTCCATGCATTTTTACATTTTTTTGAATTTTTTAGAGATTTTTGTTTTTTGGATTTTTTGGATTTTTGGGATTATTGAAACGATTTTTTGGATGATTGGATTTCTTGAGTTTCTTGTGTTCCTCGTTTTTCTTGTTGTTTTTTTTTTTTGGAATTTTTTAGAATTTTTCGATTTGTTGGATTTTTTGGGATTTTTGGAATTATTGGATTTTTTGATTGTTTGGGTTTTTTAAATTTTTACGTTTTTTTGGATTTTTGAGATATTTTTGATTTTTTGGATTGTTGGAGTTATAAAGTTTTTTGGGTTTCGTGAATTTCTTGTTTTTTTGATTTTTTTTTTTTTTTGAATCTACGCCCTTTCCGATTTTTTGGATTCCTCCGTTTTTTTATTGTCTCATGTTTTTATTTATTTATTTTTTTGTTTTATTGTTTGTTCTATTTTTGGATTATTTGCATAATTTTGTTGTTTTTTTTTGCTTTTTATTTTCTGATTTTTTGGATTTTTCAGATATTTTCGATTCTGATTTTTGAAGTTATTGGAATTCTTGAGTTGTTTTTTTAGTTTCTTCGATTTCTTGAGTTTCTTGGGCTCTATGCATTTTTTGCATTTTTTAAATTTTTTAGAAATTCTTGTTTTTTTGATTTCTTGGATTTTTGGAATTATTGAATATCTTGATTTTTTTGGTGTTTTTTGGATTCCTCCTTGGGTTCTTTGGATTTTCATTTGGATTTATTCCATTTTTTGGATAATGTGGATATAATTTTTAATTTTCTACTTTTTTGGATTTGGAGATATTTTCGATTTTTCTACATTTTTAAAATTTATTAAAAAGTTTCTTGTGTTTCATGTACATCTTGTATTTTTTAGATGTTTTGGAATTGTTTAAAATTTATTGCCGTTTGTATTAGAATTATTGGATTTCTTGAGATTCTTCGGTTGTTTGGATTCCTCCGTTTTTTTTTTTTTTTGATTGTTTGGTTGATTTTATATTTTTTGGGTTTGTTTTTGAATTTATTGATTTATTATAATTTTTAGATTATTTGGATAATTTTATTTAGTTTTTCTTTTTTTTTTTGATTACTGGGAAATTTTCGATTCGGATTATTGAATTATGGAATTCTTGAGTTTTTTTTTTTAGTTTCTTGGGTTCCTTGGATTTTTTAGTTTATTTGAAATTTTCAAACTCGTATGATTTTTTGGATTTTTTTAGATTTTTTTGATTTGTTGGATTTTTTTTATTCATTCAATTTTTTGGATTTGAATAATTTTTATTTTCCTGCTTTTTTTGAATTTTTAAGAAATTTTTGATTTTTTGAATTTTTTGGGGTTTCGCACATTTCTTGTTTTTAGATTTTTAGAATTTACGACCTTTTCGATTTTTTTATTGTCTGGATTTTTTATATTTTTTTTTTTTGTTTATTGATTTTTTTTCAATTTTTTTTTTTATTTTTGGGATATTTTCGATTCGGATTTTTGAAATTATTGGGAGTTGTTTTTTTATTTAGTTTCTTGGATTTTGTTGTTTTGGGAATTCTTTTGAATTTTTTGCTTTTTGTATTTGTTGAATTTTTGTGGATTTGTGGAATTATTCGATTTCTTGAGTTTCTTCAGTTTTTTGGATTCCTCCGTTTTTTTTTTGTATTTTTTTATTGTACGGATTTTTTATATTTTTTTAGGTTTGTTTCTTTTTGGTTTAATCGATTTGTTCAATTTTTTGTATTATTTACATATTTTTTTTATTTTAATTTCCTGATTCTTTGGATTTTTGGAATTATTGGAGTTCTTGAGTAATTTTTTTGGTTTATTAGTTTTTTTAAATTATTTGAACTTTTCAAATTCTATGATGGATTATTGGATTTCTTAAGTTTCTTGGGTTCTTCGCATTTTTTGTTTTTTTTTTTTTTGGAATTTTTCAGAAATTGTTGCTTTTTTGATTTGTTGGATTTTTTGGAATTATTGGATTTCTTGAGTTTTTTGGGTTTTTTTGAATTCTTTCTTGGGTTCTTTGGATTTTTTGATTGTTTAGATTTTTTAGATTTTTACGTTTTTATTCCATTTTTGCATGGATTATTTGGATAATTGTTATTTTTCTGTTTTTTTTTTTTGGATTTTTGAGATATTTTTGATTTTTGGAATTACATATAAAGTTTTTTGGGTTCCTCGCATTTCTTGTTTTTTTTTGAAATTTTTTAGAATTTTTTTATTTGTATTTTTTGGGATTTTTGGATTTCTTAAATTTTTTGGGGTTTTTTGAATTCCTTATTGGGTTATTTCAATTTTTTTGTTGTTTGGATCTTTTAGATTTTTGTTTTTTGGATTTTTTTTATTCATTCAATTTTTTGGATTTGGATAATTTTTATTTTGCTGCTTTTTTTTGGATTTTTAAGATACTTTTGATTTTTTGAATTTTGGGAATCATTAATTTTTTGGGATTTCGTGTATTTCTTGTTTTTTAAATTTTTCGGGTCCCTCCGTTTTTTTTTATTGTCTAGATTTTTTATATTTTTTGTTTTTTTTTTTTTTTTGGTTTATTGATTTTTTATATTTTTGTTTTTTTTTTGGTTTATTGATTTTTTATATATTTTTTTTAATTTTTGGGATATTTTTGATTTCTTAAGTTTCTTGGGTTCCTCGCATTTTTTTTTTTTGATTTGTTTGTATTTTTTGGGATTTTTGTAATTATTGGATTTCTTAAATTTTTTGGGGGTTTTTTGAATTCCTTATTGGGTTCTTTCGATTTTTTTTATTGTTTGGATCTTTTAGATTTTTGCGTTTGTTTTTTGGATTTTTAAGATATTTTTGATTTTTTGAATTTTTGGAATCATTGATTTTCTGGGGTTCGTGCATTTCTTGTTTTTTAATTTTTTTTGATTATTTTGAGAATATGGCCTTTTCGATTTTTTGAATTCCTCCGTTTTTTTTGTGTAGATTTTTTATATTTTTTTGATTTATTGATTTTTTTCCTATTTTTTCTTGAATTATTTGCATAATTTTGGTTTTTTTTGCATTTTATTTTCTAATTTTTTTATTTTTGGGATATTTTCGACTCGGATTTTTGAAATTATTGGGAGTTGTTTTTTTATTTAGTTTCTTGGATTTTTTTAGATTATTTGAAATTTCCAAATTCTATGATTTTTTGGATTATTGGCTTTCTTGAGTTTCTTGGGTTTCTTACTTGCATTTAATTGTTTGGTTTTTGGATTTTTGGAATTATTGAATATCTTGAGTTTTTTTGGTGTTTTAGAGTCCTTCTTGGGTTGTTTGGAACTTTTTTTGGATTTATTCCATTTTTTTCGGATAATTTTAATAATGTTCAATTTTCTACTTTTTGGATTTTGAGATATTTTCGATTTTTTTAGATTTTTGAAATTATTAAGTTTTTTGTGTTTCATGTATTTACTTCTTGTGTTTTTTAGATGTTTTGGATATTTGCAGAATTTATTGCTTTTTCGATTTTTTTTAACCTTCTCGGGGGTTCAAATTGTCTTTTCTAAAAATGTAAAATCTTCTCGGGGCTCCCAACTATCTTTTTTTTAAGAATGTGAAACCTTCTCGGGGGCCCCAAGTGTCTTTTTAAGAAATCGTTTTTTTTTCTATTCTTCTATATTGTTTTTACTCCATAGAGTTATCACTATCCCAAAAAAAATAAAATTCCGCGATATCAAATTTTATCAATTTTTGAGAGAAACAGTATTTCTGGACTGCACTTCAGAAGCGAGGGAAGTTCTGTCGAAATAACTTTCGACTATTTTTTTATTATTCATATTAATGCAGTGAACGCCTACTTTGTAGACACGTGACCGCTCCATCTGTTCGGTAAACGACCTCGTTGTCAGTTTCCGGACTTCGTCCGATCCTCCGCGTTTCTCACCTCCACGAACACCCCACTAACTTTCTTTCGTCAGGTCTGCTGGAAGGCCTTCGCCCACTCCACCGCGCTCAAGCTGCACATCCGGCGGCACACCGGCGAGAAGCCCTTCGTCTGCGTCCTCTGCGAGAACGTGTCTTTCTCCCAACTACCGCACCTCAAGAAGCACATGCTCTGCATCCACAAGAGCTCGAAGCCGTACGTGTGCAGCTTCTGCCGGAGCTTCCACCAGACGAAGAACGACCTCGACGGCCACTACTCCAACTGCAAAGACTACGCCAGCCTGGACAAGAAAGCCGACCTGCAGACGAGCTCGGTGGAGCCGCCCATGTCCCTCGAGAAGATGCGCTTCCTGCTGGCCGTCCTGCTCAAGAAGATCTCGTCGCAGCAGCGCCTGGAGGAGCTGGGCTTCAACAAGCGGCTCATCGACGACATCCTCGTGGACTCGATAGAGAGCTCGGGGCGGGAGCCGTGCAGGGACCTGGGGCTGAGCGTGGCGCAGAAGCTGAAGAAGAACGTGGAGATCTTGCTGGAGTGGACGGTGCCGAAGCAGTACATGGAGAAGTTCCGGAACGAACAAAGGTCCACGGAAGAACTTTTAGAGGAATTAACATCTTAATCAAATGTAGTACAATGTAGATGTAGATGTAGGGTAGCTTAAAGTGACTGTTGCTATTCTAAGTCTTGTACCCGGTTTTTAGCGTAGCGCTTTCTTTGGGAGATTGTACCTGGACGGGTAGCAATGGCTTTTCCGCACTGTTCTTGCCCAAGGTGTAAACCCGAGTACAAATCAAAACTAGCTTTAACGAAAGCACTCTATGATTGTCACAGTACCAAAGGATGAGCCAAAAGGTTTACTTGTGCAGAGGACGCGTACAACTAGCTTTATTGTTTTTTATTTTATTTTATATTTTTTTCTTAGTTTCTATTTTATAAGACTACCAAAGAGTTTTTGTTGAAGTAATTTTAGTTGAGATTTTATTTTACACTCTAGGTTCTAGTGCAATAATTTTTGTGGCAATTATAGACTCGTCTTCTAACTTGTTTGGCATCACAACTCTTTATCCAAACTAATACTTGTGGTGTGATGATGTTTATACAGAACTATACAGTGGGGGCACTTTATTTTTTTTATGTTAGTACGTGCATTTGTGTTCCTTTTAACCGGCAATTTGCGGTGCCATATTTTTCCACTAACATGCAAAGAAAACGCGCCACCACTGGCTAAGTGTTAATCTTTATATTTTCTAAACGTATAGTTTTTGATGTAATTATTGTTATGGGCCATTTTTGATCCCCTCCCACTCTAAATAAAAGCTTAAAAATCGTTGCAATTTAATCTAGGTGATCGCTTACCCCAAAACTCGAGGTAAAAACCTTAAGGCTCCGCCACGCAGTCATTAAAAGATGCCAAAATAAGGCAAAACGTCAACCCATTTTGCGCCTTTATTTTAACAGTTGAAGAGCAGGGCGATACATGTGCCTGCTCATGACATTAAAATCTTTAAGGAAGCGTCTTGTATTTTTTAAAAAACGTAGCAGTTTTTAAAATAAAAAATAAAGTGCGTAAAACCCCAGCGGATTTTTAGCGAAAACTATAACTCAGTGTGCTTTTAAAAAATATCGAGGTGATAGAGAATTTTTTTCTGCTTTAGGCGCCATTCTTCGTTTTCTGTTAAAATTTTACTTCTTTTAGTTATTGTAAAAAAACTGAAAAGCATTTTGGGGAAATTTTGGTAAGTTAGGCAACCCAAAATATTAGCTGAGGCGGTAAGCTGTAATTTATGGCCCACACAATAGAGCACCTTTTAAATACCTTAAGCTTATTTGACCACCCCTTGAAGTACAATCGCACGCAAATGTTTTGAGCCTATGGGCGGATCGTTTTTGCCTGCCCTCACCGAAGAAGGCGGTCCAAATCCTTCAAGGGCAGAATTTGTAGGTAGGCTCAAACTACAACGAAATTTACATTTGGTAAGAAATATTTATGGCTCACACCAGTTATAAAATAATGGTCACTTTCGTTCGTGAGTAACGATGGTCCGGACATGAATTATTTTGCTTTATAACATCTTTCGACCAATTGTTCCGTATAAAAAATTTCATCACTTTTTCAAATAAAATACTCCCCACCAATAATGTGATGACGTCACTTCAAATTTATGCATAGGAAATGGGTTTTAAATTGTATACAGTAACATAGTCCTACACATGTAGTTTATGACTCCGTGTTGAGTTTTTATTATATTTTGGAAAAAAATCAAAATTATGAAACAATATTTTGCAATTTAATTTTGAATTTGCAAAATCGAATAATTTGAAATCTTGCAGATGTTTTAAAGTCATGATAAACATGATTTAATTAAAATATATTTGCTTATCCCCTCTAAAAAATTTATGACGTCACCTCAAAATTTTGCAGAATAAATCCTATCTTAAATGTATAAAATATGATGAGTTTTATATTTGTGATTTATCACTGCATTAATATTTTTTAGATTTGGTTATACAGGGTGTCTCAAAAAAGTTAATGACTGAGTCAATTTATTTTATTGAAGAAATCAAGAATAGCAAAACTGAATACTTTGAAATATTGTAGATGTTTTGAAGTTTTTGTAAGCATGGTAACTTTTTCGAAAATTTGATTAATCAAATATGCGCAAAATCAAAAATCGGAAAAACTGAAATTCACTAATGCAAAAAACAGAAAATCGAAAAATACAAATCGTAAAAATCGAAAATCTAAAAATGGCTAATCAAAAAATCGAAAATTCAATGAATCAAATACCTAGGTCGATCGAAAAGTGGAAATTCACAAACCTCAAAAATCGAAAAATCGAAAATTGAAAAACGGGAAAACCAAAAAATCGAAAAGTCAAAAATTTGTAGTATTGAAAATTAAAAAAATCAAAAACAAAAATAAAAAAATCAGAAATTAAAATAATCAAAATATATAAAGTAGAAAAAAATTGCAAAGCCTAAAAACTGAAACGAACAGAAAATCTAAAAAGCAAAAAATTGGAAAAACAAAAATTCGAAAAATCTAAAATCGAAAATCTGAATAAAGAAACTTGGAAATTCTGAAAATTGGAAAATCGAAAACCAAAAAATCGGGAAGTAACAAAATTGAAGTCTAACAGTTGAGAATAGAAAAACTGAAAAACCGAAAATTCTAAAAATCGACAATGGACAAATTGAAAATCGCAAAATTTAAATTGAACAATTGAACATAGAAAAATCGATGAATTGAAAAATCGAAAATTCGACTACTCAAATTTTCTAAAACTCGAAAAATAAAACGGAAAAATCCAAAATTCTAATGATCGAAAACTGAAAATCGAAAATTCTAAAAGCGGAAAATAGAATATCGAAAAAATTAAAAGAAAGAAAATTGAAGTCTAAAAACCGAAGAATGGCAAAATTAAAAATCAAAAAAGCGGAAAATAGAATATCGAAAAAATTAAAAGAAAGAAAATTGAAGTCTAAAAACCGAAGAATGGCAAAATTAAAAATCAAAAATTCGAAAAATCAAAACCGAAAAATTCAAAGATTTAAAAAGAAAATCGAAAAATCAAAAATCTGAAAATTGAAACTCGAAAATTTGGAAAATCGAAAAGTAAAAAAATTGAAGTCTAAAAGCTCAAAAATGGAAAACTGAACAATCGAAAATTCGAAAATCAAATATCGAAAAATCGAAAAGCCGAAAAATCGAAAATTTGATAAATCAGATATGCGAAAAACAGAAAATACAAAACTGGAAAATCAAAAATTAAAAATGGAAAAACCGAAAATCGAAAATTCAATGAATCTAATACGTAGGTCGATCGAAAAACTGGAAATTCACAAATCTGAAAAATCGAAAATTTGCAAGATTGAAAAACCGAGAATTGAAAAATCAAAAAACCGAAAAATGGAAAAATCAAAAATCGAAAAATCGAAAAGTAAACAAATTGCAAAGCCTAAAAACTGACGAACAGAAAAATCGAAAAATCGTAAAATCAAAAAGTAGAAAATCGAAAACTGGAAATTGAAAAATCGAAGATTGGAAAATCGAAAAATCGAAAATCGGAATATCGTGAATCGACAAATTAAAAAACCGAAAAATCGAAAATCGAATAATCCGAAACTAAATTAATAGAAAAGTGGAAAAGTAAAAATTGCAAAGTCTCAAAACTGACGAACAGAAAAATCGAAAAATAAAAAAAAATCGAAAAATATCTAAAAATGGAAAATCGAAAATCGGAAAATGGAAAAACCGAAAAATCGAAAATTCGATGAAACAAATACTCGAAAAAACGAAAAGTAAAAAAATTGCAAGGCCTAAAAATTGAAAAATCAAAAAATCGGAAAAATGAAAATCGAAAAAACGACGATCGAAAAGAAATAAAAAAATCAAAAAGTAACAAAATTGAAATCTAAAAGCTGAAGAAGGGAAAATTCTAAAACGCAACAATCGAAAAAAGCAAAATTAAAAATTGAAAATTTGAAAAATGGAAAATCGAAAACTCGAATATCGAGATTTTGAAAAATCGTAAAAATGATAATCGAAAAATCGAAAATTCGATTAATCAATATTCTAAAAATCGAAAAAACGGACACAAATCCACAAATGTGAAAAATCGAAAATCAAAATACGAAAAATTGAAAAACCGAAAAATTGAAAAATCCCAAATCGAAAAATGGAAAAACCGAAAATTCAAAAATCAAACTATCGGAAAGTAAAATAATCGAAAAATGGAAAAATAAAACAAATTGCAGAACCATAAAAACTGAAACAAACAGAAAAATCGAAAAACCACAAAAGCGGAAAAACGAAAATCGAAAAATTATTGATTAATGGAAAATCGAAAAATCGAGAATAGAAGAATTAAAAACGTAAAATAGAGAATTCAAAAATCAAAAGATCGGAAAGTAAAATATAATCGAAAAATGCAAAAAAATTGCAAAATCTAAAAACTGACGAACAGAAAAATCCAGAAATCTAAAAATGGAAAGACGAAAAATCGAAAATTGAAAGAATGGCAAATCAAAAAATCGAAACATCGAAAAATCAAAAAAACGAAAAATTAAAAAATCGAAAAACGAAAAAACTAAAAACTCGAAAATTCAAAATACCGCAAATTTGAAAAATCAGAAAATTGGAAAGTAATAAAATCGAAAAGTTGATAGAAAAATTGAAACTGAAAAATCTAATTAGATGAAACGGTTGGTCGAAAAAACGAAAAATCGAAAATCGAAGTGATCTTTTTTTGAGACAGGCTGTATAAGTAAATCTAAAAAATATTACTGCAATGATAAATCACAGGTATAGACTCATCATATCAAATTTTACGATGACGTCATGCATTTTTTGGCGAAGATAAGCAAATACATTTTGATCGTGGCTTTGAAAGTATTCTTCGACTTTCGTTCCATTTCAAAATTTACTCTTTGTAAACTACGCTGAAGTATGCGAAGATTAAATTTGTCACCGAAAAGATGTCGAAAGTAATAAATTATCCGTTCGGTCCGGTGTTACACCTCGACTCAAGAGAGACCGCAGTAAAGGATAACAAATGAAACGGATAAAGTAAAGCGTCAAACATGATTGATAAACTTTAAACCAAAATTATGAAGTTTATAAACTGAACATTTTTTTTTGTTTTTTGAAATGTAGTACACTTCAAAAAATGTCCGTGACTTATTTTAATATGAATTTTATAACTATGGTTGGCACAATTAGACCTAATATTAGTGTGATTTTGAGCATATTCTCGATTTTATTAGAGCAGAATAGGTTTTTTTTTCTAACTAATTGACAAGATTTCAAAGTATTCAGTTTTGCAATTCTTGATTTCTTCAATAAAATAAATTGACTCAGTCATTATTTTTTTTGAGTCACCCTGTATGTATAAACGAATCCAAAAAATATTAATGGAATGGTAAATCACAAGTATAGACTCATCATATTCTGAACATTTTAGATAGGGTATTTATAAAATTAAAACTAATTCAGAGTAAGAATTTGGTCAACACGTAAATTTCGTTGTAGTTTGAGCCTACCTACAAATTCTGCCCTTGGACGATTTGGACCGCCTCCTTCGGTGACGACCGGCAAAAATGATCCGCCCATAGGCTCAAAACATTTGCGTGCGATTGTACCTACCTAAATTTCTAAGATTTCGGGTTGAAAAATTCCAAGATTACTAAGAAATACTCACAATAACGAACCTTCATACCTACAATAAAATATTCTTGGAAATTTAATTTTACTTTTCTACCTACTTACAGAATATGCCCAATACGTACGAATTTTTATGGAAACAGGAATTTAAAAATAAGAGGAAGAATTATGGTCGGAATTATATATATGAACAAGCATTTTTTTTAAATTTTAAAACACCCATTTGGCTTTTTTCTCTTCTTATGACAGTAAATTGGGTTAAACCGCATATCAAAAATTCTCTTTCAAGGGACTTTATGCTAAAAAAAGGTAGGAGGTGCTATTTAAAAAATTATCGATGACGTCATACACCTGTCAAATATCGCTCAAAACTTTTGAAACTAATATTACAAAATGGCAATTTTTATATACCAGTAGACGTGTTTTTGCGTTTTTACTTCTCGAACGTAAGGTAAGAAATATTTTAGTTGCTTATTCTGCTCTACCTGCAAGCTGGGATACACTTCCCCCGCTGACAATAGCAGTAATAAAACTAGTTAAGTATTGTAAACGAAGTGAACGATTTTAACCCTTAGAGATGAGTGTGGTAAAGCCTTAACCTCTTACTCAAATTGAAACGCTGTTGTGATTGTTATCTTTATTATACTTTGAAACTCAAGAACGATAAACTACTCAAGCAAATATTCCATAAACCCTACTCTAAAGTATCAACACTTAAGCTTAAGATAAATCAGTCGATTCCAAACAGCCTTAAACATCCACTAATGAGCTACAGCAGAACCACTAATTGGCACACAAATCTTTGGTGGTGCTGGTAATAATAATACGCATGACGCGTCTGTCATGGTTACAGTACTTCGTCCCGGGTAAGTACTGCAGAAGAAATCGTTCCACACCACTCAGCGAGACTTAAGTACAGTCATCTAAATCACAACCTTACTTCCACGTCACAACTACAGGTTTCTGTAGTCCAACGTTCAAATTTTCGATCAGGAGATACTAAAACAACCACACTAAAAACAAGAAAACTCCAGAAACAAAAATACCTTATGAATAGTGTCATATCTGAAGGCTTGTGCCACGTTATTCACCAGTACCTCGGAAACGGGTTCATTAAGACCTATGATTGTCACCGCCCCCAAGTTCGGAGGAGTCTCATTATTACACCAGAAGACGTTCTCGGTCCTCAGGACCCCCTTCTCCATCCAAAAATTGAGCAAAGAATATTGTTTTTCCTCGTACAAATCTGAAAAGCGAGCTCGTTTTTCAACTATTACGTCACAAAATTGACTTACTGAGCGAATCGCCGTCGTCCCAATACAGCTGCCCGTAGGCATTCAATTGTTCGTCGGCCGCCGCCAAAATCTCGATCTTGTTTAGACGCGTCTTGGTGGTGGTTTGTTCAGGGGCCTGTTGGGGCAAAATATAGCCCCCTCTTATCAGTAATGGTATAGTGTCCAGCGGCGCCGACAAATTAACACTTTCGCCTTTACTGATAATGGGCGACTTGGTGTAATAATCGTACCATAACCCCTTGGGTAAATACGCTGTCACTGCAGTCGCGTTTTCCTCCAAAACTGGAACCACCATCAAGCCCGGACCCCACAAAAACTGGGTATCGACGTCATAGGTTTGTACGTCGTTGATAAACTCGAAGAATAGAGGGCGTGACACGGTATCACCCTTGACGTGGGCTTCCCAGAACAACGTGTACAGATAGGGTAGCAGTTGGTACCTTACAGATAGCGCTTTTCGGGCTGAAATGGTCACTTCGGGACCCATCGCCACAGGATCTTGGTCCTACACAAAACAAACGAACAAAAATCACCCATATTCACAACAAAACACTCACAATCCCGTCATCCGTGTTATGATTCCGGGAAAAGGGATAAAACGCCCCCAGTTGAGTCCACCTATTGCATAGAGTCCTAGTCGTGTTTCCGTTGAACCCACAAATATCTGCCCCCATGAGCGGGATTCCGAACAAGCTGAAACTCAACAACTCTACAATGACAGTTAGCTAACCAATCCCGTCACGCGCTGGACTCACGTGGTATTGAATAGCGCATGTCTAGCCAATCAGACACGACGTCCCCACTCCAGTGACCAGCGTAGTGGCCATGTCCCGCGAACGTCGAGCGCGATATCACCATGGGTCTTTTACCCCGGATTTCCGACATAGCGCTGCAAACAAGCCACACGAATAAAGTGTTTTTTCGCTATTCAGATACGTACAAACTTGTCACTATGGCCTCTGTAAACCCGTATAGGTTATGTACGTCGTAGTGCAACCCTGCGTAGTGCTTAGCTGACATACACATAGTTTTGAAATTTATGACGCCGCCGTCGATGTTGGGTAAGTACGGAGGGCTTTCTAGGGTGGATTTGGGGCACCCGGTGAAGGAGCCCGAGAGGAAGTTGGAGGGTTCGTTCATGTCGATCCAGGCGCCATCAAAGGGGACTACGTCGTGGAGGGATTTAAGCATGAGGGTCCAGTAGTCGACGGTGGTGGGGTGGGTGAAGTCGGGCCACACGGTGCTCCCATTATTCCAAACCTAGTACAACTCGGTTTTAAATAATTTCCAACTATTGTGTCTCTTAAATTACTTTTCCTATGAATATTTGACCGGTTGAGTTTTTCACGAAGATGTCCATCTTGACGCCTTCGTCGTAGGGTGGGTAAGTACCTGGAGTTTCACTCCCGCTGACGCCTGCGTCCACGAGAGGTATATAGTGCATACCGCGTCCGTGTAGCTCTTTGACAAACTCCGCTAGACCTTTGAAATTAACCGGATCAACGGTGAAGTCGTTGCTGTTTTTCATGTAGTCTAAATCGTTCCACTGGGTGTCCTAAAACCTAGGTAACGTGACTGCACTAAACACTCTGTATAATTACCAATGGAATCCCAGCATCGATGTTTCGTTGCATCACCAGTCTAGTCCGACTCAGCGTCCTGTACCCAAAGCGACACAAATGGAAGCCCAGCCCCCAATAAGGCGGCATGTACGGTCTCCCAATCAGCTCCGTGTATTGACTGACAACGTCACTAGGGGAGGGGCCTAAGAAAAAGTAGAAGTCTAGAACGCCGCCGATTGGACGAAACGTAACCGCGGGCGTCGGCTGCAATATAACATCTGCAAAAGCACCAATAGAAACACAGATTACTCAAGTGCGCCCCATACCCATCGCGTTCGAATTGTGAAGATAGAAACCGTGACTTTTGGTCGAATTTTCCACAATTAGGTAAAATGGGTGACTTCCGTACAGGTTTTTCTGCAATAAAATGCGACATAAGTGGGGAATGACGTACAATCGCACGCAAATGTTTTGAGCCTATGGGCGGATCATTTTTGCCGATCGTCACCGAAGGAGGCGGTCCAAATCGTCCAAGGGCAGAATTTGTAGGTAGGCTCAAACTACGACGAAATTTACGTGTTGACCAAATTCTTACTCTGAATTAGTTTTAATTTTATAAATACCCTATCTAAAATGTTCAGAATATGATGAGTCTATACTTGTGATTTACCATTCCATTTATATTTTTTGGATTTGTTTATACATACAGGGTATAATAAAATCGAGAATATGCTCAAAATCACACTAATATTAGGTCTAATTGTGCCAACCATAGTTATAAAATTCATATTAAAATAAGTCACGGACATTTTTTGAAGTGTACTACATTTCAAAAAACAAAAAAAATGTTCAGTTTATAAACTTCATAATTTTGGTTTAAAGTTTATCAATCATGTTTGACGCTTTACTTTATCCGTTTCATTTGTTATCCTTTACTGCGGTCTCTCTTGAGTGGAGGTGTAACACCGGACCGAACGGATAATTTATTACTTCCGACATCTTTTCGGTGACAAATTTAATCTTCGCATACTTCAGCGTAGTTAGTGAACTCGTTGTGACCACTGAAATATACAAAGAGTAAATTTTGAAATGGAACGAAAGTCGAAGAATACTTTCAAAGCCACGATCAAAATGTATTTGCTTATCTTCGCCAAAAAATGCATGACGTCATCGTAAAATTTGATATGATGAGTCTATACCTGTGATTTATCACTGCAGTAATATTTTTTAGATTTACTTATACAGCCTGTCTCAAAAAAAGATCACTTCGATTTTCGATTTTTCGTTTTTTCGACCAACCATTTCATCGAATTAGATTTTTCAGTTTCAATTTTTCTATCAACTTTTCGATTTTATTACTTTCCAATTTTCTGATTTTTCAAATTTGCGGTATTTTGAATTTTCGAGTTTTTAGTTTTTTCGTTTTTCGATTTTTTAATTTTTCGTTTTTTTGATTTTTCGATGTTTCGATTTTTTGATTTGCCATTCTTTCAATTTTCGATTTTTAGATTTCTGGATTTTTCTATTCGTCAGTTTTTAGATTTTGCAATTTTTTTGCATTTTTCGATTATATTTTACTTTCCGATTTTTTGATTTTTGAATTCTCGATTTTACGTTTTTAATTCTTCTATTCTCGATTTTTCGATTTTCCATTAATCAATAATTTTTCGATTTTTCGGTTGTTTTATTTCTCAACCTTCGATTTTTCAACTTTCGATTATTCGATTTTCCATTTTCTGATTTTACGATTTTTCGATTTTCGTTTTTCCGCTTTTGTGGTTTTTCGATTTTTCTGTTTGTTTCAGTTTTTATGGTTCTGCGATTTGTTTTATTTTTCCATTTTTCGATTATTTTACTTTCCGATAGTTTGATTTTTGAATTTTCGGTTTTTCCATTTTTCGATTTGGGATTTTTCAATTTTTCGGTTTTTCAATTTTTCGTATTTTGATTTTCGATTTTTCACATTTGTGGATTTGTGTCCGTTTTTTCGATTTTTAGAATCTTAATTAATCGAATTTTCGATTTTTCGATTATCATTTTTACGATTTTTCAAAATCTCGATATTCGAGTTTTCGATTTTCCATTTTTCAAATTTTCAATTTTTAATTTTGCTTTTTTCGATTGTTGCGTTTTAGAATTTTCCCTTCTTCAGCTTTTAGATTTCAATTTTGTTACTTTTCGATTTTTTTATTTCTTTTCGATCGTCGTTTTTTCGATTTTCATTTTTCCGATTTTTTGATTTTTCAATTTTTAGGCCTTGCAATTTTTTTACTTTTCGTTTTTTCGAGTATTTGTTTCATCGAATTTTCGATTTTTCGGTTTTTCCATTTTCCGATTTTCGATTTTCCATTTTTAGATATTTTTCGATTTTTTTTTATTTTTCGATTTTTCTGTTCGTCAGTTTTGAGACTTTGCAATTTTTACTTTTCCACTTTTCTATTAATTCAGTTTCGGATTATTCGATTTTCGATTTTTCGGTTTTTTAATTTGTCGATTCTCGATATTCCAATTTTCGATTTTTCGATTTTCCAATCTTCGATTTTTCGTCTTTCCATTTTTAGATTTCTGGATTTTTCTGTTCGTCAGTTTTTAGATTTTGCAATTTTTTTGCATTTTCAGATTATATTTTACTTTCCGATTTTTTGATTTTTGAATTCTCGATTTTACGTTTTTAATTCTTCTATTCTCGATTTTTCGATTTTCCATTAATCAATAATTTTTCGATTTTTCGGTTGTTTTATTTCTCGACCTTCGATTTTTCAACTTTCGATTATTCGATTTTCCATTTTCTGATTTTACGATTTTTCGATTTTCGTTTTTCCGCTTTTGTGGTTTTTCGATTTTTCTGTTTGTTTCAGTTTTTATGGTTCTGCGATTTGTTTTATTTTTCCATTTTTCGATTATTTTACTTTCCGATTGTTTGATTTTTGAATTTTCGGTTTTTCCATTTTTCGATTTGGGATTTTTCAATTTTTCGTATTTTGATTTTCGATTTTTCACATTTGTGGATTTGTGTCCGTTTTTTCGATTTTTAGAAAATTGATTAATCGAATTTGCGATTTTTCGATTATCATTTTTACGATTTTTCAAAATCTGGATTTTCGAGTTTTCGATTTTCCATTTTTCAAATTTTCAATTTTTAATTTTGCTTTTTTCGATTGTTGCGTTTTAGAATTTTCCCTTCTTCAGCTTTTAGATTTCAATTTTGTTACTTTTCGATTTTTTTATTTCTTTTCGATCGTCGTTTTTTCGATTTTCATTTTTTCGAGTATTTGTTTCATCGAATTTTCGATTTTTCGGTTTTTCCATTTTCCGATTTTCGATTTTCCATTTTTAGATATTTTTCGATTTTTTTTTATTTTTCGATTTTTCTGTTCGTCAGTTTTGAGACTTTGCAATTTTTACTTTTCCACTTTTCTATTAATTTAGTTTCGGATTATTCGATTTTCGATTTTTCGGTTTTTTAATTTGTCGATTCTCGATATTCCGATTTTCGATTTTTCGATTTTCCAATCTTCGATTTTTCAATTTCCAGTTTTCGATTTTCTACTTTTTGATTTTACGATTTTTCGATTTTTCTGTTCGTCAGTTTTTAGGCTTTGCAATTTGTTTACTTTTCGATTTTTCGATTATTTTACTTTCCAATTTTTTGATTTTTGAATTGTCGACTTTTAGAGTTTTCAATATTATGAATTTTCGAATTTTCGGTTTTCCTGTTTTTCGATTTTTGATTTTTCCATTTTTCGGTTTTTTGATTTTTCAATTCTCGGTTTTTCAATCTTGCAAATTTTCGATTTTTCAGATTTGTGAATTTCCAGTTTTTCGATCGACCTATTAGATTGAAAAAATGAACATAGAAAAATCGATTATTAGATTCATTGAATTTTCGATTTTCGGTTTTTCCATTTTTAGATTTTTGATTTTCCAGTTTTGTATTTTCAGATTTTCTGTTTTTCGCATATCTGATTTATCAAATTTTCGATTTTTCGGCTTTTCGATTTTTCGATATTTGATTTTCGAATTTTCGATTGTTCAGTTTTCCATTTTTCAGCTTTTAGATTTTTTTACTTTTCGATTTTCCAAATTTTCGAGTTTCAATTTTCAGATTTTTGATTTTTCGATTTTCTTTTTAAATCTTTGAATTTCTCGGTTTTAATTTTTCGAATTTTTGATTTTTAATTTTGCCATTCTTCGGTTTTTAGACTTCAATTTTCTTTCTTTTAATTTTTTCGATATTCTATTTTCCGCTTTTCAGAATTTTCGATTTTCAGTTTTCAGACTTTCGATCATTAGAATTTTGGATTTTTCCGTTTTATGATTTTTCGATTTTTAGAAAATTTGAGTAGTCGAATTTTCGATTTTTCAATTCATCGATTTTTCTATGTTCAATTGTTCAATTTAAATTTTGCGATTTTCAATTTGTCCATTGTCGATTTTTAGAATTTTCGGTTTTTCAGTTTTTCTATTCTCAACTGTTAGACTTCAATTTTGTTATTTCCCGATTTTTTGGTTTTCGATTTTCCAATTTTCAGAATTTCCAAGTTTCTTTATTCAGATTTTCGATTTTCCACTTTTTCGATTTTCTGTTCGTTTCAGTTTTTAGGCTTTGCAATTTTTTTCTACTTTATATATTTTGATTATTTTAATTTCCGATTTTTTTATTTTTGTTTTTGATTTTTTTAATTTTCAATACTACAAATTTTTGACTTTTCGATTTTTTGGTTTTCCCGTTTTTCAATTTTCGATTTTTCGATTTTTGGGGTTTGTGAATTTCCACTTTTCAATCGACCTAGGTATTTGATTAATTGAATTTTCGATTTTTTGATTAGCCATTTTTAGATTTTCGATTTTTACGATTTGTATTTTTCGATTTTCTGTTCTTTGCATTAGTGAATTTCAGTTTTTCCGATTTTTGATTTTGCGCATATTTGATTAATCAAATTTTCGAAAAAGTTACCATGCTTACAAAAACTTCAAAACATCTACAATATTTCAAAGTATTCAGTTTTGCTATTCTTGATTTCTTCAATAAAATAAATTGACTCAGTCATTAACTTTTTTGAGACACCCTGTGTAACCAAATCTAAAAAATATTAATGCAGTCATAAATCACAAGTATAAAAACTCATCATATTTTATACATTTAAGATAGGATTTATTCTGCAAAATTTTGAGGTGACGTCATACATTTTTTAGAGGGGATAAGCAAATATATTTTAATTAAATCATGTTTATCATGACTTTAAAACATCTGCAAGATTTCAAATTATTCGATTTTGCAAATTCAAAATTAAATTGCAAAATATTGTTTCATAATTTTGATTTTTTTTCCAAAATATAATAAAAACTCAACACGGAGTCATAAACTACATGTGTAGGACTATGTTACTGTATACAATTTAAAACCCATTTCCTATGCATAAATTTGAAGTGACGTCATCACATAGTGACCATTATTTTATGGGAACAACTACCTGCTAAATCTTCTGCGACAAATTCGAGAGAACAGCTGTGAGCCATAAATATTTCTTACCAAATGTAAATTTCGTTGTAGTTTGAGCCTACCTACAAATTCTGCCCTTGAAGGATTTGGACCGCCTTCTTCGGTGAGGACAGGCAAAAACGATCCGCCCATAGGCTCAAAACATTTGCGTGCGATTGTACGTCGTAACTTACGTCGAACGATGGGATGGAGTCGTGGTTGAACAGGGTGAATCTGGACCACTGGGTGGATAGCAAAAAGCGACCACGGTGCTCCCCGATCCCGTATATGTATTTCGATGGTAGTTTCCCCGTTAATTGTAAAAATTGGTTAGAGAAGATTAAATTAGGCAAGTCTAGAGTGTCAAATCTGAAAAAAAATCTAGCATCTCACTACTTTATCACCGAAAATGAACTAACATTACGACGTTGTCGGATTTTCTGATGACTCTGAATCCAGACTTCATGGGGTCAATGTCGAACAAATAGAAGAGTTTGGTGGCTGCTTTGTCCACAACCGGGACTTCTGGATACGGGGGCTCGAATCTATTTTTCAACGGATCTGTAATCTAGTCCAAACAAAAATTAAATTGTTTTGAGGATTTGTGAAAAAATACCTTGATGTGTAGACGCGCTTCCGTTTCAAATCTAGCACTCAGTTTTATTATATCCACGTCCCCGGGATACGCTGTTGAGAAATTTCGCCGCAAATACGCCTCCAACCCGTACGCCGTCTCCGTGATATTAACGTAATTATAAGTGGCGTAGTTAGTGGGATAAAAACAATAGGGAACAGCTAAGGGAACCCCCACTTTGGGTTTCTTTTTAGCGGGTATCCAACAACACCCTCTGGCCTCACACCCTTGCTGGTTGGCCCCATTTTCCGGAAAACAATCCAACCTGTCTTGTTCATCAATAATTTTACATTTACCGTAGTCGGGTTTCGGCGGCGGGGGTAAAATTTTCGGAAGAACTATACTTCTTTCGACTGGTTTTTGCACGAAGTGGCTCTAAAACCCCAGTTGCGTTTACACGTGTTTTTTTTTTGTTTTTTTTTTTAATTTGAATTACCTGTTCCGGTAGAGTTGGATGTTCATAGCGCTCTTGTACGTAAATCACTCCAAAACAGTGTAACAAATATATCAACGGAAGGACTAAAAACACAGCCAGTAACGCGATGACCAGCAGGACCGCTGGCAGACTAGGACGGGTGCAGTTCGGCTCATATTTCTGACTCGAAAAACGGACGTAGGCTTCGCCCTTCAAACCAAACTCAACATAACTAAAATTACAATTTGTGTTCTTACGCTTCGTTGTTTCTTCAAGGGGGACACGTTGAAGTCGCCGTTCAAAGACGACTCTTTGGTTGTCGGGTGTTTCTGGATGGGGGCTTCGTTACAGAAGGCTTCGAAAGACACTGAATCGGTTCTAGACAAGTGGCGGTTGCGGCGCGCCCGAAACGCTTGCAGCAGGTAACGAATCCGCGTCATTTTCAACGAAAAATCGACTGTTGGATGGGAAATTTAACTACGTATCTGTTGGAAATGATTCATGATAATGCGATAAAAAGGCGTTGTGTAAAGTTGAACAACCCTCGTTCGGTGATTAGAAAGAGTTCTGCTTATCTTCAACGGATTTTACTGGAATTTTGTGATAACATCGTCGGCTTTGTTATGACACTTAACGAATAACCTCAAAAAGTCGCAGGGGAGGAGGAGACACAAAACGAGTTAATTAAAATAGCCAATCGAACGTCTCGCGACGAATCACGTGATGTAAATGCGACGTACGATTGGTGAACTGTAGCGTTCTTTTTTGCGTAGCACTCACAGCGCCATTTCTTATCATTGTCGCCAACATGACAATCACCAAAAACCCTACGTAGGCACAACATAAACAATTTTAAAAATAACTTTATTAAAAACCTTCTTAAACAAAACGATTACATTTCACTTATCGCTAAACCATTAGTAGAAATAATTATTCTTCCCTTGATTCGCACACCATAACGAGCTCTAAAAAAACACACAAATATCAAAAAAGTGAGGTTATTACCACCCCTACTACCCAACTTACTTTTGACAATCTCGCCCAGCGCTTGCACCACTGGCGAATTCGGCAACTCGCTAATAAAATCCTTGCCTTCGTCGCAATACCTAGCCACGGTGGGGTCCAGGGGCAGACTCCCCAAAAACGGCACGTTCAGCTCCTCGCACATTTTCTTCGCCCCTCCTGTCGTGGCCGGGAAAATCTCCGACAGCCTCTGCAACTCGCAATAAGTACCAAATTCGCCCACTCGGCTCCACCTACCTTGCAGCACGGACACACGAAAATCGACATGTTCTCCACCACCCCCAGCACCCTGATTTTCACCTTTTTGCAAAAATCTATTTCTTTTCGCACGTCGAGCAGAGCCACTTCCTGGGGGGTGGTCACGATTACCGCGCCGGTTAAGCCGGCCTGGGATAGGTAGGTCGACGCCGAGAGGTGCTCGTCGGAGGTGCCCGGGGGCGTGTCCATGAGGAGGTAGTCGAGGTTGCCCCAGTCCACCTCGCTGAGGAACTGGCGGATCATGCCGTTCTTTTTGGGGCCGCGCCAGATGACGGCGTCGTCGGGGGAGGACAGCAGGAAGCCGATGGACATGACGGAGAGGTTGTCGTCGACGTACTGTTAAAGTTTTGTTAAATGGGGGATTTTTTTGTGTGAGGGTGGAAACGTACGACTGGGGACCAGCCGGAGCCCGATTGGTGGACTTGTTCGTTGAGGACACCCATGACGCGGGGCTGGGAGGGGCCGCAGATGTCGATGTCCAGGACGGCAACCTAGAAAATGTTGTTTAAAATGAGAAATTAAAAAAAATTATGAAATACTCAACAAAAAATTGGTCGAAGGTTATTTCGACAGATCTTTCTTAGCCCCTGAAGTGCAAAACTGAAAAATCCAAATTTCGAGAAACTGAGAAATCAAAATATTTTAAAAAACGAAAAATTGAAAAATCGAAATCCGAAAAATCGAAACATCAAAAAATCGTAAAATCGAACAATGTAAAATTTAAAAATTCGAAAAATTTACAAATAGAAATATCGAAAAACTGAAAAATAGAACAAAGAAAGAAAATCGGGAAATCGAAAAATTTAGAATTTACAAAACTGAAAAATTAAAATATCGAAAAATTGAAAAATCCAAAAGTCGAAAAACCAAGAAATCGAAAATCAAAATTTAAAAAATAGGACTGAAAAATATTGGAAATAGATAGGAAAACTGAAGAATCGAAAAACAGAAAAATCACAAGTTTAAAAATCGAAAAATTGAAAAACAGAAATTTCGAAAAATCGAAACATCAAAAGACCGAGAGATCGTGTTAAAAATTGAAAAATTTACAACTATTGAAAGCAAAAATTCAAAAACCGAGAAATTGAAGAATGGAAAAGTTAAAAATTTTAAAAATGGAAAAATTGAAGAATCGAAATATCAAAAAATCGAGAAATTGCGAAATCGAAAACCTAAATAATTAAAAAATATATCGATTAACCGAAAAATTGAAAAACTAAGAAAGTGAACAACTGAAAAATCGAAAAATTGGGAAAATCGAGAATTTCAAAATTTTAGAAAATAAAAAATCCTAAAACCGAAAAATCGAAAAATTGAACAATTGAGGAATCGGAGAATCGAAAAACGGAGAAATCGAAAAATCTAAAATTAAAAAATCGAAAACCGAGAAATCAAAATTCAAAATCCACAATTTAAGAAATCAAAAAATTCCTAAACTAAAATGGCGAAAAATTGGAAAACTGAAAAATTGAAACATCAAAAAATTCAAAAACTGAAACATTGACAAATCGAAACATCAAGAGATCGAGCAATCGAAGTTAAAAATAGAAAAATGTATAATTATTAAAAAAAATCGATAAACTGAAAAAACAAAAATTGAAAAAAAGGTAAGTCGAAAAATCGAGAAATCCAAAATCCAAAATTTAAGATATCCAAGGATTGATAACAAGAAAAAAAAATAAAAAAACAGGAAAATTGAATAATTCAAAAATCAAAAATTCGAAAAGTCGAAAACCGAGGAATCAATATCGAAAATCCACAATTTAAGGAATCGAAAAATTGAAACATGGGGACACTGAATAATCGAAACACCGAAAAATCTAGAAATTGAAAAATTCCAAAATTTAAATAGCGAAAAATTGAAAAATCGAACCATCGAAAAACCGAGAAATCGAAAAATCTGAACATCAAAAGATCGAGAAATCGAAGTTAAAAATACAAAAATTTATGTTTATTAAAAAAAATCCATAAACCCAACATCAGAAAATAAAAATCTGACAAATTATTAAAATCTCGAAAAATTGAAAAATTCAAAAATTACAAAAAAAGGAAAAATCGAGAAATCCAAAATCCAAAATTTAAGACATCCAAGGATTGATTACAAGAAAAAAATAAATAAAAAACAGGAAAATTGAAAAATTCAAAAATCAAAAATTCGAAAAGTCGAAAACTGAGAAATCAAAATCGAAAATCTACAATTTAAGGAATCGAAAAATGGGGACATTGAAGAATCGAAAATCTGAAAATCTAGAAAATGAAAAATTCCAAAACTAAAATGGCGAAAAATTGGAAAATTGAAAAATCGGAACATGGAAAAACCGAAAAATTGAAAAATTTTAAACAGTAACAAATCGAAACACCAAAAGATCGAGAAATGGACGATAAAAATTGAAAAATTTATAATTATTTAAAAAAATCGATAAACCAAAAAACCAAAAATTTTAAAAACTGAAAAATTAAAATATGTATCGAAAAATTGAAAAATTTTAATCTTGAAACATTGACAAATCGAAACACCAAAAGATCGAGAAATGGACGTTAAAATTGAAAAATTTATAATTATTTAAAAAAAATCGATAAACCGAAAAACCAAAAATTTTAAAAACTGAAAAATTAAAATATCGAAAAATGGAAAAATTAAAAAATTAAAAAAAAAATAGAAAAATTCGAAAATCGAGATGACAAGAAATCGAAACATCAAAAAATCGTAAAATCGAAAAACCTAAAATTTAAAAAACCAAAAATTAAAAAAAAAAATGGTCGAAATGTAAAATTTAAAATTTCCAAAAATTTACACAGAAATATCGAAAAACTGAAAAATAGAACTGAGAAAGAAAATCGGGAAATCGAAAAATTTACAATTTAAAAAACTAAAAACTTAAAATATCGAAAAATTGAAAAATTAAAATATCGAAAAATGGAAAAATTCAAAAATTAAAAAATAGAAAAATTCAAAAATCGAGATGACAAGAAATCGAAACATCAAAAAATCGTAAAATCGAAAAACCTAAAATTTAAAAAACTGAAAAACTAAAATATGTATCGAAAAATCGAAAAATTCAGAAATCTAAAAATAATTGAAAAATCGAAGTCGAAAAACCAAGATATCGAAAATCCAAAATTTAAGAAATCGAATGATTGAAAAATATGTATAGGAAATACATAGGAAAACTGAAAAATCAAAAATTTAAAAATCGAAAACTGAAAAACAGAAATTTCGGAGAACTGAAAACCTGAAAAATCGAGAAATCGAAAAATCCAAAAATTGAAAAATCCAAAAATTGGAGAACCACAAAACTGAAAAATCTATAAATTCAAAAATTCCAAAACTGAAATGGCGAAAAGTTGGAAAATCGAAACATCAAAAGTTCAAGAAATTGAAAAACCAAAAAATTGAACAATCAAAAAATTAAAAAATGGAATAACTAAAATTTAAAAATCGAACGGTCGAAAACCGAGAAATTAAAATCGAAAATCCACAATTTAAGAAATCGAAAAATTGAAAAATCGAAAAACCGAGAAATTGAAGTCAAAAATTAAAAATTTACAATTATAAAATAAAAATCGATAAATCGAAAAACCAAAAATTCAAAAACCGAAAAATTTAACTTTTAGAAAATTGAAACATCGAAAAATTGAAAAATGGTAGAAAAATTGGAAAATCGAAAAATCCCAAAACTGAAACATCGCAAAATTGAAAAATCGAAATTTCACAAGATCGAGAAATTGAAAAATCGAAAACCCAAGAAATTGAAAAAAAAGGATTAACCGAAAAATTGAAAAACCAAAACACTGAACAATCAAAAAATCGAAACACTGACATCTAGAAAAAATGGAAAAATTAAAAAATGGAAGAACTGAAAAATCGAAAAATTGGGAAATTGCGAAATCAAAAATTTTAGAAATGAAAAATTGAAATATCGGGAAATTGAAACAATAAAAAATCTAAAAATTGAAAAATCCAAAACTTTAAAATCGAAAAATTGAAAAATTTTAAAATGCAAAAATTGGAAAGTCGAAAAATTGAAAAATCAAAAATTTAAGAAATCCAAGGATTGAAAAACTGAAAAGCCAAAAAATCTAAAATTAAAAAATGGAGAAGTCGAAAATCGAGAAATCAAAATCGAAACTCCACAATTTAAGAAATCGAAAAATTAAAAAATGGGAACACTGAAAAATCGTAAAAATGAAAAATATAGAAATTAAAAAATTCCAAAACTAAAATGACGAAAGATTGGAAAATTGAAACATCGAAAAAACCGAGAAATCGAAAAATCGGAACATTAAAAAAATTCAAAAACTAAAACATCGACAAATCGAAAGATCGAGAATCGAAGTTAAAAAATGAAAAATTTATGATTATCAAAAAATCGATAAACCGAAAAACCAGAAATTAAAAAAAAAATGGAAAATAGAAAAATCGAAAATCCAAAATTTAAGAAATCCAAGGAATGAAAACAAGAAAATTGATAAATAGAAATATCGAATAGCTGAAAAACCAAAAAATCGGGAAATCGAAAATTTGAAAAACTAAAATATCAAAAAATTCAGAAACCTAAAATTTAAAAATCGAACAGTCGAAAACTGGGATATTAAAATCGAAAATCCACAATTTAAGAAATCGAAAAATTGAAAAGTCAAAAACCGAGAAATTGAACTATCAAAAAACACTGAAACATCGAAAAATTGAAAAATGGTAGAAAAATTGGAAAAGGAAAAACCTGAAAAATCTAGAAATTCAAAAATTGAAGAGTCGAAATATAGAAAAATCCCTAAACTGAAACATTGTAAAATTGAAAAATCGAAATTTCAAAAGATCGAGAAATCGAAAAAAATCGATTAACCGAAAAATTGAAAACCACGAAACTCGAAAAATAGGGATATTGAGAAATCTAAAATTGTATAAATGAAAAATTAAAATAACAAAAAATTGAAAAACTTTAAATTCAAAAATCGGAAATATTGAAAAATCCCCAAACTGAAAAATCGGAAATTGAACAACTGAAGAATCGAAAAATTGAAAAATCCCAAAACTGAAACATCGAAAAATTAAAAAATTGAGAAATTGAAAAGCAGAAAAATCGAAGATTTTAAAAATCGTAAAATTGAAGTATCAAAAACCAGAAAAATTGAAGAACTAAAAAACCAAAACATTGAGAAGTAGAGAAATGGAGAAATGAGAAAATCAAAAAATCGACTAACTCAGAAAAGTCAAAAATTGAAAAATTGAAGGATCTAAAAAGCAAAGTATCGAAAAATTCAAAAATCCCAACACTGAAATATCGGAAAAATTGAAAATCTAGAATTAAAAAATCGAAGAACAAAAAACTAAAATATCGAAAAATTGAGAAATCGAACAACCGTTACAATTTTGATTTTTTTTTCCAAAAATCTCGATGTCTAAGATAAAAATTCAACACCGAATCATAAACCACAAGTTCATAACTATATGCTACTTTTTATCATTTAAATAATATTTATTCCACAAAATTGCAAGATGACATCAATTCATGAAATTTATTATAATTTATAATCATAAAAGATTACTCAGTGGAAACGGAAAAAACCAGATTAATTCAATTGAAAACCGCAAATATTTTCTAGCAACAAAAATAAAACGCACAAGACAACAGCGTAAACAACCTCTTATATCATAAAAAAATTCCCAGTCCATTTTAACCATTTTACAACAATAGTGTTTACTCGAGCAAAAGTATTGCGTCGTTTCAAAGATTAATTCGGCAATTAGGCCCGATAAAACGAAGCCACGGCTTCTGATAAGGCGAAAATAATACTTCTCGGAAACGATGATGCAAAAATGTCTCAAGGATGACCAAAGGTGAACATTGTTATCAAGGGAATCCTGTAAACAGTCCAAAGTGTAAACACAATGTATTCATGTTGACTCGAAGACAATAGAAATTAGAAAACAAACGCTCAGGTTGCTATTTTGAGTCAGGAAAACATGACGAACAAAATCGTATTTTGCGAAATAATTAACGCTTTTTGTCACTGTACGGTAACGGAGTTCTTTTACCACCTAGTACGAATACAACGTGGCAACGACCCTTGTCAATGTATGTGTGACAGGTTAACGAATACCGAAGCGATCCGGTCGATAATTTGTGGTTTTATAGGCCACGATTTTTCGTTTCTAATTTTAGAATTGCACAATTTTAAAAATACCAAAAATTGTGACCTTGTACAATATTTTGTTGGTAAAAATTTTAATACATAGTTTCCAAATATGTACATCTGGTTTCAAGTACAACAAGTAATTTTAAAATCATTTCAACCCTTCCCCAAACAGAGACCCTGTCGTTCATCCCCATCCCTCGTCCCGCTAAATGGGCCACAGCGCAAAGTACCGCCTGGCACAATACATTCAACTTTGCCCTCCATCACAGATAAATCTGTTAGTCACGACTCGCCGCCACAAAAATACGCACAAAAGCCTCCAAACACCCCGCTATCAACAACAACAACATGAATTGAACCATCCATTTCGCAACAAGACAATGATATTCGGCGGTCCCGAGGCTCGGCGCAGCCGATACAATAGAGTAAGTCGGCGATACCATGCAAATAACAATTGCACAACAAGCACATGACCATTACCACACTCTCTCCCATTATCGCAATTTCTCATTTTTTCCCCATTTTTTACGCAAAGACAATGCTTTCTTACGTTGCTGTCCTTATCGCGCGCGGCGAGACTGCGGCTGAGCATCGCCGTCACGGTGCTCTTCCCCACGCCCCCTTTTCCAGACAGAACCAGGACTTTGTTGCGGACTTGCTCGAGGCGCTCCTTCACCAGCTGGATGCCGGGGTCGGGCCCCGCGGGGCCGGAGGCGCAGATCTGCTGGTTGGGGCACCCGGCGCAGGCCGAGGCCTTGCCTGCGTTGGCGCTGTCGGTGCCGGGGCAATCTACAAGCGAAAAGGGGTTAACGAATTTTTGGGGGTAAAAGGGGGCGCTTACGCTCGGGGATGTTTGTGGGGTTCTCCACGGTGCTTGCCATTGTTGTTATCAGTGCGAAACCGCGATGTTATCAATCAACATGTTACAAATTAAAGTGTCGGAGATTGACGTTGACGTTTGGTTTTAAAGGTTGGGGAGCACGGCTGCCAATCCACTAGAGTCGGGTTAATGGCGGACTGAAATCCCCTATTTCGTTTGAAATTTTAAACTTTAATTTCCACTTTTATAACATAATAAAGGCGGTTTAAACCTGATAACGACTTTATTGGAGTCGGAAATGATAAAAATGTTTCGTTGGTTGCATAAACAGTATTTTTGTAGCAACTCCAACCATGGGGCTCCGACCCATGCATGGAGCACATAATCGGCCCTCCAGACCCAACACACACGAGACAGTATTATCAAACAGCCAGACCGCACCCATGGAGACCCACGCTGGGCTACGAAAGTGCAGAAGCGACTCCTTTGTATGAAATCAAATCATGATTATTGAATTTCATCCATGTTGCGCTTAATGGTCGTTTTCAGACCCAGCCAACCCATGACGAGCACCATGATAGACTCCTACTACACCCCGTACGCCATGGCCACCGAACCCCTCAAATTTCCAAACTTAGTAACCGGATTTGAAAGAAACCCAGCACACATGTCTAAAGTTGCCCTCTACACAAGATATACCCCAATCGAGTGGACTCACAACAACTTACGTAACTACAACGAGTCTGATACGAATAGAAACTACTCAGAAAGACTCAGGGGGGAATTTATTCGAGCTATGAGGTTTGTATAATATCATTGTTTAAGTATATTATAGTTGGACAACCTAATACAAATTTTACTTCGCCTAAATAGTGAGCTTTAGGACAAGGAATCCAGGGGGCGTGAGCCAACGTATTAGGTTTATTTTCTTCTAAATCAGATGGCGCCATCAAACATTAGCAAAGGCAAACACCCTTCACTCTGCTCTTATACGAGGAGTTATCCATAAATCCATAATTAACATTGTTCCGTAAACAGTAATGTGTATAAACATATATGTACAAAACATGAAAATATACTTGACATAAAATATATGAAGCAACGCGTTGTAACGTGATAAGAAAGAATTGAATTCAAATGAATTTGACGCATATTTTTATTTGACTATATCTGAAGACTGACAGAAACTTTCCAAGGGTTTTTAAACTGGTATAATTGTTTAGTTTTACAAGATTAAAGTAAAACAAGATTTTAAGTAAAATTTAGATTCGTGGTGTTACAAAAATATTAACACAAAATGAAAATATATGTTCAAAGTAAATAACAGAATGACATAAACTTTCGGCGTTAACATTACAAATAATTACAAGAGCGAAAAAAACGCATAAAGAACTTAGAGGCATGTTTGTAATATCGAGTTGTTAAAGGCTGGTTTGAAGACTGTTTGTTTCTATGAAAAACAATTGCTGTTATCGGACATTTTGGTAGATTTTGTTCCAAAAATACGAGATAACTAATTGTTTCTTGAACTAGTTTCCGTAACTTCTAAAATTTAAAAAGGATACGCCGTTCTGCTGTAATAAAATCTAGAATAAGGTCAAAATCACACTAATATTACATCTGATTTTGTTAACCACATGAATATAATTTACATTAAAATAAGTTACAGACATTGTTTGAAATGTTTATTATAGTTCGAAAACAAGATAAAATAAACAAATAAATAAATAAAATGTGCAGTTTATAAACAGAATTTTAGTATAAAAATAATCATCAAAAATATTACGCCGAAAGCACTTCTTCAAGTGTTATTTATTTTTTTTAAGATGTCATATTTGTCAGCGTTTCCAAAATTTTCTTCTTTGCACAGGTCAACTAATTTTTCGTAAACCGCATTTTAAAATTTTTGTTATTGTATTTTTTACTTTTTAATTTCCTAAGGCATGAAAAAATCCCATATAGGTTTCTATGAATTTATTAACGAAATCAACTGATAACTTGCGCGCCATTTTGTGTTAATTAACACCAATAGTGATTATGATAATTTTATAATTATCATTTTAATGAAATTGTGTTCTTCACTTCGCGAACGACAGCAAACAATTTAAAATTACCGCTAGTCAAACACCTGAAAATCCATCTCTCCCAAATATGTCTTTCTTGGCACGATTTGTAATCCGACGTCTCCCTCCACATGCAATTTTTCGTCGCCTGAGAACTTGTTTGATCTACAGACCAAAGCACACTCAGGCCAATATCGGCTTTAAGCGATTTATCTATAAACCGATATCCGTTAGAGTTGATGTGATACACATCCACTACGAAGAACTAACCCATTTCGACCATTGGACTTTACAACGAATAAGTGAACAAAGTTCTTGAACATCTTAACGATTTAATACATAATGTTCCCGAATGACAAAATTTACATTTTAAATTGTATTATCAAATTGCACTCTCCAAAATTTGTCACGAACAATGAAATGACGCAATCTCCAAATTTTACAATAGTAAAATTGTAAATTCGCCCCGTTTACGGTTTATGCATCCCTGTCGAGTCACCTTAGACGTCAAGATTTTTGAAAAAAAAAATCAACATTTTCCAATTTATAATGTTATTTAAATTTTAAAAAGTAGAATAGTCCTGATCTTGTGATTTATACCTAAATACGCTATTGGGATTTTTCGGCTTGTCGATTTCTCGATTTTTCAACTTTAAATGTCTCAATTTTTCAATATTTCAATTTTGGGCTTTTCCGATTCCTCCATTCCTTAAATTTTTTATTTCTCGATTTTTTTACTTTTCGATTTCTCAATCTTACGATGTTTCAATGATACGATTTCTCAATTTTTGTCCTCTTCAATTTTACGGTTTTTAAATATTTCGATTTTTCAATTTTTCAAATTTTTACGTTGCTAAATTTTCAGTTTGCCGATTTCTAACGTATTTTTTTATTTGTCCTTTTCTGGATTTCTTGAAGTTTCGATTTTTCACATTTTCAATTCCTCAATTTTTCGATTTTTTAGGATTACGATTTTTCAATTTTGCTTTTTTAGATTTTCGATTTCTCAATTTTCCAGTTTTTTAATTTCTCAATTTTTTGAATATTTCTTTCAGTTATGAGATTTTTCAATATTTCAATTTTTCGACTTTTCGATTTTTGAATTGATGGATTTTTTTGATTTCTCGCTTTTTTCCTTTTTGGATTTTCAATTTATTGTAAACTTTAGATTTTTCAATTCTGGGACTGTTTAATGCTTCGATTTCTCAATTTTTAAACTTTTCGATGTTTTAATATTCCATTTTTTAAAATTCTAGGTTTTTCGATATCTCCAGTTTTCAGTTCTTCTATATTTCAATTTTTCAATTTTTCAATTTTTCGATTTTTTGAATTTTAATTTTTGATTTTCCAGTTTTTCTTTTTTAAAATTTTTCGATTATTCAATTTTTTAATTTCTCAATTTATCGAATTCAGATGTTTCGTTGTTTTGATTGTTCAATTTCTCAATTTTTCAATTTTTAACTTTCCTTTTCGGCTTCCGACTCCTCAATTTCTCGATCCTCCGATTTTTCGATTTCTCGAAGTCTCAGTTTTTGAATTTTTCGATGTTTCGATTTTTGGATTTCTCGGTTTTTCAATTTTTTTTTGAGCTTTTCAATTTCTGGATTTTCCAATTTTTCAATGCCTCGATTTTTCAATTTTTCAAATTGAATTGGATCTCTCGATTCTTCAATTTTGCGATATTTTAATTATTCATTGTTTTCAATTTTAGTTTTTTCGATTTCTCGATTTTTTTACTTTTCAGTTCTTCAGTATTTAAATTTTTGAATTTTTCAAATTTTTGCGTTAAATTTTCAGTTTTCTGATTTCTCAATTAATCTATTTTTGATTTTCCCACTTCTCAAAGTTTCGATTTTTCAGTTCTTCAATTCTTCGATTTTTCGACTTCGCTTTATTGGTTTGTCGATTTCTCAATTTTTGGAAATTTCTTTCAGTTTTGATATTTTTCAATACTTCGATTCTTTCATTTTTCGACTTCTAGATTTTTCTATTTTTTATTTTTGGATTTTCAGTTTTTTGTTTTTTATTTCAATTTGTCAATTTTTCAACTTTTTCATATTTTAATTTTTAAATTTCTAGATTTTTCAGTTTCTCGAGTTTCCAGTTCTATATTTTAATTTTTTAAATTTACGAATGTTTAAATTTTTTGAGATCTCAATTCATTGAGATTCGGATGTTTCGATGTTTTGATTATTCAATCTCTCGCTTTATTAATTTTTCCATATTTAAGTTTTCGATTTTTCGATTTTAGCCTACTTCGGTTTCTCAATTTTTTGATTTTTCGACTTCTCGATTTTTCGACTCCTCGATTTTTTTTGTCTTTTGATTTTTCGATTTCTCGATGTCTCAATTTTTGAATTTTACAATGTTTCGATTTTTCGATTTGTTGGTTTTTCGATTTTTTGCTTTTCGGTTTCTCGATTTTTCGATGTTTCGATTTTTGATTTATCCGATTTTTCAATTGTCCAATTTTTTAAATTCTCGACTTCTCGATTCGTTGATTTTTCAGTTTTTCGATTATTAAATTTTAGATTTTTTTTTTTTTGATTTTTTGATGTTTGGATTTCTCCATTTTTCAGTTTTAGGATATTTTAACTTTTCAATGTTTTAAATTTTAAATTTTTCGATTTTTTAGTTCTTCAATATTTTTTTATTTTTCAAATTTTGACGTTTCTGAATTTTTAGTTTTGGGATTTCTCAATTAATCTATTTTTTTATATTCCCATTTCTCCACTTCCTAAAGTTTCGATTTTTCAGTTCTTCAGTTCTTCAATTTTTCGATTATTCAGGTTTTTGATTTTCAATTTTTCGATTTTTTAAGTTTGCGATTTTTAGACTCTGCTTTTTGACTTTTTTGTTTCTCAATTTTTTAATTTCCTAATTTTTTGATATTTCGTTCAATTTTGTGATTTTTCAGTTTTTCGATTTCTCAATTTTAACTTTTCAATTTTTGAAATTATTAATTTTTTTCCATTTTTTGAGTTTTCAGTTCTCTATATTTCAATTTTTCAATTTTCGGAATTTTTAAATTTTCGATTGTTCAATTTTTCGATGTTTCGATTTTTGAATTAACCGATTGTTCAATTTCTCGATTTTTAAATTTTAGATTTTCCAATTTTAATTTTTTTGATTTTTTTATGTTTCGATTTCTCGATTTTACAATTTTCCCATATTTGAATTTTTCAGTGTTTTAAATTTTCGATTTCGAGGATTTACTGTGTTACAGTAGTTATCAGTCATTACTCATCAAGAACGATTATTGCTGTGCGTTAAAATGCCTACATACTGATAAGCACTTACATAAAAGACACATTTAAGGCTGTTTTAGTATAATTTTTGCAATTTTAAATTTATTTCTTGATGTCTAAATCGTAAATATTTAAATGGTGATGAATATGTTGCGATACAATCTTAGGATAAAATGCATTTTAGTTTCAAAAATAATATGTATTTAATGATTTGACTACTGTTAATAAAAAAAATACGTAATAAGATGTTCATATTGAATTAATTTGGTGTTCATAGTTTGATGATAATCCATAGTTATTCTGGAGGCAAATTAGATGACTTGTTACTTATTAATTAAAGTAGTGGTCGTTTAATTTCGTATACCTTTAAAATGGACGAAGGGACGCATATTTGTTAGCCATGCAGTTCATGGAAAATAGGTATACCGCGATAATATTAAATTTTTGTTACCTTAACCTTGAAACAGGTATGCACTACATATACATATATTACAGTAAAGTCTTCAACACGTACGTTTGCTTATTTTGTGACTGTTCCCCGTACAACGTACTGATTAATACGTCCGTTTACTACCTTATCGACATCACGTGCTTACGGAGTATTTTTACCCCCTTTCGTAAGGTACCGCCACTTCATAGTGAAGCGAGTGAGATGTAAAATATATATTCATTCTTTTCTACATGGGAAAGTGATTGTCCGTATAGGTTGTCCAACTATAATATACTTAAACAATGATAATATTAAATCATTTTCGTTGGTTAGGCAACCAATTATACACCAATTTTAGAGAAACTGACGAGAAGACGGCTCAGGGGCAACGCGAAGCGGGGCGCAGGCTCGGCGAGAGGATCACCGACTTGACGTTTTGGCGAAACGAGGCCCGAACTGAGCTCGAGAGACTCCTCAGCGAAGCCGATTTGTTACAGGAGTCTCGACGAAACCTCGAGAAAGCCATAACTGACATAGAGGGCCCTCTGCACATAGCGCAGGAGTGTCTCTACCAGCGCGAAAACCGAATCGGGATTGATTTAGTGCACGACAACCCCGAAGAGTCGCTCCTAAGAGAAGTAGATACTTACCGCAACGACCAACAAAGACTTAAGTCTTTACTCGCCAAAGTCAAAGAACAACTTAGGAACCTGCGAGCCGCACAACACGAGCTTGAAACCGAAGTGCGAAGCAAAGAGTCCACTCTGGGTATAGACAACATGTGCCACCAACTCAGCAATTTTTCCAAAGGGATTAACTACTACGGAGGGATCGAGAAATTTGACCCTACGTAAATCTTGTACTTTCATACAATGGAAAGTACAGGTTTTACGAGTTTTGATTTCAGGGTGTCTACAATATCTAGCTGGGCGGAGAACAGTAACCGGATTGTGCAAAGATCGCAGGCTGAAAGAAGTCGGTCGACGCAGCTGCGTTCAGACACGGAGAACTTGATAAACACGGTGGCTTCAGAGGTCTGGAACGTTTGGAGTACTACGAACAACGCTCTAGCTCGACGAGCTGCCGAAACCCTGGAAGCCAAGAACAAACTACAGATGCATTTGCACAAAGTCCAGCAGGAGATTTTCGATATTGAGAAAAATATAGAGCTGCTGAAGAAGGCGATCATGGATAAGAGTAACCCCATGAAGGTGGCTCATACGAGGCTGGAGGCTCGTGCTCACCGGAAGAAGGTCGAGTTGTGTAGAGACAACGCGCAGGATAGGTGAAATCGGTCACGGTTTGTTTATTTTGGTGGTCTTGTATGTTTAATTTCAGGCTTGTGAGAGAAGTTGTCGATATTCAGGACAGTATTGAGTATCTGCATAGAAAGCTGCAGGAGGCGGAAGCGCAACACCAGCAACTTCTTCGGACACGGTCGAACCTCGAAAGTGATCTGCACACTAAAGTTAATTCGTTGTTTTTGGATAGAGAGAAGTGTATGGGGATGAGGCGGTCGTTTCCTATTACTGCTACAATTAAATATTAGTCGTTTAAATAAATTATCCCCGAAGAAAACGGTTATTTATTACCTACTTCTCTAATTCATGATAGTACAGCGAATAAGGGACAAATTAATTTTTTGTTCTGGCGCCTCCACCATTTTTACACAAAATGTAAAAGTCAAATGAGGGAGTTTTTCAATTTTCGATTTCGTCTTTTGATTTTCCGATTTTTCAAGTCTTCGATTTCTCAATTTTTCAACATTTCATTTGAAATTTTTCAGTTTCTTTTTATTATCCAATATTTCTGATTTTTCCACTTTGCAAATTATCGACTTTCAATTTTTCGATTTTTAATTTTTGGATTACTGATTTTTTTCAAAATATTTCAGTTTGAGGATGTTTCAATTTTTCGATTGTTCAATCTTCCGATCTTTTAATTTTTCGATTTTTTAAATTTTAGACTTTTCATTTTTTTGATGTTTCTATTTCTCCATCTTCCTATTTTTGACTTACGTTTTTACATTTTTCGGTTCGTCTGAAGTTCTATTTGACATGTTTCAATTTCGAATTTTTCGATTTGGGATGTTTCGATATCTTCATTTTTCGACTTCTCAACTTCTCGATATTTTGGTGTTTCGATTTCTCGATATTCAATTTTTCAATTTTGCGTTTTCTCAAATTTTCAACAAAAGAAAGTGAAAAACTGAGAAATCCAAAATTCAAAATTTAAGAAATTCAAGGATTGATAACAGGAAAATTGAAAAATAGAAATATCGAAGAACTGAAAAACCAAGAAATCTAAAAATAAAAAAACAGAAAAATGAAAAATTCAAAAATCAAAAATTCAAAAAGTCGAAAACCGAGAAACCAAAATCGAAAATCCGCAATTTAGGGAATCGAAAAATTGAAACATGGGGACACTGAAGAATCGAAACACTCAAAAATCTAGCAAATGAAAAAAAATATCGAAAAATCGATAAATTCAGAAATTAAAAAAAGGAAAAATCGAGAAATAGAAATATCGAAAAACTGAACAACCAAGAAATCTAAAATCAAAAAACTAAAAAGTTAAAATATCGAAAAATTCAAAAATCTACAATTTAAGGAATCGAAATATAAGGACACTGAAGAATCGAAAAACTGAAAAATCTAGAAATTGAAATATTCCAAAACTAAAATGAAAAACATCGAAAAACCGAGAAATGGTGTTAAAAACTGAAAAATTTATAATTATTAAAGTAAATCGATAAATCGAAAAGCCAAAAATTCAAGAACCGAGAAACTGAATACTCAAAAATCTGAAACATCGAAAAATTGAAAAATGGTAGAAAAATTGGAAAATCAAAAACCTGAAAAATCGAAAAAATTAAAAATCGAAAAATTGAAGAATCCAAATATTGAAAAATCCCAAAACTCAAACATCGAAAAATGGAGAAATCGAAAAGAAATTGAAAAAATCTATTAACCGAAAAATTCAAAAACCACGAAACTGAACAATAAAAAAATCGAAACATCGAAATTTCATTTTATTTTTCAACATTTCATTTTGGAAATTTTTCAGTTTTTTTTTTATTATCTGATATTTTTGATTTTTCCATTTTTCAAATTATCGACTTTCAATTTTTCGATTTTTAATTTTTGGGTTACTGATTTTTTTCAAAATATTTCAGTTTGGGGATTTTTCAATTTATCGTTTGTTCAATCTTCTGATCTTTTAATTTTTCGATTTTTTAAATTTTAAACTTTTCATTTTTTTGATGTTTCTATTTCTCGATCTTCCTATTTTTGACTTACGATTTTACATTTTTTGGTTCGTCTGAAGTTCAATTTGAAATGTTTCAATTTCGAATTTTTCGATTTGGGATGTTTTGATTTCTCAATTTTTCAATTTTTTGACTTCTCAACTTCTCGATATTTTGGTGTTTCGATTTCTCGATATTCAATTTTTCAATTTCGATTTCTCGATTTTCCAATTATTCGTTTTCTCAAATTTTCAACATTCCAGTTTTGGGATTTTTCAGTTTCTCGACTGACCAGTTTTTCCATTCTTCAATATTTCGATGTTCCATGTTTTCATTTTTTAAATTTTAGATTTTTCGATTTCTTGATTTCTAGGTTTTTTTTTTGGTTTTCTTAGCTTTTGAATTTTTCAAATTTTACAACTTTTCCATTTTCCGAATTCCCGATTTTAATTTTTTTAATGTGTTTTAGTGTTTCGATTTTTCGACATCTCGGTTTACATATTCTCGATTTTCCCGAGTTTTCGATTTTTCAATTTTTCAAAATTTCAATTTTGGGAATTTTTCAGTGTTTTTTTTGGTTTTTCGACGTTTGGATTTTAGATTTTTAAAATTTTTGATTTTTTGATTACTGAATTTTTCGATTTTCATTTGGGGCTTTACTTCAGTTTGTCGATTCTTCAAAATTTCGATTTTTCTAATTTTCGCTTTCTCGATTTTTTGACTTTCCGATTTTTCGACTTTTGAGTTCAGTTTTTTAGACTTTTAAAATTTTAGATATTTCGATTTTTAGAAGCTTCCGATATTTCTATTTTTAATTTCCTAGTTTAAAATTTTTTTTCATGAATTTCATTGTTTCGATTTTTCGCTTTCTTTTTGATTTCTCGATTTTTCAAGTTTTCGATTTCTTAATTTTTCAAGTTTCAATTTTGGAAAATTTTCAGTTATGTACTGGAATTTTCAATTTTTCGATATTTTCATTTTTCGATTTTTTAATTGTTTGACTTTTTATTTATTTTTTTTTTTAATTTTTTTGATTGTTTGATTTTTGCGATTTTTGATTTTTTGATTTTTCGACTTTTGGGTTTTTCAAGTTTTCGATTTTCCGATTTCTCGATTTTTCAATTTTTCGATTTCTCAAGCTTCCGATGTTTCACTTTTAGGATTTCTCAATATTTCGATTTTTCAAAATGTCTCGATTTTGAGTTCAGTCAGTTTTTGAGATTTTTCGATATCTTGATTTCTAGTTTTTTAGCTTTTGAATTTTTCAAATTTTACAATTTCGAATTTTCCATTTTCCGAATTCCCGATTTTATATTTTTTAATATGTATTTTAATTTTTCGATTTTTCGACATCTCGATTTTCCGATTTTTCAATTTTTCAACATTTCAATTTTGGAAGTTTTTCAGTTTTTTTCTTTGATTTTTCATCGTTCGGATTTCGGTTTTCCAGTATTACAATTAATCGATCTTTTAATTTTAGACTTTTCGATTTCTCGATATTTCAATTTTGCGATTTCTCAAGCTTCCGATGTTTCAGTTTTTGGGATTTTTCAATATTTCGATTTTTAGAAATTTCTCGATTTTTAGGTTAGGTTTTTAGATTTTTCGATTTTTTGATGTCATGATTTCTCGATTTCTATTTTTAATTTCCTAGTTCCAAATTTTTTTAGATGGATTTCAATGTTTCGATTTCTTTTTAATTTCTCGATTTTTCAAGTTTTCGATTTCTCAATTTATTCAACATTTCAATTTTGGGAATTTTTCAATTACTCCTATGTATTGGAATTTTCAATTTTTCGCTTTTTCAAGCTTCCGATGTTTCAGTGTTGGGATTTTTGAATATTTTGATTTTTCAAAATGACTTGATTTTCAGTTTAATTAGTTTTTTAGATTTGTCGATTTTTTGGTATCTTGATGTTTCAATTTTTTGATTCTTTAATTTTTCGATATTTTATTTCTCGGGATTACAAATCTGTGCACATTTTTGTTTAAACCCCTCAAATAATTCAGAAATAAATTTTTCTTCTGACGCCTCCACCATTTTTACACAAAATTAAAAAATCGTTCAATTATCCCCAAAAATGCATCCAGTTGAACCAAAATTTCCTCGGAATTACGAATTTGTGTTCACTTTTGTTCAAACCCCACAAATAAGTCAAAAATTAATTTTTCTTCCGGCGCCTTCACCATTTTCATACAAAATTTAAAAACCGCTCAATTATTCCCGAAAAGGCATCTGTCTGAACCGAAATTTCCTCAAGATTACAAATCCATGCTTATTTTTGTTGCAAGTCGTCAAATAACAAAGAAATAAATTTTATTCCGGCGCCTCCACCATTTTAATTTTCGAAACGTTACCAACCTAATCCCCCCAAACACTAAATCCCCTACTCCCATTCAAATGTTTTGTTTGACACTTCCAAATTCCACAATCTCCGAATTGTTTTTTTTTTAAGCGCCCACAATGACTACGAGTTCCAAAAACGAGACAGTCCTGTACTCCGTAAGTTTCCACCGTCACCAGAACCATTTTCACCCCCCCGTTTCAGCAACTCCAACCATGGAGCTCCGTAGTCGCAGACCCGTGCATGGAACAACTCGCCGGGCCCCCGATCCCCGTGCGCATCGGCCAGTACTACCAAACCCCCAGACCCCACCCATGGCGACCCACGCTGGGTTACGAAAACGTAGAAGTGACCCCATTGTACGATTTTACCTTCCACACTATCGCGTTTTGTAACGAGATGATTTTCAGACCCAGCCAACCCGTCACGAACTCCATCATAGACCCGTGCTACACCCCCTACGGCATGGCCACCGAGCCCCTCAAGTTCCCCAATTTGGTAACAGGGTTTGAGCGGAACCCAGCGCATGCAGCTAGGGCGGCTTTGTACACGAGATACACCCCAGTTGAGTGGACAAACAACAATCTGCGGAATTACAACGAGTCGGATACGAATAGGAACTACTCGGAGCGGCTCAGAGGCGAATTTATTAGAGTCATGAGGTTAGTTTTTAATTATCAATTGTGAACAAGTTGACGAAATAAATTTTAGAGAAACCGACGAAAAGACTTCGCAAGGACAGCGCGAAGTGGGGCGCAGGCTTGGTGAAAGACTCACCGACTTGACGTTTTGGCGAAACGAAGCGCGAACTGAGCTAGAGCGGCTCCTGAGTCACATAGATTCGTTGCAAGAGGCCCGAAGAAATCTCGAGAAGGCAGTGGCTGATATAGAGGGCCCCCTGCACATAGCGCAGGAGTGTCTCTACCAGCGCGAAAACCGACAAGGGATTGACCTAGTGCACGACCACCCTGAGCAATGTCTCCTCAAAGAAGTGGAAACTTACCGCAACGCTCAAGAGAAACTTAAGTGTCTATTTGGAAAATTGAAAGACCAGTTTAGAAACATCAGAGCTGCGCAGCACGAGTTGGAAACTGACGTGAGGAGCAAGGAGGGGGCTCTCGGTATCGATAACATGTGCCACCAACTCAACAACTTTTCCAAAGGGATTAATTACTATGGAGGGATTGAAAAATATGACCCTACGTATGATCATTGTTTAAGTATATTATAGTTGGACAACCTATACGGACAATCACTTTCCCATGCAGAAAAGAATGAATATATATTTTACATCTCACTCGCTTCACTATGAAGTGGCGGTACCTTACGAAAGGGGGTAAAAATAGTCCGTAAGCACGTGATGTCGACAAGGTAGTAAACGGACGCATTAATCAGTAAGTTGTACGGGGAGCAGTCACAAAATAAACAAATTCGTCCACTTTAAAGGTATACGAAATTAAACGACCACTACTTTAATTAATAAGTAACAAGTCATCTAATTTGCCTCCAGAATAACTATGGATTATCATCAAACTATGAACACCAAATTAATTCAATATGAACATCTTCTTACGTATTTTTTTTATTAACAGTAGTCAAATCATTAAATACATATTATTTTTGAAACTAAAATGCATTTTATCCTAAGATTGTATCACAAAATATTCATCACCATTTAAATATATACGATTTAGACATCAAGAAATAAATTTAAAATTGCAAAAATTATATCTAGCAGACTTAAAACAGCCTTAAATGTGTCTTGTATGTAAGTGCTTATCAGTATGTAGGCATTTTAACGCACAGCAATAATCGTTCTTGATGAGTATTGACTGTTGACTAGTGTAACACAGTAAATCCTCGAAATCGAAAATTTAAAACACTGAAAAATTCAGTCATGGGAAAATTGTAAAATCGAGAAATCGAAACATAAAAAAATCAAAAAAATGAAAATTGGAAAATCTAAAATTTAAAAATCGAGAAATTGAACAATCGGTTAATTCAAAAATCGAAACATCGAAAAATTGGAAAATCGAAAAATAAAAAAAATTGGATAATCGAAAACTTAAAAAATTGGTCTAAAGAGTTTAGACAGTACTTCCCTCGCTGTCGGAAACTTGACGACTGCATGCCTATTGTGTTTTTTTTCTCATTACATTTTTGTAGTGGGAATTTAAAAAAAAATTGCGATGACGTCATCAACATTTTTGCAAGGACACGTATATCAGTTGGGATAGATGTAGTGTAATACTAAGAATAAAATTATTATATTCTCAAATTTTCGGGAAAATGAATTGGGTCGTTTGAATATTGATTTGTAATAATCAATAAAATAACGAAACAATTTACTCACGTATACCTACGTATCAGAGGCAACTGAAAATCGTGTATGTATAAACATTCTTAATTTAAGATGACAGGCGTAACAGCATACGTGAGAGCCAAACAGAGAAACTGTAAACAAAACGACCGTCGGTTTTATTGCTTCGACTTCCGCTTATTATATAAAACATTGGGTTTTATTTTAATTCTTGACGGTGAAATTCACAATTGGTTGATTATAAACATGTCTATTTCACATTCGCGGAATCAAGTGAACGCATAAAACAAATGCAGGTCTGTAATGTTAAAGTCGATGTAAATAAGCGTGCTACCCTTATGTTTCAACCGAGTTTTTCCTTTAACAAATTTTGTGTCTACCAAATTGGGTTGGTTGGGGTGTAATACTAATAATAAGTGTTGCCTTTAATTTAATCAATAAAATAAATTGACTTCATTAATTTTTTTGAACCACCTCTTAAGAAAATCTAAAAAATATGAATGGAATGATAAATCACAAGTACAAACTCATCATATTTTTTGCATTTTAGATAGGATTTATTCAGCAAAATTTAAGGGTGACGTCATCAATTTTTTTAGGAGGGATGAACAAATACATTTTGAACAAAAGTTTACCATGCTTATAATAACTTTAAAATATTCCCAAGATTTCAAAGCATTCGGTTTTGTAATTCCTGATTAAATCGATAAAATAAATTCACGCCTTCATTAATTTTTTTGAGTCACCCTGCATATGCAAATCCAAAAATATGAATGGAATGATAAATCACAAGTACAGACTCATCATATTTTGTACATTTTAGATACGATTTATTCGGCAAACTTTTGAGCTGCCGTCATCAGTTTTTTGTAGAAGATAACCAAATATATTTTGACTAAAAATTTATTATGCTCTTTATAACCTTAAAACATCTGCAAGATTTCAAAGCATTCGGTTTTGTAGTTCCTGATTAAATCAATAAAATAAATTTACGCATTCATTAATTTTTTTGAGTCACCCTGTATATGAAAATCGAAAAAATTTGAATGGAATGATAAATCACAAGAAGAGACTCACCATATTTTGTACATTTTGGATAGGATTTATTCCACAAACTTTTGAGCTGACGTCATCAAGTTTTTGGAGGGGATAAGCAAATATTTTTTGACTAAAGATTTATGATGCTCTTTATAGCCTTAAAACATCTGCAACATTTCAAAGCATTCTGGTTAGCAGATTAAAAATTAAATTTCAAAATGTTGTTTTATAATTTTGATTTTTTTTCCAAAAATCTGGACGTTTCGGGTGAAAAGTCGATTCAGAGTTGTAAACTACATGTGTAGGACTATGTTATTTTATACAATTGAAACCCCATTTACTATGTACAATTTTGAAGTGACGTCATCGCATTAGTGGTGGGGATGATTAGACAAATTTTGGTTAGCGTTTTACCATCTACATGATATTCTTAATATAAATACAAAATTTCACAACAATCGGTCGAGTACTTTCGGAGATTATCTGTCTAATAAAAATCCGGGACAACAGACGGACAGACGGACGGACAGACAGACGGAAATGGGAGACCTATTTCTTCGTCTTCTAGGGGTCATGAAAGATCGAGAAAACGTAAAAGTAGAGAGTCGGCCGACGGACTCGATTACAATACTTCCTTTGCTTACGCTCGGGAAGTAAAAATCGAAAAATTGAAAAATCAAAAACCTGAATAATCGAAAAATTGAAGAACCGAAGAACTGAAAAATCGAAACTTATGGAAGTGGAGAAATGGGAATATAAAAAAATAGATTAATTGAGAAATCCGAAAACTAAAAATTCAGAAACGTCAAAATTTGAAAAATAAAAAAATATTGAAGAACTAAAAAATCGAAAAATCTAAAATTTAAAACATTGAAAAGTTAAAATATCCTAAAACTGAAAAATGGAGAAATCCAAACGTCAAAAAATCAAAAAAAAAAATCTAAAATTTAGTAATCGAAAAACTGAAAAATCAACGAATCGAGAAGTCGAGAATTTAAAAAACTGGACAATTGAAAAATCGGATAAATCAAAAATCGAAACATCGAAAAATCGAGAAACCGAAAAGCAAAAAATCTAAAAACCAACAAATCGAAAAATCGAAACATTGTAAAATTCAAAAATTGAGACATCGAGAAATCGAAAAATCAAAAGACAAAAAAAAAATCGAGGAGTCGAAAAATCAAAAAATTGAGAAACCGAAGTACGCCAAAATAGAAAAATCGAAAACTTAAATATGGAAAAATTGATAAAGCGAGAGATTGAATAATCAAAACATCGAAACATCCGAATCTCAATGAATTGAGATCTCAAAAAATTTAAACATTCGTAAATTTAAAAAATTAAAATATAGAACTGGAAACTCGAGAAACTGAAAAATCTAGAAATTTAAAAATTAAAATATGAAAAAGTTGAAAAATTGAGAAATTGAAATAAAAAACAAAAAACCGAAAATCCAAAAATTAAAAATAGAAAAATCTAGAAGTCGAAAAATGAAAGGATCGAAGTATTGAAAAATATCAAAACTGAAAGAAATCTCCAAAAATTGAGAAATCGACAAACCAATAAAGCGAAGTCGAAAACTCGAAGAATTGAAGAACTGAAAAATCGAAACTTTGAAAAGTGGTTAATTGAGAAATCAGAAAACTGAAAATTTAACGCAAAAATTTGAAAAATTCAAAAATTTAAATACTGAAGAACTGAAAAGTCAAAAAATCGAGAAATCGAAAAAACTAAAATTTAAAACAATGAATAATTAAAATATCGCAAAATTGAAGAATCGAGAGATCCAATTCAATTTAAAAAATTGAAAAATCGGGGCATTGAAAAATTGGAAAATCCAGAAATTGAAAAGCTCAAAAGAAAAAAATCGAAAAACCGAGAAATCCAAAAATTCAAAAACTGAGACTTCGAGAAATCGAAAAATCGGAGGATCGAGAAATTGAGGAGTCGGAAGCCGAAAAGGAAAGTTAAAAATTGAAAAATTGAGAAATTGAACAATCAAAACAACGAAACATCTGCATTCGATAAATTGAGAAATTAAAAAATTGAATAATCGAAAAATTTTAAAAAAGAAAAACTGGAAAATCAAAAATTAAAATTGAAAAAATCGAAAAATTGAAAAATTGAAATATAGAAGAACTGAAAACTCGAGATATCGAAAAACCTAGAATTTTAAAAAATGAAATATTAAAACATCGAAAAGTTTAAAAATTGAGAAATCGAAGCATTAAACAGTCCCAGAATTGAAAAATCTAAAGTTTACAATAAATTGAAAATCCAAAAAGGAAAAAAGCGAGAAATCAAAAAAAATCCATCAATTCAAAAATCGAAAAGTCGAAAAATTGAAATATTGAAACATCTCATAACTGAAAGAAATATTCAAAAAATTGAGAAATTAAAAAATTGGAAAATTGAGAAATCGAAAATCTAAAAAAGCAAAATTGAAAAATCGTAATCTTAAAAAATCGAAAAATTGAAGAATTGAAGATGTGAAAAATCGAAACTTTAGGAAATCCAGAAATGGACAAATAAAAAAAATACTTTAGAAATCGGCAAACTGAAAATTTAGAAACGTGAAAATTTGAAAAATTGAAAAATCGAAATATTTAAAAACCGTAAAATTGAAGAGGACAAAAATTGAGAAATCGTATCATTGAAACATCGTAAGATTGAGAAATCTAAAAATAAAAAAATCGAGAAATAGAAAATTTAAGGAATGGAGGAATCAGAAAAGCCCAAAATTGAAATATTGAAAAATTGAGACATTTAAAGTTGAAAAATCGAGAAATTGACAAGCCGAAAAATCCCAATAGCGTATTTAGGTATAAATCACAAGATCAGGACTATTCTACTTTCTAAAATTTAAATAACATTATAAATTGGAAAATGTTGATTTTTTTTTCGAAAAATCTTGACGTCTAAGGTGAAAACTCGACACGGATGCATAAACCGTAAACGGGGCGAATTTACAATTTTACTATTGTAAAATTTGGAGATTGCGTCATTTCATTGTTCGTGACAAATTTTGGAGAGTGTAATTTGATAATACAATTTGAAATGTAAATTTTGTCATTCGGGAACATTATGTATTAAATCGTTAAGGTGTTCAAGAACTTTGTTCACTTATTCGTTGTAAAGTCCAGTGGTCGAAATGGGTTAGTTCTTCGTAGTGGATGTGTATCACATCAACCCTAACGAATATCGGTTTATAGATAAATCGCTTAAAGCCGATATTGGCCTGAGTGTGCTTTGGTCTGTAGATCAAACAAGTTCTCAGGCGACGAAAAATTGCATGTGGAGGGAGACTTCGGATTACAAATCGTGCCAAGAAAGACATATTTGGGAGAGATGGATTTTCAGGTGCTTGACTAACGGTAATTTTAAATTGTTTGCTGTCGTTCGCGAAGTGAAGAACACAATTTCATTAAAATGATAATTATAAAATTATCATAATCACTATTGGTATTAATTAACACAAAATGGCGCGCAAGTTCTCAGTTGATTTCGTTAATAAATTCATAGAAACCTATATGGGATTTTTTCATGCCTTAGAAAATTAAAAAGTAAAAAATACAATAACAAAAATTTTAAAATGCGGTTTACGAAAAATTAGTTGACCTGTGCAAAGAAGAAAATTTTGGAAACGCTGACAAATAAGACATCTTAAAAAAAATAAATAACACTTGAAGAAGTGCTTTCGGCGTAATATTTTTGATGATTATTTTTATACTAAAATTCTGAAGTTTATAAACTGCACATTTTATTTATTTATTTATTTATTTATTTTATCTTGTTTTCGAACTATAATAAACATTTCAAACAATGTCTGTAACTTATTTTAATGTAAATTATATTCATGTGGTTAACAAAATCAGGTGTAATATTAGTGTGATTTTGACCTTATTCTAGATTTTATTACAGCAGAACGGCGTATCCTTTTTAAATTTTAGAAGTTACGGAAACTAGTTCAAGAAACAATTAGTTATCTCGTATTTTTGGAACAAAATCTACCAAAATGTCCGATAACAGCAATTGTTTTTCATAGAAACAAACAGTCTTCAAACCAGCCTTTAACAACTCGATATTACAAACATGCCTCTAAGTTCTTTATGCGTTTTTTTCTCTCTTGTAATTATTTGTAATGTTAACGCCGAAAGTTTATGTCATTCTGTTATTTACTTTGAACATATATTTTCATTTTGTGTTAATATTTTTGTAACACCACGAATCTAAATTTTACTTAAAATCTTGTTTTACTTTAATCTTGTAAAACTAAACAATTATACCAGTTTAAAAACCCTTGGAAAGTTTCTGTCAGTCTTCAGATATAGTCAAATAAAAATATGCGTCAAATTCATTTAAATTCAATTCTTTCTTATCACGTTACAACGCGTTGCTTCATATTTTGTACATATATGTTTATACACATTACTGTTTACGGAACAATGTTAATTATGGATTTATGGATAACTCCTCGTATAAGAGCAGAGTGAAGGGTGTTTGCCTTTGCTAATGTTTGATGGCGCCATCTGATTTAGAGTAAAATAAACCTAATACGTTGGCTCACTGTAGTGAAAATGCGCGTTGACGAAAAATTTGTCCCACGCCCCCTGGATTCCTTGTCCTAAAGCTCACTATTTAGGCGAAGTAAAATTTGTATTAGGTTGTTCAACTATAATATACTTAAACAATGGTATGATTTAAGTTTTAGTGTCTTGTGGTCACAATTTATGCGATTTTTGATTATAGGGTGTCCACGCAGGCCAGCTGGGCCGAAAATAGTAACAGGATTGTGCAAAGGTCACAGTCTGAAAGGGGCAAATGCGGTCAACTTGTCGCCGACACCGAGAATTTAATAAATGTGGTGGCTATTGAAGTGTGGGATGCTTGGAGTAATACTAACAATGCTCTAGCTCGAAGGGCGGCTGAAACCCTTGAAGCTAAGAGCAAGCTCCAGATGCACCTGCACCAAATCCAACAAGAGATTTTTGATATTGAGAAAAATATAGAGCTGCTGAAGAAGGCGATCATGGATAAGAGTAACCCCATGAAGGTGGCTCATACGAGGTTGGAGGCCCGCACGCATCGAAAGAACGTCGAACTGTGTAGAGACATAGCGCAAGACAGGTGACCCCCATCACTATTAACCAAAATCTTTAAAATCTTCACACCATTCTTTCAGACTTGTAAAAGAAGTTGTAGATATCCAAGACAGTATTGAATATCTACACAGAAAGTTGCAAGAGGCGGAAGCTCAACACCAACAACTTCTAAAAACACGGTCTAACTTCGAGACTGACTTACACAACAAAGTCAATTCATTGTTCATTGACAGAGAGAAATGTATGGGTATGAGACGCTCATTCCCCATCACAGCCACAATCAAATACTAAAAACCATTTAAATAAAACATGCGCTAATAAAACAATTTATTTATCACCTACTTCACTTCACAAATGATGGCACTGGCAACTTCAACCCTTCTTTTGCTTCAAAAAACGTATAAGACAACGTGATTTCATCAATAAATTCCATCAAAGGGTCATCCACATATTCCGGATCTATGTAAAAGAACACCGGCATATCCACCTACAAAATCACCGTCACGACTGATTACTAACATAACCTTTGTACCTCTTCATGGGGGTCCAGTTGTTGCTCCTCGAAACAAAAACACTGAATTTTATTAAAATACTGTCCGGCTTCAAAAGGCACTACGTTGTACGTACTAATCCCAATCACAGGTTTATCAGTGGGGTTCTTCGCCGTGTAAAACGCGAGAGCTGTCTCTCCAGGGCGCACCGTAATTTCGCTTTGTTGCGGGCGGAAGTTCCACCGCATACTAGCGGCGGTGTCGGCGTTAAATTTGATTTTGATGGGGCGGTGTTTCACTGCCGACATTGTCTCGACTTTGGCGGCGTCGTGGCCGGTTTGGGTGGTGCCCCCATAGCTGTAGGCTTGGCAAAAAAGACGGTATAGAGGGACTGCAGCGTAGCTAAGCCCCGCGGTGACCACTCCCGCTGCCGTCGCATAGTACAACGTCGATTTAATGCGGGTTTTTTGGGTATTGTTTGTGTTTTTTTGGAGATGGGGGCTGCCGTGAAAAACGCGAGTCTTTGCCGAAAATTGGTTGTTACAAGTCACTCGGAGTAAGTTTACCACGAATCGGTGTATTTTAAGCGGAGACATGGTGTTTTTTAGTCAGAAAGGTGGTTTTAAGACATGATTTACACATAACCTCACTTTTATTTATAGTAGCTGGTGAAATTTACACAGATTTGGAAGAATGTACGAGCGCTCAACACTAATGAGATTTCACGGTTATTAAAAATTTATTTAAATTGTTTAAATAATTCACACTTAGAATTAAATTGTTTTATAACCTCAACATTTTGGTTCTTTCTGGTGACTTCACTATTACCATAGATTATTATAGATGCGACATACAGGTTGATTTTGCAAAACCACCCTTATTGACATTGGAGTCCTCAAGCGCCAAATTTAAATAGTCGATGCCAATAAAAAAACTTGATTCACTACAAGTCGTCGCCTGAGAACTTGTTTGATTTACAGACCAGAGCGCGCTCAGGCCAATGTCGACTCTAAGCGTTCAGAAGCGATTTGGTTGGTTTAGATTAGAAGTGAATATTTTTGGGACATATTTAAATAGGTGATTTTACATATTTTGTTTAACTAAGAATTAATTCTTTATTTGTGTTTTATACTAACAAAACGTCTTAAACTAAGAATATTGTTGAAATCATAATAACCCAATGGATTTTTTTCTGGAAAACGTTTTAGAAACACTGTGTTCTATTTTGTATGATTTTTTTTTTTTATGTTTTTAGTGACAATTTTTGTGGTTGTTTTCGATACACTGTATGATATTAACAGTGAGAAAAAAAATGAAAAATTAAAATAATCGAAAATTCGAAAAATCGAGAAATCTAATAATCGAAAAATCGTAAAACCGAAACATTGAAAAATCGAAACGTCGAAAAAGTAAGAAATCGAAAAATCAAAAGATCAAGAAATCGTGGAGTGGAAAAGTCGAACAATTGAGAAACCGAAATAGGTCAAAATCGAAAAATCGAAAAGTTAAAAAAATGGAACAATTTGTAAATTGAGAAATTGACAATCAAAATATCGAAAAATCCAAATCTCGATAAATCAAAAAACTTAAAAATTCGAAAAATTGAGAAATTGAGAGATTGAAAGATCCAAGCAACGAGAAATCGAAAAGTGATGAAGTCGAAAAATCGAAAAATAGAGAAATCGACAAACAAAAAGTTAAAAGTTTCAACTTATAGGCCAAAATAAAAAATGGAAAAATTGATAAATCGAAAACCTGAACAATCAAATCTGGATAAATCGGGAATGAAAAATTAACAAATCGAAAAATTGAAAAACAGAACATCTAAAAGCAGGAAGTCGAAAAATAGAAAGATTAAGAAATATTGAAAAATTAAAATATCAAAAGATTGAAAAATGTAAAATTTAAAAATCCAAAAATTGAAAAATCGAAAAAGTAAAAAGGTAGACACATCGAAAAACCCAGAAGTCAAAAATAGAAAAGTCGAAGAATTGAAATATTGAAAAATCCTAAAACTGAAAAATTGAAAAATCAAAAAAGTGAAGTCGAAAAATAGAAACCTTAAGAAATCGAAAAATTGAAAAATCAAAAAATTAAAGAATTGAAGAACAGAAAATCTAAAACCGGGAAGTCGAAAAATCAGAAGGTTAAAAAATCGAAACATTTGAAAAATTCGAAAACTTGAAAAATTTAAATATCGAAGAACTGAAATGAAAAATCGAGAAATCAAAAAATCAAAAATTTTATAAATTAAAAAATCTAAAATTAAAAAATCGAAAAATGGAAAAATCGAAAAACTAAAAAATCGACACAGAAAAATCCAAGAGTCAAAAATCGAAAAGTCGAAGAATCGAAATATTGAAAAATCCCTAAACTGACATCGAAAAACTGAAAAATGAAAGAAAAACTAAAAATGGGAATCTAAATTGGGAAATCAAAACATTGAAAAATCGAAAAATTTAAAATGACAATTGAAAAACAGGAAATCTAAAACCGGGAAGTCGAAAAATCAAAAGATTAAGAAATTGAAACATTTGAAAAATTTGAAAACTTGAAAAATTGAAATATGGAAGAACTGTAATGAAAAATCGAGAAATCGAAAAATCAAAAATTTTAAAAATTAAAAAATCTAAAATTAAAAAATCGAAAAAGTAAAAAAATCGACACATCGAAAAATCCAGGAGTCAAAAATCGAAAATCGAAGAATCGAAATATTGAAAAATCCCAAAACTGAAATATCGAAAAACTGAAAAATGGAAACCTGAAAAATCCGAACTCTGAAATATCCAAAAACTGAGAACCTAAAAAGTCGAAAAATTGAGCAATAGAAAAATCCAAAAAGTGAAGTCGAAAAATTGAAACCTTAAAAAAATAAAAAAATCAAAAATCAAAAACTGAAAAATCGAAAAATTAAAGAATTGAAGAACAGGAATATCGAAACCCTCGAAATTTAAGAAATGGGAAAATCAAAACATCGATTAATTGAAAAATCAAAAAATTGACAGTTTATAAATATCAAATATGAAAAACTGAAAAATCGAAAATTTGAAAAAACGACAATTGAAAAACAGAAAATCTAAAACCGGGAAGTCGAAAAATCGAAAGATTAAGCAATCGAAAAATTGAAAAATCGAAAAAGTAAAAAAATCGACACATCGAAAACGCCAGAAGCCAAAAATCGAAAAGTTGAAGAATCAAAATATTGAAAAATCCCAAAACTGAAATATCGAAAAACTGAAAAATGAAAGAAAAACTGAAAAATGAAAGAAAAACTGAAAAATGGAAAACCTGAAAAATCCGAAAACTGAAATGTCCAAAAACTGAGAACCTAAAAAGTCGAAAAATTGAGCAATAGAAAAATCCAAAAAGTGAAGTCTAAAAATTGAAACCTTAAAAAATAAAAAAATCAAAAATCAAAAACCTGAAGAATCGAAAAATTAAAGAATTGAACAGGAATATCGAAACCCTCGAAATTCAAGAAATGGGAAAATCAAAACATCGATTAATTGAAAAATCAAAAAATTGACAGTTTATAAATATCAAATATGAAAAATTGAAAAATCGAAAATTTGAAAAAACGACAATTGAAAAACAGAAAATCTAAATCCGGGAAGTCGAAAAATCGAAAGATTAAGAAATCGAAACATTTGAAAAATTGAAATATGGAAGAGCTGAATGAAAAATCGAGAAATCGAAAAATCTAAAAATTTAAATATTGAAAAATTAAAATACCAAAAAATTGAGAAATCTAATATTTAAAAATCGAAAAAGTAAAAACTCGACACATCGAAAAATCCAGAAGTCAAAAATGGAAACAGAAATATTGAAAAATCCCAAAACTGAAATGTCCAAAAACTGAGAAATTACAAAATTGAAAAATTGAGAAATTGAAAAATCAAAATAGTGAAGTTGAAAAATCGAAACCTGAAAAAATAGAAAACTTGAAAAACTTGAAATACCAAAAAATCGACAAATAAAGAGTTTATAAAAGTCAAAATTTGAAAAATCGAAATATTTAAAAATCGTAAAACTGAAGAGAAAAACTGAAAACCGAAAAATCCAAAAATTGAGAAATTGTAAAATCCAAAAATTGGAAAATAAATAGGAGGAAACTGAAAAGTCCCCAAACTAAAATTTCCAAAAACTGAGAATTCGAAAGTTGAAACAGCAAGAAATTATGGTCGAAACCGGTTAGGATGTGTATCAAATCAGGAATCATGGTTTTCGAACGCTTAGAGTCGACATTGGCCTGAGTGCGCTCTGGTCTGTAGATCAAATAAGTTCTCAGACGACAAACTGTAATTCGTGTGACCTGAATTAAAGTGAAGGAAACAATAAGCAGCTTGTAATATTCTGGTAAATCTAGTGTCAATTTGTCGAGAGTAAAACGCGTCGTTAAAAATATTATGACATTTTTTTCTTTAGTTAATTTTATTCCTAGTTAGAAACAAACACTGTTGCCAACATAAGTCGAGGAGTCCTCAACCGCCATTTAATTTAAACTATGACGCTTCTCTATGTTCTCTATATCAAGGTTCTCTGTTATTACACTAAAAGTTGGTACTATTTTATAACCAAATTGGGCAGTCGAGTTTAAAAACCTAAAATTATCGAAACTAGATAAAAATTAAGACTGCAGAAGTTATTATTATTTGGTAATGGAGTCATTTTTCGTGTCACTGTTGTAATAACTTATAATTTTTAGCAATGAGTTTGAGGTTATGTCACCCCCATTCAGTAACCTTTATCGCTCGAAGACTTTTCTCTGCTAAGTTCCCGGGTCACAAAATCGTCCTCACCGACGACGAAAGCACCTTTGTGGCATGGCACCCTAAACTCGACTACCCGTACGAGTGCACACAACCCTTACCAGAAGTCTCAATCACTGAGACCTCAGTTCTCAAAACCCAACTAACCCCCCAACTCATGGAAGTCTTCAACAAAAAGACTCCCGAGCAAGCCCGACAAGAACTAATGAACATCACCCACACCACCAAACACCGCTGGTTCCCCCGAGCCCGCGACAAGCGCGCCAAAAAGACCCCAATGGACCGCGAATACTTATAATTTGTAAATTTTATTAATTATGGTACAAAATCGTAATAAATTAGTTTGTTAGAGCTACAAGTGCGTTGACAACATTTCCGTGGTATTCTCGTAACGTGCGTTCGGCCAGAGTCCTGGAAATCTCCATCTCTCGAACGATGAGATCGACGTCCTCCTTTTTGATGGAGACTTTGAGCAGCTCTTTCTCGCGCGCCTGTTTCTCGAGGGCTTCTTTGTTGCGGCGGTCGCCGATCGCCGAAATCGCTCCGGCCACGTTTTGGGTCGAAATTTCCTTCTCTTCGGCGTAGTCGGTGACTTTTTCCAAGTCGGCGGCGCCGCTGTCGTACTTCGCTGTTTTTTTCTGGGACTTCTCGGGCAGCTCTTCGCTGCTGCCGTTCACTGTTTCTTCGTCTGCCATGGTGCGGGAATTTAGGCAAAAACAGAGGAAGATTTGAGGTTAAGGCGGCGTGACGTCACGAATTGTGTCAAGGCACAAGGATGGTGGGTTCGGAGGTACCAATCGAGAGGCAAAAGTTACCAAGTCGAACTAAATTCGATTCCAGAATTTTAACTAAATGGCTTCATTTCTGCAGTAAAGTGTTTGTTAACAACAAAACGTAGACGACTTTCGATTAAAGTAAAAAATAGATTTTAAAAACTGGGTTTTGTGCGTGAAAAATAGTACCAACCGTGACGTTGAAGTCCCCAGTTTGGTTTGAAGTTTGTAAAGAAGAAGTTTAAATTGTTACTTTATTAACGTAAGTGATATTTATTTACACTGCATAACACTGAATAATAAAAGAATGTAAGCTACATTATATCTACGTCCACGAAATGTTTAGATGTTGCCAGCGAAGGTGCCCTCCTCCCTTTGGGAGTCCCACTTCTCGATCCATGCGTTGGGGCAAATCGAGTGGAACACCTTCTTGAAGTAGTCGCAAGGTTTGTAGTCGGTTCCTCTGATTTTCTGGCAACGATAGTAGTCCAAGTAGCTCTGGTAGCAATACCGAGTCTGGTTGGTGTTTGGAAAACGGGGATCAAAAGGTGCGGTTTTTAAATCTTCCACTTTGAGAGCCTCGGGCATGGTGTCTGGAAACAAAGAGAACTCGTCGAAATCTTAGGTGAAATTAATGACTTTGAATTTGGATGACTTTAGTGAAATCAATGGCAGCGTGATTGAGCGCGTCATTACCTAAGCGTAGATAAGCGTCCATCTCGACCACGGCGAATTTTTGAACTTAAACTAATAAACTAAAGAATAACAATAAAAAAGTCTATTTAACGAGTAGTCTCGTTTTGGAATCGTCATCACAACACGCTTCTTTGTATCGTTTCACTTCTTTCATGTACAAAGTCCACGCATCTTGCGCGTCTCCCTCCTCCTGGTTCATCGATTTCGTCTTCTGCACCATTCCTGTCTTGAGCACCTTGCCGCCCCTGCGCTTGCCGAAGGCCGGTTGGGGCGCCCTGCTCTCCGCCGCACTCTCCGCCTCCTTCTTCTTCTGCTCCTCCTGCATCTTCTTGAACATCTCCATGAACGAGCCGTCGTTCTTGAACATGTTCTCGTTGGACGCCTCCTCCTCCTCGTCCTCTACGTCCTCCTCGACCTTCGTCTTGTCCTCGACGGGCGGCTCGGGCTTCTGGTGCGAGTGCGAGTGCGAGCGCTTCCTGCTCCTGGACCTCCTGCGGCGCCTGTGCGACCTCGAGCGCGATCTCGTGCGGGAGTGCGACCTGGAATGTCTGCTGCGCTTGTGGCGGCGGCGGCTGCGGCTGCGAGAGCGGCTCCGCGAGGAGCTGTGGCGGCGTCGGCGGTGCCTGTGCCGCCCCCGCGACCTGGAGCGGTGGCGGCGGTGGCGCGAGCGCGAGCGCGACCGCCGCCGGTGCTCCAGCTTGCGCTCGTACTTTATGTACTCGGAGCTCTTTAGGAACGGGTCGATTCGGTCTATGGCCCGCTCGGGGCTGTCCTTTTTGACCGAGCTATTGGACAGGTCCTCGTCCGTGCCTGGGGGCGGTGGATTGCACCAGATTCCCGCCGACGACGGATTCATCTTTGACTATTGCTGTGACCTACAAGAGAACTTGCAGGTATAGTTAATGCAGGATGACGGCATTCATTCAATCTTCAAAACTGTCAGGAGATGGCGGAATTACGTGTACCGGGGGCGGTACGGGGGGCTTTCGGGCCCCAGCGGCGATTAAGTATTAGGTAATCAATGGACAACATGACGTTGTCGAGATGGGGACTGCACGATTTTGCGGCAACGCCGAGGTGGGAAATTATCGCATTCAGTGCCCACGGAACTTAATGACTTACAGCTAACTAATTCCTACGATAGTATACCTGCTTTTTTGGGTTTTTCGAATACTTTTCCAACACGAAAATGGCTTCCACACTCCTCCTTACTGATTTTCCGCAGTGACGCGAGCGACGCGATAGAAACACGGACGCTGGACGAACTACACCGCCTCGATCGATTAAACGAGACACGAAGCCAGTATTTACCGACTCCGGATAGGCAACCAACTATACACCAGCATTTCGAAATTGACGCTCCGTAAACTCCGCAACGATCCGCCTCTTTGTTCGGTAATAAATCACGAAAACAATTCCAAAACAAATTATCCCTTTCATAAATCGAACAAAAAATGTTGCTCCCGTTACAAAGTCGTAATTCATCGTCAACGCTTTACTACCTATTCGCATTCCTCACGTCTTACCTCATTACTCGCTAACTTATTTTAAGAACTCTTACTATGAAACTGTAATAATTTTTATTTAATTAAAGAAGCAATTTTTCAACGGAGAAGTCGCTGCATGAGCGCCGCGTCGAAACATGGCAGTTGCTGTCAGACTAGGTTGTTTTATTTGTCCTCATTAACTACTATAAATAAAGCCGGTTTGAAGAATTTTAGGTAATTTCCGAGGAATGTAATTTTTGTAGGCTTAAGTTTCTTTAGGTCTCTCGATCTTGTGACTTTTAAGACGATAAGTGGCAAAAAAAACAGAAAACTTTCATCTTTATTTAAAAAAAAATCGTGCAAATGTTAGTCGATAGAAGTCAAAAATATGTAAATCAAAAACTCTTAGTCTCATCATGTTGTTAACTTTAGTACAAATTTTACAATAGTATTTACAAAATTTCAATTTTTCATTTTTGATTTTGGTGATAGGCAACCAATGATACTACAGCGTATTATCACTGTAGATACAAAATACAGGCAAGTGTCCCCCACTCCCTGAATTATTATACAGACGACGTACGGTACAAAAAAGTAACGTAAAAGGCCGATTTAAATTTAATCTTGCCGCAAACGCAAACTGTCTTAAAATCTATAAATGCCCCCTTAGTTTCAGGCAATCGACTTCACCACTTCTCACAGCAGTTGATAATGATAAGTCAAATCATTACATTTTAAAAATTCTATCCATCCAGTTTAGTTACTTTTACAGTGTCAGGTTTGCCGGTTTGCGGCACTGTTCAGTGGTGCGTCGGTTTTTGACTTTTCGATTTTGCGAGTGCCCTTGTCGACGAATTTTGGACATTTTTTGTGAAATTGTGCCGCCGTGGAAGTAAAATCGTGAATTAGGGATAAGTTGTTACCATTTGACGTATAAATTCTTCAAGAATCTCGTAATTATGGTCCGGAACTCGTTGTTCGATGATCGTCAGTGAAAACCAGACGCGGTTGCTTGTTCTGGCGTGTTTGCCGCTAATTTTCCAAAATTATGCGAAATCGTCCGTACTTTTAGTATAAAAGTGCTCGTGGACAAAGTAATAATCACTAACGATATTGTTAAGAAGTGACGTCATCGTTTTAAGAAAATTATGACGCAGTACCTGACTTCGATCACGAAAAGATCAGAATTTGGAAGAACTAGATCGGACCATTGCGGCGCGTCGATTACTTGATTACGAACACTCCCGAATTCGATACGAAGAGATCTAAACTGTCGTTTTCGAATTACGTCTGGCAAATATTCAGGCTTCAAATGTCATTTTATATATAATCATCAAAATTGATTGAGAGAGTTGGTACCCCCTGTTTTTGTCGTGAAGTTTGTCACAACTTTATGACAGATTTGTTTAAGGTTATATGGCAATGAATTCAGTGGCGTGACAAAAATTAGAAACTTCAAATCTGACAACTAATGTTTTTACCAAAAAAAAAGTCGAAAAAAGACGCCACTCAGTTTTGAAATTTGAAACTTGAAACTTCAAATCTGACAGCTAATATTTTTATACAACTTAATAAACCAAATTATTCAAGTTCAGGTTTACCAACTCTCTCAATCAATTTTGATGACTGTACAGTATGTTTTGAGTATTAATGGAGACGTAATACGTTAACAACAATTTTATTACCACTGATCCAGTTAACATTTTTTTTATCTAATATAAATACATAGGTTTATATTATAAATAAAAAAAAATTAATAACGGCACGAAATCGCATTCGATAATTTGAATTTGAAAAAAATTTAATCAAGAAAATCGTTAAACGTAGGCAACCATGTGCACGTTTAGTTCTTTCTGGTAGTTGGTAGTTCTCTAGGGGAATTTGTCGGTGGTATCTAGTGAGAGGGTTGGTAGAAGTTGGCTGGCTTGGTAGATGAGTCATTCAGTTCGGTGGCGGTCACGGTCAGTGTTGCCAACTGGGGGATTTTCCCTGAAATTTAGGAAATTTTTTGGATTTCGGTAAAATCTAGGGGCAAAACTTTCTTTAGGGGATTTTTTAGAGGGTTTTGTAAACATCCAGGCCTGCACGCAATAATATACGTAGTCGTGTTGACTGATAATAATAATAGGTAGTGAGCCCTCTAAATAAAATTATCGGAAACAAAAACTGACAAGTGACACTTGATTTGACAGTTTACACACCGACAACTTTCGGAGCAAACACAAAAAACAATGCCGCGTAATTTGAAGTGATTACGGCTTCATAGCATTGTACAGGGTTTCTATAAATGATTATAGGGTCGCAGTAGGCCATGTAAACGTGCCGCCTCTCAGATTTAACTGCACGGAGATCCGTACACATGTGTATAACTGGTTGCCTAAACACTTCAGTATGTTTTTAAAAAATAAAACTAATTCATTACGATAAAAAGAAAGTTATAAATGTTGAAAATGTTCATCATTCTGTTCAAGGCACATGTTAACTCTCTTTTTAATTTCAAAAATGTGCTGCAACATTCTTTCGTCAATACTTAGAACCCGTTGTTCAATTGTTCAATTCTGCTCAAGTCGTCTCAAATTATCAACAATTTCCTCAGATGAAGTCTTCCACGAGCTTTCTCTTTGTTAGTACTGCCAGTTCGAACAAACCTGTTGATTACATCTCTAATATGGGCCTTTAACGATGTTTCTCGAATCATTAAATCACGGTATTTGGCCAGATATTCTCTCTTACAAGCAGTTACAGAATGCACGAACTCTTCGTTTACGAAAGTGTCTTGTTCAACAGGATAAACTATTTTCAGTCAGCGAAGCGGGATTTTTGAAATCTATGGCCAACTACGCCCTTAGAATCATTTATAAAAGCCCTGTAGTACAGTATAACCTCGATAATCCGAATTAATTGGGGAAAGGTGTGTTCGGAATAGCGATTTGTTCGGATCAGCGAATTTCCCAAAAAGCTGAAAGGGAATTGAATAACAACTTCGAAATTTCGAAAAGATACATTCGAAAAAAATATTACTTCGTGACCACAACCATGCTATATTTTTCGAATCACGTCGGGATCTATATCTCTGAACTCAATCAGAATTTTTAGATGACTTTTTCAAAAATGAAATTTCCCATTATGTATTCGTATTACCTCCCTTATGCAAATTTCGACCCATTCTCGACGATTTTCGAAATTTAACTAAATACTTCCATGTAGATTTTGGGTCGCAGAAGTCACTTCTGGCTTCATTTCTTCGATAACTTACACCGTTTTTCCAGAATCGTCAATTGAAATATCGCAATTTTTAAAAATAAAGAAAAATGAATTTCACACCGAATTTTCCGAAAATATTGCTCCGTTACCATAAATATGCTATATTTTTGGAATCAGCACGTCGGGATATATCTCTGAATTTTTTCAGACTTTTTAGACAACTTTTTCAAAAATGAAATTTTACACAATGGTAGTAGTTGCCAAATAAACTACCCTCTAAGAAAATAAAAGGCGGCTGGGCCAGGCTAGTATTTTCCAAAATAAGACTCATTTTGACAAATGACCTACTCTTCTAAGAAAAGGTACTAGCCCCACCCACCCACCCCTTGTTTTCTTAGAAGAGTAGGTCATCTGCCAAAATCAATCTTATCTTGGCAAACATGAGGCTGATTTTTGCAAATGACATATTCTCTGGGAAAATAAGGGTGGGTGGGCGGGGCTAGTACTTGTCAAAATAAGACTGATTCTGGCAGATGACCCACTCTTCTAAGAAAGTAAAGGGTGGGCGGGGCTAGTACTTGTCAAGATGAGACTGATTTTGGCAGATGACTTATTCTTCTAAGAAAATAAAGCATGGGTGGGTGGGGTCAGCACTTGCTAAAAACAAAAAAATTTAAAAATAAAAAAATGACAAATTGAAAAATCGGATAAATGAGAAATCGGAAAATTGTGCAAATGTATAATCGGAAAATCAAAAACTGAAATATCGAAAAATTGAAAAAAAAAAAAAAACAAATCTTATATATCGAATTCGAAATTCCAGTTTTAACTTTTTTTTAGTTTTTAGATTTTTCAACTCTTGAATATTTCATTTGATAATTTGTTTGACAATTTTGCAGTTTTTAATTCCAATTTTTTGATTTTTCAAGTTTTAACTTCACAATTTTTGAATCTTTTGATTTTTAATTTTTCAAGTTCTCAAGTTAAAATTTTTCCTTTTCACGATTTGTCATTTTTCGATTTTTTAACTAAAAGAACAAATTTATTCGAACCGAAATCTTGAAAAATTGAAAATTAGGAACAAAATTTTCAGATGTTTTAAAGTTCCGGTAAACATGGCAAATCGCTGATCAAAATTGCTTTTTACTTCCTTCCAAAAACTCGGCGACAAAAAATCAAAAATCGAAAATTAAAAAAATAAACATCCATTTTCTCGATATTTTTACAAATCAAATAATTGAGAATTCGGAAAATGTCAAAATTGTAAAATTAAAAAATCGAAAGTTTTTTTCAGTTGCCCAGAGAAATCAAAAATCGAAAGACAAATCAAAAAATTGAAAATTTAAAAAGCGAGAAATTGAAGTATTCGAAAGTTGAAAAATCGAAAAACTGAAGAATCTAGTAAGACGCACTACGATAAGACTGATTTTGGCAAATGATCTACTCTCTTAAGAAAACAAAGGGCGGGTGGGTGGAGCTAGTATTTGCCAAAATAAGTCTCATTTTGGCCAATGACCTACTCTTCTAAGAAAATAAAGAATATGTCATCTGTCAAAAATCAGTCTTACCT